AGAAATGGAATGGAAGAATATATTATGATAATCAAAGAACGCGAAGAGGGAGGGAGAATCGATTGCAAGAAGTAAAGGGTCTGATAGACGCATTTAATAGCGCTCGAGTAGCCATCACAGAGTATGAAAAACCGGCATAACAAATGCAACGCCGTTGAAATGGTACCCCAATATCAGGAGAACCAAATATCAAGTAGAGTTGAAGAATCAAATTTGCCAAGAAGCAGTAAGGCTCAGCCTGGGCACCTCAATATGGATCATGTCCGAGGCAAAGGACTCTTCTATGAGTCGCAGGTGAGGACTTAAAGAGACAGAAGTGAAGTCTCGACAACAATTTAGCAGCCAGATGTCACTAGAAGTAGCATCGAGCCAAAACATACTTTTCAAGAACACGAGGAGAAAGCATGTTGGCAAGGTAGTTTGCACAGAAGATAAGACGAATTCATAGAGTTAGCAGAGACGGGAAAAAACGTGCGTTGCCATATGGGAGAATGGAAGCCAAAGGGATAAGTGGTCGTGGAAATAGCACCGATCATCGGCGGGTGATCCACGAAAGTGGGAGGGTAATGGAAATGATGACCTAGCGAGCTCGTGCAGAGCACGCGCATCAGTCGGCCAAGCCGCCAATGTACATGTCCAAATATGGAGAGCATGGCCGCCTCGAGATGCACTACACCCATCAATCACTAGTCATGGATGTATCCGGATGATGCGGTTGTGCCACGCTGGTCCAGTCCTGTGTTACCCTTCTCAATTGACTTCCCGACTGGGCAATAATATCATGGATCATCCCGAAATCGATCATCGCACAAGTCAATCTCGTCTCACAAGGATAACGCATCGATTGAGAAAAGAAGCAAAATATGAAAGTGGAGCAGAAGACCAATGGGTAGAACAGATTTCGAAACGAAGAGTATCCTCCACAACACAAAAAACATTAAGTTTACAGAGGTAATGTACTTACCGTTAGACCGTCCAGCCCTTTTTTGGCCCCTGTACAGGAAAGCCACATCCGAGCTCGTTTACCGTCCAGGTATTGTAAGGACGGAGCACACTCGGGAAATTCCGCATTGGAGCAAGCCACTCCAACGTTGCTAGCATCATCTCCAATAGCACTTTTGGAGGGAACCGTGTCTCCGCGGCTTGAGCATACACAGGATCTGAAATCGATGACGTCCTTGACACCCCAGAATACGGCTATGTCCACAGTTTCCCGCGGTAAGCTCTGGAGGTATCCGAACCATTTGGAATCTTGGCCTCGCAAACTACCCCCACAACATGAAATGTGGCGCGGTTTCGGTACACGATGAACCCCAAGATAGCGTAAGACGGTGGATCCAGATAGGAGCAATTCAGGTCAAAGAGCCAGGGAAAGTCACAAAGTGTCACACAACATGGAACCGGTTAGTCCGTGCGATCAGATGTCATTTTTTGCGTCAAGTATAGTTGTGGAAGGTTGTGAGAGTACAAGAAGCGACATCAGGGAGCAGTGTGGGAACGAGGCGAATCAGGGTGAAGGAGCGGAGCAGAATACGCGAGTGAGCTAAAGGTTGAATACAAAGTTGTAGAAGCATAGAAAATACGTACATCTCACCATACAGGGCGAGAGCCAGTGCGAGATGTGCAGCGTGGCCATACGGCGCAAAGGTTATGTCCTGGGAGAGGAAGCACGATCTGGTTGACAGAATAGCTGCCTTCGGAATGCGTACGACTACATGAGCAATAAACCAAGTCAGACAGAGGGATCAACGAAATTGTTTCAAAAGGAATAGCATCGTTCTTTCGGCCCACGCATGAGCCTGTGTCACATCTTGGTTCTTGATTGATTCCTCCGCGCCAGAAGGCGGGGTACCTCTACCCACAAGACCAGATATTGACAGAAGGTCACCGCTGTAAGAGTGCCTTGGCTTGCAAGACTCGCAGCCAACCAGTGGTTTGGGATTTACAACGGCATCCAGCATATAGTACAAACTAAGCACTCACGGGAACAGGAACAATCAATGAGGTCTTCAAGTGAGTACACGCTGATTCCGTGACCATGCGAGGAGGGATTGCAGGAACTTTCCGTGCTATCGGCTAACTCTTGATGGTTTCTACTTTCCCGAACTTGTATTCTGGGATCGATTTGGATACCATTTTCATTGCACCAGGTCAGAAGGATTTCAATTCTGGATAACGACATCCACGCGACGAATGCTCTGTCCCCAGACTAATACTAGAAGTCAGTATCGGATAGCAGTGATGTGGTTACTAGAAATTTGATGTGAGGGACCAGACAGCAGTGGCCGGGAGGCCTTACGGTAGAGCTGCGGCGTCTGCCACTTTCTGCTTAGAGGTGGATGATTTTAGGAAGTTGCCGTACTGGCGGAGTCACTGCATCGAAGGCTTTGTGGCAACATTTTCCGGGGAATCTCCGCCGCCTGGTTGCCCCGCCGAACTTGCTAAGTCCGTCGGTTATGTCTGCTTTTGTACTTAACACCACACCTCCTTCTGCTGCTGTGCCATAGGCCTTGGAGAAGACCTTCAGGAAGACGGCTAACCTTGTGCTAAGCCTAACCTGGAACGCGTCAAGGCTCGTCACACATTTACAATAATTTACCATCCCACTGGCAGTTCCGAGTCGTCACTCATCCATGGACATAGCGTATTGGTACCATGTCCAATGACGACCGTGGAATTGATCTGCCTTATAATTTTTACCCTCAGACTCACCGCGAGGTATACCTTCGTCCTGTTCAACTCCGAGGATGCCGCTCGCGAAGCGCTGCCGCGGCAGGGTGACACCAAGTTCTCGAGTCCTGACAGTATGGCAGTTCTGTGAAGCGAATGTGTTTGTGCGCATGCCTGCTTAGTTCCAACGGATACATCCATAGGTGATATACTGCAGTTAGTTTTTCCCCTGGTTAAATGATTTTCATGACATACTGATGGCGTCTGAAATTCGTCTTGGGGTTCTCTTCTACTTCATGGCTTAAAGTGCGTGAAATCCTTTTGTGAGAGGAAAAATATATGGAACGAGAACACGGACTGTTATCCCCAAGGGCTCGGACACTCTTTTCACTTAAATTCCTCCGTTGCTGACGACACCGTTACGAACCGTGTTTTGCGACGTGTTCTAATCTGGCGCGACTACTGGATTAAGTGTAATTCACTTGGAGCCAGGCCTCAGATCTCAGTACGGAGTCACATCGCACATCTAGGAGCTGACCCCAATAGTTGGGTAATCGTTTAGTTCAGGGACCCAATGTTGTTTCGTAGGCTAATTTGTCATCGAAATAGATCATTGTTATTCTACCTGATTTTCTCATAAGAAACAAGAAGGGAAACGGTAAAGTCCGAGACCGACGCGCACAAGTTCATACAAGTCCCGCGGATATCCGTTATGTGCACGGTGAGGCCAGTAGCGCCTATTTTCGCGCCCTCGTTCTCACTAGGCGCTCGAGTATTGGACTTACTTCCCACCTGTACAGGGGTTTATGGCGGCGCGGCCGCTCCCGAAGCAAGCGCGTAATTTGGTATCAAGGCATAGGAAAAATAAATAGGACTTGGAGCTAATTATGGAGTTTAAGATGTTCACGGAATGGTGCGTTAGAAAGCAAAGGAAGGGGTGGAGATTGCAAGGGTGGAGGACAGACTCAGGAAAGTTCCGAGTCTACGGAAGTATTATGGATTTGGTGTCTGTCCGGCATAACTGAATAGTTACTACGGAGTTTACAGAAGGGAGATGGACATGACTTCTCTCATTGTACATTTTCTTCAGCAAGGCATGAACTTTGCCAGTGATACTTTGCTTTTACAATGGAAGCTCTGCTACATCGCTCTCAAGTCCTTCACCGCTGCTCCAACAACCCGGGGGCGGGATGCATGACGAAGGACAAAGTCTCAAGTCTCAAGCCTTCTGCAACGCTGCAAGGGGGAGGCTATACTCAGCACATGCGGAAGCTAGCAAGAAACAAAATGAAAGTCAATTAATTTACACGAGCAACAAAGAAAGACTGAAGTCATTCATTAATGCATTAAGGCTCATGAAGCAGTGCTCAACCCCTGACGGTCTCTTCTTATTGCATTCTTGTCCTGAAGAATCACTGAACGAACTTCCTAGCGCCTGGCAAGGGTGCAAAATGGGAATGATTGTTACGTTTGCTTTCACCTATCCGATGCCGCGTTCGCCTTCAATGATGTTATTGGCAATGAATAGGACCACAAGCTAGATCTTGGGGGTGTTCCTGAAGGAACATGACACCGCCTAACGGCAAGCACTAACGGCTTCGAAAAATGTTCGTATCTGCGGGAAGAAACCGGCTCCGTCTGTCAGAACAGGGGTTTATTTTCGTCTCAAATGCAGTCGAGACGTCAGAGAAGACATGCCAGGTTGCTAACGAGAGTGCCGCTCGACCAGACAAGTGATAGTCTCGTCGTCACCAAACTAAAGAATCAGGCATCAGATTCCTTGCCTGCGGAGTGACGATAAGGACGGCACTAATATAACCAAGATGCTTGATCTTGAACCTGGTATCAGAGTGCAATCGTCCCAACAGAATGGCATGTCCAATGGTGACGTAAATCAACATCCAGCTGATGGGCCAATTGTAACAGGGCAAACGCTGTACTTGGCCAGGCATCCAGATCGGCAAGTCATTGTGACAAGTGGGGACTTGAGTTGGTCACTCGACCTCAATTTGAAAGTTGTCTCCTAGCTGTCAATACCACTACTGCGGACAAGAAGCCTGGTCGATAATGGACGGCCTATGAATGGAAACGGTACGGCTCCCGGTTGGCGCCTCCGAGGAAGTACGTATCGACATCACTGTCCTGTTTTCCGAACGAATGTGTCAATCACGGCGTTTTGGTCGAAGCTGTGCGAGTTTACAGCCTGTCAGGTGTCACTGACTTGTTCCGAATTTGAGCATCATGATGTTCCACAGATCTGACTAACCCATACTGGACACCAAGATGGAGAAGTTCTGATTCAGACCAAGGGTACTGTACTCTGCGATATAGACATGCAAGAGGAAACCCAATCATGGAGCATGATACATGATGGTAGTCTGATGAAAAGGTTGAACGTTCAACCGCAGGTGATGCACAAGAGCTCGATCGTGACTTACATATACATGGACAGCGAAATTATCACTTCCTCTTTGCCATCTGCATAGTTAGGTTGTCGATGTACATCTGCAAGGTCGAATTCTCGGACGTGAGTTGGTCGACGTCCGACTGGACGCTGTGCACTCGTGCGACAAGTGCTGAAGATGCGATATTGACGACTGCATAAACTGATATCCAGGAAGCAAGTACCTTGTAAATCGCCCTGTGCAGCTGCAATTTCTCTGTAGGGCGCCGCCAATCAGAAGCTGTGGTTAGAAAGTCGAAGGATAAAACTGACTTAAGAATCTTCTCCTTCCGTATCGCATCCTTTACTATGTCGCCAGGTTGTTGCTCAGGCTCGCCCCAGGCTGTGGCAGCTCCGAAATCATTGAACGACATGGTGTCACATGCTAAGACTGTTCACGGTCCGCTCAGGGTACTTATTAGTGGACATCACTAATTTAATTAGTACACACAAACCACAAACTAATGAAAACTTCAACAAGTACTAGTAGTACTTGGCGTTATAACGTTAATGATTCATTATACCATCCAAACGTTCCTAGATGTCCCGATACCAAGCTTAAAACCGAGATGCGGAACTTAGATCGACAATAACACAAGTGTCCACAGTCAGGGAACGCCCTTGACTGAGTAACGTCTGACCGTATGCCAGTCTACTCCTTCTTGTCTTTCCCAGCACTAGGACTCCCTTTGGCCTTAAGCTCCTCCTCGATCTTCGCCAGCTCTCTCGCCTCTGCACGACGTGCGTATTCCTGTCCGCCCTATTAGAAAAAAGTCAGAAATAGATATTAGGAGGGTAACACAAGAAATAAAACGGGCTTCGAGGTTGCGTGATGTGCTCTTCGGGAAGGAAATGTGATAAATAAATGTTTCAAATCGAGCTGAAAACCTTTAGCTTCGCACGGGAAAGCGAGCGCCGCATGATGGAAGAGGAAAGAAATTGTCTGACGATTACCTGAAGCACTAGAATGGCACCAAGGACTACCATTATAATGGTGTTGCCTGCTGCGAGTATTCGCATGGCCTCGATACGGTCCGCACGTGTATCGACATCTACGGGGGTGACGACGGTTCGCAAAGATGGAACTGTCACTGAAAGGTAGACAGCTACTGCAAAAATGTAAGCCACTAGTTATATTATTGAGCAATGTATTGAAGCAAGTCAAATTTGGCTCCTACCCAGACTTGATCCATCGAAGAAGATGGCACTCTCATCGTATTTATGCAGTTTTGAAACAAGTCCTAAAATACCAACCCCCATGAAGCCATGTAGCACCGCCTATGACGATGAGCGTCATCCTCCTGACATTGTTGCTCGCAAAGGAATACAGACCTTAATTGCGGGCGGTGCATTGAAGAAAGTGGCATAGAATTGGAAGCCGTCTTCAATGATCTCCTCTGTCAATTCCTGATGCAGAATTCGGTAATCAACAAAGAAGCATATGAAGAGGACTCCTGTTGCAGAAATACAGAGTTAGGTCTATCGGAGACACGAGTTGAAGTCTCACCAAGAAAAAAAGAGCACGATGCAAGGACGGCGCCTTGTCGGAATCCCATCTTTAGGATTGTTATATAACTAGTATCGGCGTAAGCAACTTCTAACTTGTGTTCAAGACTAGCCTGAGAGTGGACGGGCTCACCGGAACTCGGATCAAGGTATCAAGTTCGCCAAGGACCTTAGATTCAGGAAGACCTATGTATTCTGTGCAATCCCCAGCCAGAAACGAAGAAAATAAGTACAGCAAATTTTCGAGATCGTCAACGTTCGTACTGTCTGTCCTACGTGGCTGGTGCCGGAGTCCCAACCAACTCTATTACGTAAACCATGACCCCGACTCTGCATCAATCCAAAGAGAGGTACACCTGTGCCTTGCCCTTGGCAAGTCCGTGAGTCGCGCGATTTGATGCGTTTTTTGAGGGTGGTTCATTCTCATCATGAGATGCTTGGGTGTTATGTGCATAATTCATGAACCATGATACTAGTATCTGGCAGGATCTGGCTCGATCATGAGAGGTGCGTGTTTCTTGAGTAATTCCGACGAAGGAACTGCCACACTAGCATGCAGCTGAGCCTTTTCAAGTTCTTCTCTCGCCAGGGTGCATCGATTCGCAATCACCGCCGACCAAAATTTTGTCTAGCGAGCGACAATCTCTCCAGAAAACCAGGGTGATGAGTTATTCGATGGTCGCTAACCAGGTGACAAGCTTATCGAACCCAACTTACAGTAAGTACTGAAGTCATATATCCATGTTTGAAGCTTGGGGTTCCACTCGGAACCTTGTATACAAAGTTTAGAGCTACGATATTTAAGTTCAAGCTGAGTGTAGAATGATGATCGATAGCCGCTCCCACACAAATATTGCCCATACTGACTCACCACCAACTACAGGCAGCAACAGCACTGTATTGACTCATCCATCGCTTCCTTGCCGCTGGATATTCGCAACCCCTTCGAGGTTTGATCGTGATCTGCAGACTGCATGCTTACGATCGGTGTATTCGTTACACATGAATTGCTGCACTGTCCACTAGCGAAGAAGAGAAAACGGGGCAAGAATCTCACTCGATTGACAGATAAAGGGCTGGAATCGACAAAGGTAGATTCAGAATCTCACCGACTTTGCATGCTATTTTTTGTTTGTTGCAGATCTAGGGTGTTCCCATCAGTGAGAAGGAGCTATCCACTTCTGATGATCTGACTACGGGAAACTATGACGTTCCAGACACAATACGTTGTCATCGCCCTAGCACCTTATTCTTATCTTCTATATTTTATCCAATTGTGCACTTGCCCTCTGGTGTCCAAGGGATGGGCACCAGCTGGTAAGTCTGCCATTGCTACAATATCAGACGATTACTGGCAATTATACGGGCAAACGCTCTGCCATATTCTTGTTTGCTTTGGATATTCGTTTACTCGTCAGTCCAGGGAAGTCCCTAGTGTTGCCAAAACAATTGTGATTATTGACAATTAATGATACCATGATCATCGACGATTGACAGAGTCCAGTACAGGTGTGGAAAGTGTCGTGTGATACATAATCAAGTTGTAAGGTCAGACAGGAGTTAAGAGGAAATGAGGGCTCCCGTTACATGCAGAAGAGAAGCTGGCTTTGTGCTATTTCGGTACCATGATCGCATTCTCGTGCTAGAAGTTCGAAGGTGACACAGGGAAAGAGGGGCGAGGTAGCCTTGATGCGTAGTTCTGTGAAAGGGTGGATCATGATGCAGATCGGTATCATGAGCTAGTTTGTACAGGAACTTGAAGCCGAAGAATAAAGGAGTAATAAGGTGGGAGGTGGGACGCGTCCGCGCTTCGACGGGTAGCTCGGGGTCTCAAGCCCGGGTCGGGGTTGAGGGGAAAGAACGGCCGTCTGAGAGTGAGAGGTATCCCATTCGCCTGATGATTGAATTGAGAATATTTTCAGGAGCGCGATTCGTTGGGGTGCTGAACTCTGGCACTGTCTCCGTTGTCCACTGAAAAGAAAATGATGTTACCAGAACCTCTAGAAAAGAGGAATAATTATACCTTACGCAGCGCTACGTCGTCATCTTCGTCGCTATCGCTAGTGCTGACGGCTGGAGGACTGGGTGTCATATCTCTGAAGACATTGCCAAGCTTGGAGACGGTTGAAGAAGAGGTGAGGGTCACGATACTGTCTAAGCTGTTCCCAGGAGATGAGATGGACGGCGATGACAAAGGAGTCTTGAAGTCATCGGTATCGTCGTGCGAGAAAGCAGGAGACCGAGGATCATCATGAACGGTTGCCAAGGAACTCCCTTCACCAGTGGTCGGTGGACAGGTCTCCATAAGCCCCAGAACTTCGCAAGCTATTCTATCGGACGCATGGAGAAGCGCCAGCGTAGAAATGCATAAAGTAACCACGGCGAGTTTTGGAGAAGCCTGTTCTGCCTCCTTCAGGGCATGGCGGGTGTGACGAACCACGGTTTTGTTGAAGAGGACTGCCGAAAGAATGCCAGTCATGATAACTCGAGCGACAGTGTTGGAGACGAGAGAGACAGCGTTCATCGTGGAGAATTTAATGTTTTAACTGAGCTGGTAAATATCTCAAGAGGTCTGATAAAGCTCCGACTCGTATGTTCTGAATATTTATATGTTTGGTTGTGTGGGCGGCTCGCGTCGCGACCGTCACGTGCACACAAAATCAAAGCACATCAAGTCACCAGATCAGTCGAATTTAACGACATGGCGAGCGGTATAAATTGCAGGTGCACTTCCGAACGAACTATACATATTGTCCAAAGCTTCCAATCATCCACATCCCTTACACCACCTTCTCCACTCCAGGGGGGAACTTGTAGTTTCCCTGGCGTCTGACCTCGTCGAAGATGTCCATCTCCACCAGGCTTTTATCATGCCCCCAAAGCGAACTCTCACTCTTTCTATCTCGCACACACCGCGCAACTTCATCTGCCTGAAAATGCCATCCATTGCCGACGTACTCGAATCGCCTCGTCTCCTCCTTTGTCACTTTGCTGCCTTCAAGGTACTGCACAGTGAAGCTCTTCGGGCAGTATATCGGCGCTGCAATCGTAATCGTACCCTTCTCGTATCTAATTATGACACAAGTCTGATAGGAATTCATGTTAATGTTGCATGACAGGATGGCTTGTGCAGCTAGTTCCTTTTCGGCGAAGGTGACTGTGAAGGAGGTATTGCCGTCGACCCCTGTCAGAGGGGTTTTTAACATTGTCCCACTGACGTTGCTGGGAGCAGCTCCTTGGTTAGCGGGGTGCTCGTACAGGGCGAGAATGGCCTGCGATTGTCATTAAGGGAATAAAAACAAAGATGATTGCAGCCTTACCCAAATAAGAGGATATGGTCCCCTGCAACAGGTCAGATTCTCCGCTATAAGTTTTACCTTGTGTACTCACAAATCTAGTAATGCGCCACCACCAAGGGCAGGATTCAAGATGCGGTGAGTCTTAGGAATTTCTGTTGTGCCCCGTGAGGTCTGACGGTACATAAAGTAACACGACATCACTTACTGTGAGGCCGAAAGTTTTCTGACAAGTCGGCTTGGAGAGCCAGTGGTGCACCCAATACACCACTTTCCGAAATTTTCTTAACCTCGAGCGCAAGAGGCTGGAAGCGTGTCCAAAGGGCTTCCATAAAGAACACTCCATGCTCTTTTGCAACTGCAAGGAGCGACCGAAGCTCGGCCGCGTTCAATGTCACGGGTTTTTCGCAAAGAACGTGTTTCTTTGCCTTAATCGCGTCGAGCGCGTTTTCATAGTGAAGAGTATGAGGTGTGCCTATACAACGTCCGGTAAGTTGAGATCGACCTAGATATAAAATTAAGTCGAACCAATGTAAACTGCATCCACGTTCTGTGCCACATCTCGTTAGATTGGTTGCTGTTTTGAGGGTATTCTACCCACCGGGTCTGCAAAGACACCAGCATAGCTCCCATATGCTTTAATCGACTTATCACCCTTGGCATACTCGGTGATGAAATTTTGCGCTGATTGGACGCTTCGCGACCCAACAGCAGTCACTTTATGTGCTACATCAGTGACATTACGGCTGAATTTAACAATGTCATTCGATTTCACGATGGACAGCAGAGTGGCACGGACGTTTCGGGATCAACAAGGAGATCCTAAACCACACTTCTCAATTAGAAAGAGAGATAGACGGATATTTAAAACGCACTGTTACGAAGTGATTGGCTATCCAGCCAGTTGAGATAATACCCCAGCGAAGAACGAATGGTTTGGTCATGACAACTGGCGCAGAATAATGAAAGCCTGTAAATGCAGGGATGTATTAGGGTGGGTTGGTGCAACTAGCATAGATGTATTGTGTCATTATATATGTCCTTGCAAGAATGGTCCAAGTCACGCTGGTAAGTTCTCAGCTGATCAGGGGTTCGGCCCGACTTATGATAGGGCTTCAATCCGCTGCAAATTGGGTAAAATTATAACCCAATTAGCTGTAATCTATCGCACCTGGTGACCTAGCCACGTTTCACAACTCATCCACACGTCTAATCATCATCTGCCACGGATTGTCACTGTGGCATCATCCATTGTCCCCGATTTTTGACACGCTCTGTTTGCGATATGTACGAAGATCAGGATGACATAGCGAGCGTCCTCACCCAGCTGTTTGAGCATTCTGGTATCTTGATAACCAAACTCGTTCCGGAGCTCTTCCAATCCATCCGGAATACACCTCTTGAAACCATAGACCCCACTAACGCGCTCATCGAACGCGCTATCGCTATCATCCACGCGTGGAATGTACATGAACAAGCAGAATTCATCACTGCACACCCAAGGATCGGGGAGATCAAACAGCTCTCTGCGTTAAGCGCCAAAGAGCAAAGTGGTGGCCTCTCTGCTACAGCAAGGTTGGAGACACCCCCAGAGGTGTTAAAACGGCTAGAACACCTTAACGTGTGTTATGAGCATGTGTACTTTGGACTGAGGTACATCACGTTCGTGAACGGGAGAACTAGGGCTGCAATTGCGAGGGAGATGGAGGATAAGCTACAACTTGGACATCCTTTGGAGAGCTATCCAGATGGGCCTCCGCTGAACGAGCCTGTGGCAGAAAGCCTGATCTGTGTCGCGAGGAACAGTGAGGGCTGGTTAAATGAGCTGAAACGAGCGGTGGATGATGTAGGGAAGATTGCTAAGAGTAGACAGAAGTCATTGGGATTGTGATGACATTGAGATTGTATCGACCGAACAGATTGGAGTTCCGTATGTACATTCTGTCACTAGATGTCCACGGAGACTATAGCAAATATGATCGCGGGTAGGTCAACGAGTGAATAAACACGAACACGAATCGAACAACAAGGGATTGCAGAAGGAAGCAAAATATAGAAGTACAACAGTATCGCGAATAAAAACTCCAGCGTTGGGAGATAAATAAAGCAAAATACCCACTGAAACGAACCATAAGATAAAACTGTCAGTCGAGTTCGCCTTGCTAAATGCGAGTTGTGTGTCGTCGTGGTATTTGGCCTTTGTCCGCCATCTCTTTCCACTGTATATAAAATAAATTCATCAAATGGAAAAATGCCTGCAAAAATAAATGACACGTACCTGTAGCGCGGCCTGCCTCCTCGATTCCCACTCTGGGTGGCAGTCGCGCAGCTCTTGATAGAATTGCTCAACCATTTCCACATATCGCTGCTTTTCCTCCTTTATACGCTTGAGGTTCTCATAGAAGTCCGCACGTTCTTTCATACGAGCCTCGCTGCGTTCCTTGACTTGACGTGCCCACTCTTCGCGCGTCTTGACCCGCCTGTCGTGCTGCTCATCCCAATGTTTCTTGTTCTTCTGAGCAAGCTGAACGCGGTCATCGTAGGCCTAAATAAATGGAATATGTTGGCGCCCATCGTTCCAACACAAGTATACGCATGATTAAACACACACCTTCCTTTTCACTGGATCACTGAGCACCTCAAATGCCTCGCATACCTTGCGACAAAATCATATCATCAACATTAGCATCGAGCAATCATTCGCATCAAGCTCAGACCGCCCATACATTTCTGAACCTTCCCTCTGCATCGCGACGCTCTTGCTCCGTCACGGTAGGCTCGAGCTTGTCAGGGTGTGTCTCAAGAGCTTTCTGTTTGTATGCCTTCCTCACTGTGATCGAAAGTGAAGATCAGTTTCACGAGGCAGGATTACACTAGTGCGAACCATCATCCGTAGAAGCGGTAGTTGGGATCGCAAGGACGTCGTACAGTGTGATCCCTATCATGGATAGTAGATGCTATTGAGACAGATATTTCTATTGATTCGAGCTTGCCTCGCGGGCAGATCGATGGGTTTTTGGACCGCAGTAAATAAGAAATGAGAGCTGTGAGTAACAAATAGGGAGTGTGATGTCAAGCAGAGGCCGCAGAACGGGGTTTAACGAAGGAATTCGAAGCAAGTTGAGAATTTCAAACTTGAACCTTGTTCGGACGGAAATGGATGATGTCCAAATTGGTGACACGCGCCCGTGTCCATATTTCACGTGATTCATCATCGATCCATTTTTAGATTCACAACTTGCTCACAAGACGCGTCTATGTGGTCTGGACTCTGCGCCAACTTGATCTAGACAGGCGTGTCATATGAAAAGTATGTCTGTTGAATCGAGATGCGCGGGCAAGGCGAGCGCTCAACAGATCAAACGCTGAACTGATGCAATCGATTTCCAGTTTGGAGGCCTTGCAATCTCATCAATCCATTGATATTACACCTCGCACTCATGATCGATTTACACCATACACTGCACACCCGATCACGATTTCTTTTACGCTGCTTCTATACTTCCAGTCGCTTTAACCGCGCAAGAAGGCCCATACCACCTGCATAAACCTTTCCGTCTCTTCCAGCTGCGGGACATGCGCTGAATCCGCAAATTGTACCCATCGGACCTTCGGGATACGCTGAAAGAAAGGCTCTACGACCATGTCCTGTGCTTCATCGTACCTTCCGTTGATGAGCAATGTCGTTGCCTGAATATTGTGCAGCCGGTCAATCACGCTCCATGTCCTTAGAGAGCCACTGATGTAGAATTCGTTCGGTCCGTTCCTGTTCCCCAAATGTTGAAAATGCATGACACAGATGGACGAAACACCTACATGGTTGAGTACACGGTTGGATCCTTTTCCATCCATGCAAGCCCGTCCAACAGGGACTGAGGCATTGGGTCGAGTCTGCACAAATGCCGCTTGTAAAATTCGTTCGTTGCGGCAATGTACTCTGGATCCGTCATTGTATCCGCTGCCTCATGCTTATTCAACGCATCCTGTACCTCCTTCGGCAACTCCTTCCTCAACTCGTTAGCGGCCTTAACCCACAGCTCCATACTCGCTGGGGAGTCAGCAATCACCAGTTTCCCGAGGCCTTTTGGCTGGCGCGTCGCAAACTCTGACGCCAGCATCCCTCCCCAGCTCTGCCCCAGTACGTTATAGTTGTCGTGGATATTTAAGTGATTCAGGAGGTTATGCAGCTCGTCAACGAAGAGCTGCACAGTCCAGAAGTCCACATCTCCGTTCTTCTCTGGGAGGTGCGTGGAGCGTCCATTGCCGAGTTGATCATAAACTATAACGGGTACGTCGAAGAGGCGCGTAAGCTCGGAGAGGATGTCGAGGTATTCGTGGGTTGAACCGGGACCACCGTGAAGTACTACAAGAGGTGGGTTATGTGGGTGGGGGAGAGTACCATACACCTTGTACCAAGTCTTGCAGGGCTTGCCTGCACCAGGAACATTGAAATCGGCTTCAGCTTCCCTTACTTTGAGTGAGGACATGGATTTTTGTGGTTTGTGGCTTCTAAGTGCTGGTGGGTGGGTTTCGTTAGGGATGATTAATCGATGATGGGCGATGTTTATCTCATGATGGGTCTAACATGAGAGAAGGTACTTATAGCCACATGATGGTACGTCCGGAATAGCGGTACATTCGTTCCGCCTATTCTTCTCATTGACAGTCAAGCTTCAGATTCCTCAAGTTTTCAATGAGGAACATATGGTATCGACCACACCTGCCCACGGCAATGCTTGATCTGAATCGATTGCTATCTGATCTAAATGTCCGAGTTTGTCAGAGTAACATCAAATATTGCCTTGTCGTCTTTTTTGGTGATGGACTTAGATTAAGACTGTTATCATCCCATCTATAATCACATGATCGTGGGGAGTGGTGTTATCAGTGCACACTGCACATACTTACTAGGTTTGACTTTTCAAACACGCCACAAATAATTTGTGGCGATTCAGTACCGCCATCGATATTCTCTTGCGCATATTATATACCATCATATCTGTCAAATCATCTTCTTGCTAACACTCCCTGCATTTGAATCTGTATCCAAAAGCGACTAGTTACTGGCAAACGATCTCCAGTGCCTTGATGTGCGCCCGTGTTGCCATCACGTGGTTATGTCACATCAGTTTTCGTCCACTACACTTCTCATGATCATGAAGTTCTCAGGTTCAAAGTCCAGAAAGATCTCAGTTGGCCAGCCTGGCATTACTACAAATCTATGTTTATCGACGGTCATCCGAGTCCTTCAACCTTATTCTTGCTCACCTCCTACAGTAAACGTTCAGGCTATCCGAAAATTTCATCATAATTCCTAGATACACGCACAGAAGCACATGAATCTCTAGGACAACTGTTATCAAGCACGCTGCAACGAACCAGTGACACAAACACCTCATTGGCAACCTAATCGCAGACATGATCCCTCTCGTCTCAGTCACGGCTGTCGAAACTTTGGCCGCTTCCACTTACCAGAGGAACACTGAATTTATATGACCTTGCAAGTAAGGTGACGCAACCGAATCCCATGAGGAACCAAACACCACAATATCGACTTCCTTCACACGTGTCCCCATCACCCTGGAGCAAATGGTTGAAGGCCACTGTCAATAGTTTTGCGCATAGTGCACCAATTCCTGCTTCCTTCACTACTTGAACTCTTACTTGAGGCCTTTCAAATTTTCTCTCTCCTTGAATGGGATGAGAAAGACGGTCATGATGGACCGCCCATTTTATGGATCTTCTCAATTTCATTATACCACTTTTAGAGCTTTCATTTTCGTACATGTTATCATACATGCACGGTTGAAAGGTTTGGAAATATAATGTTTGTTTACTTTTTTTTGTTCCAATTTCTGTCCATTGGGGTAATGTACCCTATGTCAGACAGTGCTAACTAGTCTAGAAGGCCCCTGCCCTGTCTACATCTCTGGATTCGCAAATGCCCCGACGTGAGATTGTCCTCTGTCGGTCTGCCGTTCCTGATCACCGTTTTAGACGCGCAATCCAATCGAATAGCAAACAAATATCCGGATGTCATCCAGTGTTGTAGGAACATGGGATTCAGGGTGTAGAAAGGGAACATCCGATTCCGAACAAGGCTCACGAGGTATACCCTCGTTCACGACGATGACTCAAAAAAAAACAAAGTACCCCACAAAAGCCCTCCTCTAGCGAGTCGGGGAAGCATCTGGCCTACAGCAGACGTGCTACATCCATGTTTATTTATTGATTACATGATTTTTCCGAAAATAATAGCAACCATTATCTTGCCTCGAAGTCCGGTGCTGGACTCTGCAGACTCTGCACCAGCTTCTAGACAGGCGTGTCATGTGAAAAGTATGTCTGTTGAGTCGAGATCCGCAGGCAAGGTGAGCGCTTAACAAATCAAACGCTGAACTGATGCAATCGAATCGCAGATTGAAGCCTTGAAGCTTGAAGGCCTTGGCCCGCAATGTCATCAATCCATTGATATTACACCTCACACTCATGATCGATTTGTACCATACACTGCATACCCCATCATTTCTTTCACGCTGCTTCTATACTTCCAGTCGCTTTAACCGCGCAAGAAGGCCCACACCACCTGCATAAACCTTTCCGTCTCTTCCAGCTGCGGGACATGCGCTGAGTCCGCAAATTGTACCCATCGGACCTTCGGGATACGCTGAAAGAAGGGCTCTACGACTATGTCCTGTGCTTCATCGTACCTTCCGTTGATGAGCAATGTCGTCGCCTGAATATTGTGCAGCCGGTCAACCATGCTCCATGTCCTTAGAGAGCCAGTGATGTAGAATTCATTCGGTTCCGATCCTGTTCCCCGAAGATTGAAGATGCATGACACAGATGGATGAAACACCTACATGGTCAAGCACACGGATGGATCCTTTTCTATCCATGCAAACCCGTCCAACAGGGACTGAGGCATCGGGTCGAGCCTACAAAAATGCCGCTTGTGAAATTCGTTCGTTGCGGCAATGTACTCTGGATCTGTCGTTGTATCCGCTGCCTCGTGCTTATTCAACACATCCTGTACTTTCTTTGGCAACTCCTTCCTTAACTCGTTGGCAGCCTTAACCCACAGCAACGTACTGGCTGGTGAGCCAGCAATCACCAGTTTCCCGAGGCCTTTTGGCTGGCGCGTTGCAAACTCCGATGCCAGCATCCCTCCCCAGCTCTGCCCCAGTACGTTATAGTTGTCATGGATGTTTAAGTGATTCAGGAGGTTATGCAGCTCGTCAACGAAGAGCTGCACAGTCCAGAAGTCCACATCTCCGTTCTTCTCTGGGAGGTGCGTGGAGCGTCCATTGCCGAGTTGATCATAAACTATAACGGGTACGTCGAAGAGACGCGTAAGCTCGGAGAGGATGTCGAGGGGTTCATGGGTTGAACCGGGACCCGCCGTGAAGTACTACAAGAGGTGGGTTATGTGGGTGGGGGAGAGTACCATACACCTTGTACCAAGTCTTGCAGGGCTTGCCTGCACCAGGAACGTTGAAATCGGCTTCGGCTTCTCTTACTTTGAGTGAGGACATTGATTTCTGTGGTTTGTGAGTTCTAAGTGCTGGTGGGTGGGTTTCGTTAGGTTGATGATGGGCGTTGATGTTGTCTAGCATCAGTGAATTGATGAACAGACGTGACAAAGCTATTTAAAGCAATATATTGTAGAACATCGCAGCAATCTTTGTATATCGGCTGACCGCTTTGACATGGGAATATCTGGCATTGTCGTCGTCGAGGAAAGATGAATTTACAAGTACACCAACCTAGTAGAATTGTTTGATTTGTGCCCTTTTTCGTTTAGATGGATTTAAGAAAAAATGAACGGGCACTTGTTCATTAAATTAAATACAGATCGAGATTGAGAGGGTCAAGGAAGGAGGTTGTAATGTGCCAAGTAACAGACCCTTTAGTGATGTCCCCAGTGATGTGGATGGGATATGGCATCGTTTCATCTTCGCCCAATATATTTTTGCTAACTCGGGATGACTAGTATGACATGCATGTAACTTGCTCGAGGGTAAAAGTTTAAATTTTAGTGCAGTGCCGTGGTCCGGTTCGGTGCGGTTCAGAGGGTCCTGGACGAGAACCGAGAACCGAACCATCGGAAACCGTTCTGTGTGGTCTGGTTCGGTTTTTTCCTGGTCCGAATGTGAACCGAACCGTAAACATTTCAAGCACCAAAAAAATTGATGCAGTACAACTACGTAGCTAGTCCAACTACATGCCAGCTGTATGACCCTCTGCTTCTGCTTCTGACATATGTCCATCATCAGCAAACTAGTGGGGGCTTGTACATATTTGTACAAATTTGTACAAACCAGTTGACATGCCATAACGGACGAGCGGTATCATACCGTCACTCGATACAAGAGACGGCTATATTCCTTCCATTCGCCTTTGTTGGCGGAACAACGAATAACAATCAGCATTCTGATCCATGACGACCCTATAAATGGTGCGCCTAGCAGTGTAAATTTGGACTTGGCGAGTCGTGGTCAGCCGTAATACTTAGCCAACCATGTCTGAAAAGAATCACAGATGCATTTAGATTCTCCCATGGAGTTCCGGAGCCAGAAAAGAGCTTGACCAGGCAAGAGTCTGGACGACACTTGGGACAAAACGGCAAAGACTGCGGATACAGTGTGATATCATCTATAGACAATGGAAAGACACGGAAGGCTGTTCAAAAGGCTGGGAACCACGAGGACTGCTTAAAATTCCAGCTGGAGTCAGGACTCAGCAAGCGCCCGCCTAGTCATGAGGCTTCGGACCCGGAGCCCCATTGCAGACCTTGAAATAGAGTTGCACTCCATCGTTACACATTGCGACTCACTACCATCATCATATCCAAGGCCATCATGCCCACACTGCTCCACCAGAATGTTATGCAAGTTGAGAGTGGCCAAGCGCTGTCTGCCCACATTATATCTGAATCGAATTTAATCGAAGAGCAACATCAGTTGTGCAATCTGTTAGAAAGGAACGAGGGACGTGCCCTTGGCCTTGCTGGCGGATTTGCGCCAACTGGAGAGCTCGCGATGCTTGCAATCGCAGACACGTCCACGATTATCATTATCGAATTCGAGTTAAACTTGAAGAAGAGCAAGGGCAACAGACATGATGGACGCCCTGTCACACACGCCGGCAAGGTAGACAACACTGCCGCTCGGGAGTTTTTGACACAGAACCTCCTCCGCCGCACCACCGGATTTTTATACGCATTCAACATTGCACCAATTGCCCTTGCTCTATCTCAAACACATGATCTTCGAATCGCAAATGCGATAGATATCCAGTCCGCAGGACCGAAAACGCGTGCCCCGCTCGCCACCATTAAACAGGCCATTGGTGATCTTCATGGTGTACACGATGTAAACATCAACGAATTATTCCGCAATGATACCATCATCGATCATCTCCCCGCTGCTAAGAATGGCACTACTTCACTTGCACTACGTGCATGGATCGCACACTATGTTTCACAACTCTCGACCATGGAGGATCGTCTCGCGCAGGTGCCCTCAGTGGACACCTTCCGGCTCTCTGATGAGGTAGTTCACTGCCTTCCTGGCGAATGATAGTGCTGATCATAATCACAGGTATTGGAATTCCTCGCGAAGAGCTCGAAGGATTCGTTCCAGCTCGAGCAGAAGAAGCCGACCGAGGTCACACGCCAGTTCACCACTTCTATCGATCATGAGAACAATCACATCGATGCCCGAGCCGACAGATACCAGAACAAAATTCGTAAGGGCCACCATCAGGCATGTCGTTCGCGTATCCACGCCGTGCCTTACTTGACAACTAATTTTCTTAGCGTGCATTCATTGATATTGGCGAGTGCGCAGGGCGGGGCTTCACCGTTGACGGTCAGGTTACCAGGTCTCAGGGTCGCATCGCGAAACTCGCTACCACCAACAGTCTCAGTTTCGTTGGCAAGACCGTCGGCTCAATCAAGATCGTCGGCCGTGATGACCCTACGCAGGCTGAAACCCAGCGTGCTCAGAAGGTTCTAGAGATCCTTCAAGGTCTCATGGACCTCCAGCACGATAACCCGTGGGTTCAGCTAGTATTCTTCTCGTCTCCCAGGGATGACTTCCAGTGGCCCTCCGCCTGGACGGAGGAGGCGAACGATGCGGGTATGGTCAGATTCCATGCCGACCGTGTCACTCGCCCCCTCAATCCATCCCAGACGAAAGCTGTGAAGCAGATGCTCCAGCAGTCGAATGACGGACGTCTTACTGTCATCCAGGGGCCCCTGGAACCGGTAAGACCACTGTCATCGCCTCGTTTGTTCAGACTGCCCTGGCCGGTGGACTCTCTGGCATCTGGCTCATTGCCCAATCCAATGTTGCCGTCAAGAATATTGCCGAGAAACTCACTGACTTTGGCCTGACCAATTGGAAGCTTCTTGTTTCAACGGAATTTTTCGACGACTGGTCAGTCCTTTCACTGGTGGGCTTTTCCATTTAGGCAGACTAACATAATGTAGGCACGAGCACCTCTATGCCAACATTCGGGCTAATATCATCACATCTGAGGACTTCTCTGCGCCAGGTTTTTTTAAGGAGCTCCAGACCACCCCGGTTATTCTCTGTACTTTGTCTATGCTCTCATCTTTCGCTCTTCGAAGGTTTGGAGGTTTCACAGCTGCGCCACTGAGGACCCTCGTCATCGACGAAGCGTCCCAAATTGAGATTGGTGACTACATTCCTCTCTTCACCTCTCACACCTCCATTAGAAAGGTGTGCTTCATTGGTGACGACAAACAATGTAAGTATTTCTCCTGCATGTAATCGCATGTTCTGACATCTTCAGTGCCACCCTATGGTCAGGATGATATCCAGGACCTGAAGAGCATTTTCGAAGTCAAGCATCTCAAGGACCATGCCATTTTTTTAGATACCCAATGTAAGTCCTTCCTTTAATGTTCCCCTACCCTGAAATTTATCATTTTATTGTAGACAGGATGCCCCCTCAAATTGGAAAGTTCATCTCTGAAGCTGTGTATGATTGCGTACTCAAGTCGGATCCGCTACACCCCGTCACGGACGAGAGAATGGCTTGTCATTTTATCAACATTCCCAGCCAGGAACAACTACATGGAACTAGCTGGAAGGTAAGTCACTTGAATTCAGTCACTCGCAGTTGATCAATGTCATGCGCAGAACCTTGGAGAGTGCCAAACCATTCTCCGCATCGCTAGCATGTTGCAAGAGAAGAATAAGCAATTCCGCATCATCACCCCGTATGACGCTCAGCGGAGTTTGATCGAGGAGGGTTTTAAAGCTCAAGGAGCTCGATTGGGAGGATAAATGTTTCAATGTTGACTCGTTTCAAGGTTCGTTCTCGCAACATATATTTGTAGCTATCATGCTTACGGATCGTTTGTGGTAGGTAACGAGGAAGATTACATTGTGATCTCACTCGTGCGGTCCATGGCGCTCGGATTCCTCGCCGATTTGCGCCGGACTAATGTCATGCTTACTCGATGCAAGAAAGGCATGATCATCTGCACGAGCCAGAAATTTATGGAGCGGGCTGGGTGGGGCTCACTTGTAGGCAATCTGTTAGATTATTACGAGTATGAGTGGATTGAGGAGGATGAGTTGAAGAGGATTATGGTGTAGGTGGGCTGGCGAAGATGCTACTCGAATGGTCGTTATCGGACTCCAACACGGCTTTGATGTTTTCGTGATGATGGCTAGTTGTACGATACTTTAGTGTTGGTTTGTACGATAGCTCGCGCGGTTGGTTGTATCTGGATCAAAGGCATATTTTTTCTTTTTCTTGGAATAAATAATGAGTTTTCTCGTTTCAGTTGCGTCTGAGTGGTGTATTGCGTGGTATACGATAAGTAGGTTTAGTTTAGTTTTGTGCGAATGAGAGTAGGGTGATCTAGTGGAGTTTGGACGTCGTTATCACTAACACAAGTTGGGCAGGTATTGTGCAGCGACAAGCAAGGACGGTTGTTAATAACCGTTTCATCATGTATAGAATTCTCGATCGAGCATTCAACAAACTTCTATTGAACCGACAAGGGTGTTCGATCGCTTGCGATTATCTACAGTCAAAATCAAACAATCTCCATCAGTGTCGGGCCTTCGCATTCACGAGCCAAGGCACGAACCTTGATCAATGCCACCAGCCTGCACCAGGCAGGACAACCGTGCGTGCACCCCTGTGCTCACCCCATCCACTGATTTCTTCGTTCTGTCTTTCAACTCGAGCTCTCCAGCCTCGCAAATCACCCGCATATCCCGGACCGCATCTGCGATATGCTGTTTGAACTTGTTCGTGGAGGTGAGCAGAGATGATAATTTGGACTCGACGCAGAATTTGATGCGGTGGGGTGCTATGAGATCTGTGAGAGGACAGAGTATGAGCTTGGTTTAGTGGCGAGGGTGAGTGTGAACGGAATCGCCAATTAAATTCGAAATGAACACCCTCGGTCGACCTGGTCAACTTGATGGTGATGTCGGCGAGAATAACAAATGCAGATGGGAAACCATTACAGACGAAGAATCCCTCATTGAGGTTCGACGATCCCGCAAAACAATTATGAAACAATTAATCAAACTTACAATTAATCCCATAACGATCCTCCCAGCCAGTGCCTCGGAATTGGTCACCGGCGCTCAGGCCACTAGTGCTGAGCTTCCACTCCTGAGAGCGAGAGAAAAGAGGGTCGGTGAAGAGAGGGTGCGTATGTTTTTCGGGGAATCGGTGGGACTTGAACTCGAGGGAGAGTCCAAGGAGGAAGCAGATGTGGACGCATCTACAGGGAGTTCTTCGAGCATCAACTTCAGGCCTGATAAGTGCCTATCGCGAGGCTGATCAGGTTAGCGGATCAAAAACCACGAGATCCCGTCGTCATTGGAGGGTATGAAAAGAATCCACCTCCACTTCATGTTGGCCCCCCTCCGCCACATACTCAGCTCCACGTCCCCATTCCTTAGCAGCTTTAACAGAGTCTGACTCCTCCGCACTTGCACTCCTTACGCACCCTGTAAGGCCAGCATTGAACATTCGCGTAAGGGCTGTTTCGTAGGTCACTACGAGGAATCTGCGGGAGCGGTACCAGGCGAGTTGAAGTGCAAGTTGGGTGTAGGCGTCTGGTGGAAGGCGGGCTAATAGTGAAATGATCAATGACCTTTGCAACAAAAGAAAGAAGGGCACGGGAGAGGGAGAAAATATCGAGCCCCGCGGGTATGAGTTTCAGATGTTCACCACAACACAAGACCAGGAAAGTAAAATAAAAGAGGCAAAACGCCAGAAAATCGACAAGGAGTCGCAAACTCACCAACATTACTTATCCAATCTCCCCAAATTCCAAAATCCCTGCCTATGAGTTATTGATCGAGGTCTGAGCCCGTCCTTCCACTTCTCTTATTCGAGCTTCGATCCGCTCGTCTGTCACTCAGTCCAAACGGGTCCATCCTTTGCCACCATCACTCACACGAGCCTCCTCTGAAGTAAGAAGGCGCGCAACAGGCTCTGAGAATGCAGAAGAGTTGATACCAGTAATGACACCGTAATCAAAGACGATGCTGGACAGTGGAGACTAAGGCATCGACAGGTGCGTGTTCACCCATTGCGCCAAGCACGGATATTGCGCTCTAATGATAGGGTCAAGCTGTTGTCGAGGAATCTGTTCCGAACTTGGGGAGGGGAGCGGGTGTTGTGAAGGTGTGCATAGATTTCTGTGTCAGAGTCTAATGCTGGGATGCTTGCGTGAGATGATTGGGAAGGACTTGGTAAGGTAGGGGTTGGGTAATGCGATGGCATTGCAGTATAATGGTCGAGGGAAAGAGCCGTTATAGATTCGTTGATAGCGTGGAAGGTCGAGGCATTTGTGGGTGAAAGGGAGAGCAAGTGTTAATAATTCTATAGGAGTGGTGTCGGTTAGTAACGGGACGAGCAAGAAAATAAGAGTCGAAAGATGCACTGACCTCTGCCACTTGCGGATGTCACAATGGATCGTTTACCCCCCTCGAACCCCTACACAAGGTCTGATATCTGAGACATCCATGGCGCAATATGGGCTGGCGGCGCGGGACATGTCAGGCCTGCATGGAATGGGGCCACGACGCTCGAAAATTGTCCATGTGACTCACTGATGCGAAGAGCGCATCCGAAAACACGCGGATACATCCAAGGCTTTCCACTTTCTTTAAACATTATCTTACCTTGTGCTCAAACTCCACGATCCCCTTGCCTTGACCGTTCATTTTCACCTTCATACGCTACTCGTGCTCGTTCTGGCCTAGTCAACCGTTCGAAAACGTATGAATACACCCCATGTACACTCATACCCTAGCAAAATCTCATACGCTGATTCCCCGCTCAAAAGCACGTCCGAACGCTCCAACGAAAGTTCCCGTCTCTGAACGTCTTGTCTTGTTTCTCGTCACACTATCTACCTATACGTCTCATAACCACATCGATCTGTTCGCTATCCCCTTCGAACTCACTATCAGCCATACATTAGTCAACACTTAGGTCGCAGATGTCACGGTCAAAAGTCACCGATCAATCGTCATCGACCATCGATCCACAGCTCAATCAGGTCACAGTTCTCATTCACGAGTTGCCACTCCAGCGCCCCACGATGGTTTCAGCTTTTCCTCGGAAAGTTTTCCAGCTATCATCCATAACTTATGGGGTTCGAGAAGATGTTTCAGTGAGAGTAGGTGTTGATTCCATCAAGCTCGTTCACTGTAAGTTTTTCTCCTTCATCAACCTCAATTTCTTGATGCACTCACAATCTCATCTGACCAAGTGAAACCAACCTTCGCGAGTTGATTGTGTTATGACCACCATTATAGCAAACATGGATTGATGATGTAAACCTCGCGGTGGCCCTTCATCGGACAAACCTCTCTTAGAAAAAGAATGTCACGGTGCTCAAGCATCTTCCGACTACTGCCAAATCCAACCCTCCAAGTTGTGCTTTCTGAAAGTTATATCCAACTCAATCGTTTGTCAGAACCTGTCTATTAAAATGCGCTCATCCTCATTACACGTGTAATATATTGTGCGACAGTGAATTTTCTGCATCTTTTCTCGAATTGTTGCCCCGACTCGCTACTTCCCAAAGGATACCGGCGATGACGTACAATTAGTGTACCTTTGATGCACTCTCCAAATGATGGTACACGGCGTTAGTACTTGAACAAGGTTGCTGCCGGCGAAGCTCGGCCTTTATCTACTAGGACTCTACTTATCTGTTCTCTCATCACTCAGCCTCGTTCTTTACTACTTGTCCATTCTCTTCTACTGGGTCATGTTGACATCCAATGTTACTTGGCTGGACCTATTATGTCTTGCTTGTATCGGAGCATTCCTGGTCAAGCAGGTGTTGAACAAGAATCCTGCATCATATCCCCCCGGCCCCCGTGGGTGGCCTCTCGTTGGGAACATCCAAGCCATACCTCGAATCAAGCCTTGGCTCACCTTTGCAGAGTGGGGCAAGAAGTATGGTGAGTGCCTCATGTCTCCCAACATGATACATTTCGACTCCATGCTGTACAGGCGACATCTCACATGTCGAAATTCTGGGTCAGCACATCATTGTGCTAAATTCAGTCGAGAATGCGGTGAACATGTTGGACAAGAAAGGTACTGTGTACTCTGACCGTCCGGTTCTGCCTATGGGTGGCGAACTTGTTGGCTGGAAGAGCGCTTTGGCTCTTTTTCCGTATGGTGGCCGCTTGCACCAGTCCCGCAAGAACATACATCAAGTCATAGGCAATCGCGCCGCCTTGTGTGTCTACCACCCGATCGAGGAGATTGAGACTCGCCGATTCCTGAAGCGTGTGTTTTCGAACCCCGAGCAACTGCAAGCTCATGTTCGATAGTATGTTGTATGGTTTACCTTTGCATGGATGGGACATTGAATTCTATAGCACCGCTGGCGCCATCATTCTGCGAATCTCTCATGGTTACGAGGTGAAGGAGAACAACGATCCATTTATCGACCTTGCAGACCGCGCTATGGACCAATTCTCGCGGTCCACTGCTCCCGGCGCCTTTATGGTTGACACCATGCCATTCTGTAAGACTATAATACTCTGACCTTTGCTTGTAACTGGTCTGATTATTCCAGTGGCCAACGTCCCCGAGTGGTTCCCTGGTGCTGGCTTCAAGCGCTTAGCCCGTGAATGGTCCAAGACTCGTGAGGATATGGCTGCCATACCCTACAAGTTCGTTAAGGATCAGATGGTAATAAACATTTATAGTTTTGCGATCATGAGTTGAACGTTTCACAGGCTGCTGGCATTGCCACGATGTCTTTCACCTCGAATCTGTTAGAAGGTCGTACTTTATCTGCGGAACAGGATGATATGGTGATGTGGTCTGCTGCAGGCCTATACTCTGGTGGTGCCGACTGGGTTAGCTCCTCCCTCCATATCACCATATTTTGACTAACACCTGTTTCCACAGACAGCTTCTCCAATCTATTCGTTTTTCCTTGCTATGACACTGTTCCCTGATGTGCAGAAGAAGGCTCAGGCTGAAATAGACGCTGTTGTTGGTCCTGATGGTCTTCCCTCCTTCGCAGATCGCGACTCTCTCCCTTATACTGAGGCGTGTGAAAGAAGTCTTTCGCTGGAGTGTTGTCGGCCCTACCGGTGCGTGGATCTCGTTTATCGTATTCTTTAATTGCTGGGCCGTATCAACCGCCCAATTGACAGCCATCCCCCATCGCGTCACCGAGGACGATATCCATGACGGGTACTATATCCCAAAAGGTTCCTTGGTAATACCTAACATTTGGTCAGTACTTTTATATTTCCGTATTCGACATATCAACCAAATTGAATGGCAGGTTCATGCTCAATGACCCGCGGACGTATGCTAACCCCTCGCAATTTAACCCTGAACGCTTCTTGGACAATAACGGAAAAGATCCTGAACTCGAACCTCGCACGATCTGCTTTGGTTTTGGTAGACGGTAAGAATGGCATTGATTTTAAGTGCAATGCTAACTTCCTGCTCTGCAGTGTCTGCCCCGGTACGCCTAAATCATGCTCAACAAACAGTATTTTGACGTTGTTAACTTTCATGGACAGGTCTCCATCTCGCTGATACCATTGTCTGGATATCCACCGTGATGTCACTCGCAGTGTTTGATATCTCCAAGGTCGTCGAGAAGGGTGTTGAGATCACCCCTGAAGTCGACCATACATCAGGCACGATCACGTATGTCGTGCATCTTATCGCATCCGCGGTGCTGGTTCTGATAGACGTGCTCCCAGCCACCTCAAACCCTTCAAGTGCTCTATTAAGCCTCGCTCTGCAAAAGCTACTGCGCTCATTCAGCAGGATGTTAACTATTGAGGTCACAAAGATGATTCTCGTGATCTAAATCTGTCGTGCATCCCAATATTGTATATATTTTGTATCATCTTCTTGAATCAATGCTCCTTGCGGTCTACATTATAACACATACATCTAGCACCTCCCGCCCAATAATAAGGAGCAGGTTCACGTCCTTGAGCTTTCGCGTCAATGGCGGACGCCTTGATGCGTGGCAACTACCCTCGACTACTGCGATCTTACGCCGTTGTGAATCCCACACCACCTCTCAACCGTAGACCTCCAAGTCTTGTGAACATCAGAAACAGATTCAAACCTCGTAGCCTGTCCGTCAACCTTGGGGTTCTGCCGGCACCAATGCGAAGAATGTCGTCACCGCGTGTCCCGTCCGAGTCGTGCCATTCCACCACATGAAGGATCTCAACACGTGGGGAAGTACACAAAGCACTAGTGGTGAATATGCTTTATATACAGGATAACACAGGTGTCTCTTTGCTTGCATGTAAGCAAGGCAATCGCCGTGCGCCATAGGTTGGGTGTAAAACGAAAGTTCAGCTTGCGGTAGATCATCGAACAGTGCTCCTGAACGAGCTTGTGTGCTCAGTTTCTCGAGGACGGTCTCGCGGACCTCCACATACATCACTACATGATAATATTTTACTCAAGTGTATACCTTTAAAAGTTGAAGTTAACAGATCAAACGCTGAACTGTATGGAAAGCCGGACAGCCGCGCTCTGTTACAACGCGTGACATGGGTAGTCACAAGTTGAGGACTCTGTACACCTCTAAAGAGATTACGTAATGCGATCGACAACCTGTAGGTTCCATAGTATAGCGCGGTTGTCCGGCTTTTTGTCCTGCAGTTACAGTACTATGTCATATCGTGACGGCGCCGGCGCCAGCCCCCGACTCGCTTATTCCCGGCATGTTTTGTGTCCATCGAATTAAACGCAAACTAGTCTTTTCATTTCATCTTTGGTAAGTAGTAAATGACTGCTAATGTCATGTGATTCTACTGTCAATGCTTCGACTCGTAACCGAGGACAAACAATCTTTTCCTTTTACCACGCCTTGAACATTCACTCATGGATGGATTTTTCAAGGCCTATCTTGGGTAGTCATAGCTAACCGTTTGGCACCAGAACAGATTAGAAATCTGCTCTCTTGTGGTGCGGATACGAAACCTGCGGACATGGACAGTTCTTCGAAGGTTCGTCTAAACTTGGCCAGGAAGCGTCCTGGCCCAAGTGGTTAACACAACAGAATCAAAAACTGTTTCTCTTGTACTTCGCAGGTTCGAAACCTGCCTAACAAGAGGGTTTTTTCTATCGGAACACGCCTTGAAGATTCACTCATCCTCGGATGTTCATCTCAATTTCGTCCTCGCCAAAGTGGTTACCACAACGGAATCAAAATCCGTTTCTCTTAGACTACGCAGGTTCGAAACCTGCCGAATAACAGGGTTTTTTTTTCTATCGGAACACGCCCAATTCCTTGGAGGTGCATCTCAACTTAGCCCAGACCGAAGTGGTTACTACAACATAATCAAAATCTGTCTCTTCGACTGTACCAGTGCAGGTTCAAAACCTGCCAATGAGTTTTTGTTTAATCCGAACACACCTTGAAGATTCACTGGTGGACAGTTCCTCAGAGGTTCATCTCAACTTCGCCTTGGTCAAAGTGGTTACTCTAACAGAATTGAAATCTGTCTCTTCGACTGCCTCAGTGCAGGTTCAAAACCTGCCGAAGAGATTTTTTCTCTCAGAACACGCCTTGAAGATTCACCGATGAACATTTCCTCGGAGGTTCATTTCAACTTCGCCTGGCCAAAGTGGTTACTGCAACAGAATCGAGATATGTTTCTGTCGGACTTACGCAAGCTCGAAACCTGCCGACCACAAGGTTTTTTCTATCGGAACACACTTTGACATTCACTCGTGGATGGATTCCTCGGAGGCTCATCTTGACTGGTCTTAACCAAGTGGTTACCACAACAGAATCAAAATCTGTTTGCAGTCGGTTCGAAACCTGACAACATTTTTGCAGCGTATAGATCCTCAGAGCTTCGTCTTAAGTAGGCCCAGTCATTGGGCCGAAACCTCCTTTTTATGTGATAGTCTGTCCATGAAATAGAATTCACCTTCACGCCTCGTGCGGATCGTCTCAGAAACATAAGGTATATCCCTGAGATGTGTACGTGCCAACCTAGATTCTCGACGGACTAACCAAAACTGTCAGGATTCACCACCAAATGAAACATTGATAGGGCTGGAGGCCAAGAATGCACGCAAGCTAAGGACAGAGTGAGTCTGACGGTCGGGCAGATGATGTAACCTCCCCAGCCTCGCTGAAGTTTCATCGATGAACACTCCTTCGGTCGTTGGCTCTTCCAAAGCGACCGAGGATGATTCGAAAGCTAAAGGTGGGAGAATTGAAAGTGGCAGACCGAGCCGTATCATTCTGATATGTGTAGTTTGCGTGCGCTCCTGTTTTGTGTTGATGCCGGGGCGGAACTTACTTTCGATTGCCGCAGCAAGTCCCAGGCAACTGGACGGAGATGTCAATAGAGATGTCAACGCGAAACTCGTTCATGCGAAGCAGGCTTAGATACGACGGACACAGCATCGCCTGCAAGTTGCTGATCCATTGTGACAAACAAGACAGGAGGGACCAAAGCCAATGGCGAAGACAGAGCAGAAGACGAGGATGCGGCCATGTGATGAAGTGAACAACGACGGAAGGCAAGAAAGCCCCTCAAGAAAACAAGCATTAGTAAGGGAACAGGTGCGAGACAACAGGACAACCGTAATTCAGTCTCATAGAACTGATGCAATCCATTTGCAGTTTGAAGCCTTGAAGGCCTTTGCCCGCAATGTCATCAATCCATTGATATTACACCTCACACTCATGATCGATTTGTACCACATACTGCACACCCCATCACTTCTTTTACGCTGCTTCTATACTTCCAGTCGCTTTAACCGCGCAAGAAGGCCCACACCACCTGCATAAACCTTTCCGTCTCTTCCAGCTGCGGGACATGCGCTGAATCCGCAAATTGTACCCATCGAACCTTCGGGATACGCTGAAAGAAGGGCTCTACGACTATGTCCTGTGCTTCATCGTACCTTCCGTTGATGAGCAATGTCGTCGCCTGAATATTGTGCAGCCGGTCAACCACGCTCCATGTCCTTAGAGAGCCAGTGATGTAAAATTCATTCGGCCCGATCCTGTTCCCCGAAGATTGAAGATGCATGACACAGATGGACGAAACACCTACATGGTTGAGTGCACGGTTGGATCCTTTTCCATCCATGCAAGCCCGTCCAACAGGGATTGAGGCATTGGGTCGAGCCTACACATATGCCGCTTGTGAAATTCGTTTATTGCGGCAATATACTCTGGATCCGTCGTTGTATCCGCTGCCTCGTGTTTATCCAACACATCCTGTACTTCCCTCGGCAACTCCTTCCTCAACTCGTTGACGGCCTTAACCCACAGTGGTGCACTCGCTGGCGAGTCAGCAATCACCAGTTTCCCGAGGCCTTTTGGCTGGCGCGTTGCAAACTCTGATGCCAGCATCCCTCCCCAGCTCTGCCCCAGTAAGTTATAGTTGTCGTGGATGTTTAAGTGATTCAGGAGGTTGTGCAGCTCGTCAACGAAGAGCTGCACAGTCCAGAAGTCCACGTCTCCGTTTTTCTCTGGGAGGTGCGTGGAGCGTCCATTGCCGAGTTGATCATAAACTATAACGGGTACATCGAAGAGACGCGTAAGCTCGGAGAGGATGTCGAGGTATTCGTGGGATGAACCGGGACCGCCGTGAAGTACTACAAGAGGTGGGTTATGTGGGTGGGGGAGAGTACCATACACCTTGTACCAAGTCTTGCAGGGCTTGTCTGCGCCAGTAACATTGAAATCGGCTTCGCCTTCCCTTACTTTGAGTGAGGACATGGATTTCTGTAGTTTGTAGCTTCTAAGTGCTGGTGGGTGGGTTTCGTTAGGTTGATGATGGGCGTTGATATTTAGGGTCTAAGGTACTTATAGTGTAGTGGAAGAAAACCGGTGACATAACCATGACGTGAGGCGGCGAACATCGAGGCAGTGGAGTAGTCGCCATTTGATCCAGATTTAAATGGAGGCACTGGATGACTCCCCGCAGCATTTAGCTAGAACGCTGTTCTAGTTCCAAATGACCGTCTCATGCCGACGTGCCGCTGTCAAATGTGAGTCTTTTGCAAATCCGCACGTCAAACTGGTCCAGTTCTAGATTGATATCTGTGTAGGACCCCCTTTCTAGATTAAAATCATGTTATAAATCGCTTTCAAACACCGCGACAATGTCGCAAACCTTTGGTATAATCGACACTTGCATAGATTATTGTACGCGCATATGCATTGACGTCTCATTTTCAGAGCGTCGGATGTATCTCTGCTATAATATATGCTACCCAGAAAAGACAACAAGGCAAGCCATTCAGAATATTTGATGTTACTCTGATAAACTCGGACGTTGAGATCGGATGGCGATCAAGCATGTGGTCGATACTAGATGTTCTTCGTTGAAGACTGAAGTACTGAGGCTTGATTCGAGCTCAAGCTTGACTGTCAATGAGAAAAATAGGCGGAACGAATGTACCGCTGTTCCGGACATACCACCATGCGGCTTCTCAATTGAGGCCCGAAGCCGAGAAAGGTCTTGGTAGTTGGCCAGCTGCTCTAAAATTTCTCCACAACTCCCAGATACCCGCACGAAAGCACATAAATCTCTAGGACAACTGTTATCAAGCACACTGCGGCAACGAACTAGTAACGCAAACACCTCATTAGCAACCTACTCGCAGACATGATCCCTATCGCTCTGATGACTCGGCGGATGTCACTCTCATCTCAGTCACGGCTATCAAAACTTTGGCCGCTTCCACTTATCAGAAGAACACTGAATTTATATGACCTTGCAAAGCAAGGTGCCACAGGCGAATTCCATGAGGAACCAAACACCACGATATTGACTTCCTTCACAGCCTGGGGCTATTTTGTGAACTTTTTTCAATTTTGTTACACTGCTTTAAAAGCTTTCATTTTCGTACATGTTATTCTGCATGCACGGTTGAAAGGTTTGGAATACAATGTTTGTTTACGTTCTGAGCAGGACGTGCACGCCAAATTAATGAAACGTGACCTTATCGTTGTCAATCAAGGGGCACATGACATTGGGAAACTAAGTATAGGTGCAACCATGGCCATTTAGGTTGGTACGAGTCATGGCGTTGTCTCTGATTCAGTCTTCTCTTAACCTGAGCTACTCGAAAAACCGGGAATATGAACATGGCAGTCACACAACTAGAACCATACATACTTAAAGGTCAGCGGCGCTGTTGTCAGGATAAGTAAACGAGCTCATAAATAGAATTTCAGGCTCGATCAAGGTTATCGACAGGTTCTTTTCTGTGCCCGTGGATTATACTAAACCGGATGGTCCACACATCCGAATATTTGCGCGCAACCTTATTCCTTTGGATGAAGCCAAAGGATCTGGTACAGACGCTGCAGAGTCGGATTTACCTTATCGTATGTCCTTCCCGATTCTTTCAAGTATTGCGTGCATGATGTCCACTTGCAAAAACCAGTCTTGTATTTGCAAGGTAATTCGTCATGACTCAAACAGTTGCGATCAGAGGTCAAATTCTACGTCATGCAGGTGGCCCAGGATTCGGTGTTGACCTATCTCTCAGCGTAGACTTGGGGAATGCGGTACGTTGATGTGTCTTCATACACGGGAGGGTTTGCGAGACTAAATATACTATTATGAGCAAGCTTCACAAGAAAAAATATCAGGCAGGCAATGTCATAAGTCCTCGCTCATCCATGATTTCTATTTGACAATTGCAGACTCTTTGGCTTGATCCTCGCGGGACTGGTCTGAGCACGCCAATAACAGCGGACATCTTCCAAACGAAGAAAATGGATGATGAAGCCATTGCCAAGTATCTCAAACACTTTCGTGCGGATAACATTGGTGGGTATTCCCCTATAACGCAAAGTGTCTCCAGTGTTCACGCAAAGGATAGTTAGAGACTGTGAAACCATTCGGCACTTTCTCCTCGACGGCAAAAAAGATCCTGAAGCACGTAAATGGACAATCTTTGGGCAAAGTTTCGGAGGCTTCTGTGCTGCCACCTACCTTTCGTTCCACAGTGATGGCTTGAAAGAGGTCTTCATCACTGGCGGTATCCCACCCATGGTCGATTCTCCCGACTCAGTTTACGAAGCCCTCGTTCGTAAGTGGCTAGCTGTCTGCCCTCCTTTCAATTAACAGTTTGTCTAGTGAAGGTGGAAGAACGAAACAAGGTTTATTATGCAAAGTATCCCCAAGATGTTCGAAATGTAAGAAATTATACCAGTCTACCTCCACCAAGTTGTTGATCAACAACAGGTTCGTCGGATCTTAGGTTTCCTAGAAGACAACAATGTCGTTATTCCGAACGGTGGCAATCTGACAGTTTCGCGGTGGCTACAACTCGGCGTGCAATTTGGATCGCATGGTAGGTTTTGATTTGCTGTGAAAGTGTGGCTTTTCATATTCTATGCTTAGGTGGCATCGATCGGGTCCACCGTATGTAAACTCACTTCAACTTCGCCAACGAGAGCTTATTCGTACACACAGAGCTCGTGTTCCGAGCGATCACGGACCTGGATACGTTTGGGAAGCTATCATATGGGCTTCTTGACAGTGTACAGAGCGCACAGAGCTTTGATACCAACCCAATTTACGCAGTGCTCCACGAGCCTATCTATTGCCAAGGGTGCGTTTCGGATCGATCCTACAATTCGCAAGGCATATATCAACAGGTCATCTCTGTCCCAGGCGGATGGCAGGCTGGTCTGCACATCGCACCATCCAGAAGAACGATAGGTTTATTTGGGGGAAAGTGAAGTTTATGCGAGATGCCCCGATTTACTTCACGGGGGAGATGGTACGTCCATGGTCATTCAAGCGTCTTCGAGATATTGAGATTGGATCTATGCATCGACAGATATTCCCCGACATGTTCCGAGATTATCGTCATCTACGTCCCCTGCAGGGCGCGGCCGAGCTGCTGGCTCACGATGAAGATTGGCCTATGTTGTATGACAAAGAGGCCCTGAAAAAGAACAAAGTGAAAGTGAACGCTGCAACGTGAGTGGAGGTTGTGATTGTTAACGAACTGGGCTTAATACCCACCCCATAGCTATTATGATGACATGTAAGCAACGTATCTTAAGTCACTCTTGTCGTCCCTCATATGAACACCTTCCAGGTATGTCGATTTTGGTCTCGTGCAAGAGGCAGCGTCTGTCATCGGCAATGTGGAACAACTCATCACCAATCAGAGTTTCCATGACGGTATACGCAAGCACAGGGACAACATTTTGACTACCCTTTTCGACCTGTCTAAACGAGAGCGCGATTAGACAATTTTGCCTGAAGCGACCAGTAGCTTGTGAGGTGACAGTTCGGGATTGAGGTACGGGATTGAGGTAGTACGGGATTGATGGTATCTACAGCCAGTGACAAGTGATGTGAAAGTCTTCTTTGCTTGTACTGAATGGTAGTTCAGTAATCTTTGTCACAAATCAATGGATATCTTCAAAATCAGATCATGGACGGAAATGTCAACTACCTGGAGGGCTCGGATACTTCATGTTGAGTCGTCATATTACCGGGAATACTCGGTAACTGCAGTTCTGTGAGATGGCAAGTACTAGCCGGCTCAAACGCCAACCGCAAATGTATGTTTTTATTTTTGTTGTCGCATTATCGGCATTGCTTTGTATGCAGGATTTGCAACAGATTGAAGATTGGGGCATGTGCACTCGAGTCCACAACTGCACTGCAGTATATTGCACCGAATACAATAGAGCGGTCAGAGATGCTCCAGCGTCGTGATAGCCAGGAACTTCGATTACGATGCGGTCATTATACTCTAGAGCCAAAGCAGGCATGTTTATTCATTCCGTAGTCATGCGGGGAAATCATTCCCCCTGCAAGTGCATGGCGTCTTGCTAAGCCAACGACAGTAAAACCAGCAGGAAGGTATATCGATATCTAATCTGATAGTTCCTTTTCCTTCACGCCATATTTTGCAGGGTCGGTACCGTGATGTTGATGGTTGACGAAGTTGAACCTATAATTATTGCTGTGAGTCTGAGACTATAGACAATGGTGACATATGTTCGTACATGGGGAATGCGTCTGCAAAATCGATAGGTTTAGCCGGAAAAACGTTGATTGACATACTCCAGTGATACTCACGAAATTTCAACTGAGACCACGCAGAGTTCCGGTATGCAGTACCCTGCACCCACTCTGGCTGGCTGGATGTACCATACAAAGGCTTACCCTCAGCTGCCCTTTGGGAGAGCTCGGCCAGATCCAAGTCCTCCTCTCGTTTATTCTCTGACCAGCCCCAGAAGCGAACTAACAAGAAAAACAATGAGGCTGCTCACGTCGTGTACAACCAGGGAAACTCACAACTTGACCGTTGGTATGCTAGCAGGAAACCGCCGATGAAGCCAAGGAAGCCTCCGAGCCGAAGGCTGGTCCGTAGACGAACTTTTGCGGGGTCAGCCATATCTGAGCACAAGGACAATCCATATCAGCCTAATACAAAGCGTTCTGGTTGAAACAAGGATGCGTACTCCAGAAATACAAAGCACCCGGGAATGCGGCTGTTCCTGCGGCCCAGGTTGCATAGTCTGACGAACGGAAATAACGGACAACGCGGAAAGCGTGTGGGTCAGCGTCGATGAGCGGGTATGGTGTCGTGACGACCTTGTTCGGCATGGCGACAAATGTTGACAAAAAGAATGACTGCTGTCGTCGTTGTGTGCAGGAAGACAAGGTCACGGTTCGTCGCGAACATTGACCGGCCCTAAACCGGAAAGTGCCAGCTGCTCACCAAGTCAGTCCAATAATTACAACTTGTCCTCAACGTCCTCTATTCTTTTGTTTCCAGTCGCTAGTCGCCCGTTCTGCAACGAGCACAAGGTGGCCTGCAATTTATTATCTTGCTGGCCCATTTCTAGACCCATTGGAGAATGAGCGTGGACAGGCGGAATGACCGCCGAGTGAAGAGGACTGCCCATTCATCTCCCTACGCTCGCCCAGCAAAACACAGCAAGCCAGTTCCAACGAAAAAATCGGTAAGTATACAGGTCTATTGTCTTCTATCTGCACCTTTGTCTGACATTGTATGTCTAAGTTATGGAGCATTTCCGGTTTAATGAGCTTCTTACGATTCGGTGGCGCCGAGGAAGATGATCGAGCTGAGGATCTGGTGCGCTCAGGTGCCTCGTCCTCCAGTGATGATGAGGACGAGGATTTGCAGGTTCAGGAACAGGAGGGGCCTCCTCATATACCGGCTCGTCAAGTTCAACTTGATCGGAACTCTGCGCCTGAATTTGTGCTCCCTCTTCCTCCTGGTGATGTACCGCCAGGGCATGAGGTTTGTAGTCCATTAACTACTGTTTAGTCTGATAACATTGATTCACGAAGAGTAGCCTTCACATGAACTAGTTTACCCACCTGCTTGGGATGCCCAACAACCGGAACCTTCTAATGGGCCGTTCCAACCCGTCACGCCCGCCCGACAGCCTCTCTACAGTTTAAATACACCACCTCACCAAACCAATATCGCCCCCTACTTGCATCAAAGTCCGTCGCTTGCTAAGAACCTCGAGCCTGTCACTCGCTTCCTTGTCGAGAAAGCAGGGCGGCCTCTTAACGAATTCGAGGCAGCTGGCATCGTGGACTACATCCAGAAGAACGTGCAAGGTACGAATTTCTTGCTCTCAGCATGCTGTATAAGTGTGCACTTATACTGAAACAGCAGACAAACCGGAACCATTCCGGTTCTCGACATCTCCGTCGCGTGGATCCTCTCCTAACCTTGGGTTCGGGACACCAAATGGTGTATCAAGCGACGCGCACGCTCCGAAAAAGACCCTTTCGCGCAATCCAAACGGCATATTGCGCTGGCAGGGTGCGGGTAGTGCACGTCCACGCAACCGATATCGATCGCCTGGCTTCGGGTCTCGGCCTCAAGGTCCTCGTATTGAGCTATCTCCCATACGGACACCTTCCGCAACCGATGCCAAACGTCGCCGTGTCGGCAATGAAGCTGAGTCTTCGACTGCACAGAAGTCTGCGCCCCCGTCATCGACGTCTAGCATCATATTCCCGACTTCAAATTCAAATTCTCCCACCCGTTCCACACCTGCAATTAACGAGAAGACTCCAGTTCCACCAGTGCCTGCATCGACATTGGCTCCGGCCGCTGTTGTTACGCCAAAGGTGAACGGAACAGCTACGCCTCGTTTACGCACCGCGGGTCTTTCTGTAAAGCCCACGACCCCAGCCGTACCTTCACCTTTACGGCAAACGTGGAAGCAGAACGATTCACCGCCACAGCCTCCAACACGACCTACGCGTGCTGCCGACTATATGACGGGGCTCATTAAAGAAATCACTCCCCTCAAGAAACCTGACGTGGCAAACCCGTATCAGACTGCCAGTCCTGTAAAGATGCCCGCTAGAAAGCCTCCTGCAAGACATTCGCGCCCTCCAGCAGAGAAAAAAGAGAAACAGCACAAGGAACCAGAAATGACCGCGCAGGCGATTATTGAAGCTACAGTGCCGAAGGTCAGTGGGGAAGTTGTGATTCTGGTTTAGGGGGCCAGACTGATATTGATAATAGGGAAGTAAGCGCGCACGGCCCCCGCCAGACATGGAGAGGCAAGAGAAACCAACTCGCGAAGCTCAGGACACATATGTCCCGATGACCAACGGTCATAGCAAGACTGCAAAGCCAGTGATTACTGCCGAAGAAGTCTCAGACCAGGACGAAAGCCCTACAAAGAAACGAAAGACCGCGAAACCTACTCCCGTCATGCTATCCGTGGAAGAGGTGCAGGAGGATGTCGAGATGGTTCAGGACAAATCTTCGGTCTTCACGCGGCCTGCTGAGATTATCGAGCCAGTTGAGGATGTCCCTTCGTCGCTTACTACGCCAAGCGCTACGCCGTTCTCTTTCTCACATGCTCCATCTCCGGCTTTGCCGATGAAGACTGCATTTGGAGCCAAGACATCGGTTCCTAGGGAACCGTCCAAGTTGCGGTACAGTTACTACGCAGACAAGGAGACTGCGTCAGCTGAGGAGAAACCAATGTCTGAGGTGCCGCCGGCACCGTTGATGGCATCCTGTAACCTTCCTAAGGAGACACAGACTACGTCCCCGAAGGCGAAGCTGCCCCCCAAAGAAGCTGTAGCAGCTATGGAGGTCGATGAATTGGCGAAGTTTAGCTTCAAGCTTGCTGAGGCTGCCTATCCCGCTGGGCCCAGCTACACCAAAGCTCGTATCACAGCTGCAAGCATGTCTAGGCCCTCCCTTCCTACCTTTGAGTTCAAACCAGTAGCCCCATCTACAAACGGGTTCAACTGGACTGCAGCAGGCATGAAGGCACCTGCCGCTACTACCTCTGGTACTTGGTCTTGCGGCACATGCATGCTGGAGAACCCTGACAGCGCCAATGATAAGTGCACAATCTGCGACGCGCCGAGATCAGGTGGTGTCGCAAAGCCTGCAGCCGCGGTGCCTCAGAAGATATTCGACTGGTCAAAATCTGCTATCAAAGTGCCTCCAACACAACACGCTGGGACTTGGCACTGTGATACCTGCATGCTTTCTAATCCAGACAGCGCGAAGCTTAAATGCACTGTCTGTGACGCGGCCCGTCCTGGTGCAGGTTCTGCCCCAGCTCCTAAAGGGTTTGACTGGTCTGCTGCAGGGTTGAAGGTCCCAGGCTCATCTACGGATACGTGGACTTGTTCCCTCTGCATGCTGAAGGTCCCTACCAGTGCAACTAAGTGTACAGTTTGTGACACTGCTCGGGATACGATGGACTGAGTTTAGAAGAAAGCGGCGTGGAGAATCAGTGGCATATACGCTCTACGTCAAGAGCATGGATGACTTTGGGATCAGAACGAAAGTTGTATAGCATTAACGCGGTACTTGTCACATGCAACCATTAACTTGTTGCCCCGAGCACTGTCTTGTACATCATTCCACTGGTGTTTGTTTTTATCCATTACCGCGTTCAGGTTTTAGTTCATACATATTTACTACAAGACTAGTCACTATAACATATACACAACCAATGAAGGTGCGGAACGGAGGAGTCATTGGTTGTCAACACGGTGATCATGAGTGTTTCGCATGTTGAGTGAAGTCTAATCTGCGAGCGAGTGGTCTCAGGTCGGTGCCATCGGGGGAGGCCAGTTTTCGTTTAAGTTTATTGGGTGCAACGGCTTTGGCGCCTGGCCCAGCACCAGCCATGTCGACGTTACCATCAAGTTCTTCGAGGGGGCGGGATGTTTGAGCGGCAGGTTTGGGGAGCTTAGAGGGGTGTGACGGGTGTGGCAGGGCGAAAAAGTATGCGTGGTTGAGAGCGTCTCTTGCGTTTATGCGCCTTCGTGGCTCATAGACGAGGAACCTGCTAAGAAGATTAAGTGTATCTCCAGAGGCGGCGGTGAAGAGGTCGCGAAGGGGCGTTCTTGGGAACTGTCCGACTGGCACGTAATCTGGCAGTTTGGTGTGGCCCTTGTGAGAACATGAGACATAAGCATGACATAGACAGTCATACGGATACACACCGGCCAGTCCTCTTCCGTGGGCGTTCCGAGTGCCCGGAAGATAGTTTTGAGTTGGTCCATGTCACTCTCACCGGGAAGGTACGGCGTTCTCAACATGAGCTCTGCGAATATGCAGCCTACAGACCATATGTCGACCGCCGAGCTATAATATCGACAGCCAAACAGTAGCTCTGGTGGTCGGTACCATCTGCGTGCGTTGAGGAGCGAAAACAAAGCAGTGACTTTAAAGCACGCACCGAGTGATGACTTGACATGTCATTTTATGTCCCGGGTCTGCAAAATCTCTTGCTAGACCGAAATCAGCGATTTTGAGTTGTCCATCAGATGCAATGAGCAAATTGTTGGGCTTCAGATCCTGCAAGATGTCATGAGTGGTGAAAGGATGTGATGGGCTTGTAACGTACTCGGTGAAGCATGAAATTTCTGTGGCAAAATTCCAGCCCACGCAAGGTCATCGCCATCCATGCCTTAATATCAGCGGGAAGGAAGACAAGTGACCGGTCCTGAATTATCATCTCAAGGTCGCTATCCAAGAACTCCAGCACCAGGTTAAGATTCGTTTTTGAAGAGAAGACGTCCAAAAGCTACAAGGAAGATGGTCAGTGTTCACGAACAAGGATACATTGACGACGGACCTCGATGACATTCTGGTGGTGAAGCTCTCGTAGATATTTGACCTCTCGAATGGCAGACATGTCGAGCCCATCTTTGAATTGTCCAACTTTTATCTTTTTGATGGCAACCTTGCGGCTTGTTGATGCCTCTCGGCCTGACAGGAGTCAGAGAAAGACTTGCTTCTAAGCAGATGAGCTACCTTACCTTGGTACACGACAGCGTATGTACCTTCACCAACTTTCCGGTCTTTTACCCTGCAGCGTGATGAATTAACGATTTACCGAATAAAACAAAGGAGCTTACCATCGCTTTTGTCTCGCTGTGTTGGCTTTTTCAACAGCATCCATGGTAAATGTAAAGGTGGGGTGCTACTCAAATAACACTAGTGACTTGCGTTGGCTCCGCGCAAATCTGTTGCGCAGCGGCCCGGACTTAGCGGCCTCTTCTGAATCTTCTACCATCATCATGATAGTCCTCCGTTTTTGCATCCCTCACGAGTCACAAATATTGAGTACTTTTACATCCATGAGGTGAATCGGCTTTGCTGTCTTTATTACTGGCCACCAAGCCTGGCGCACCCGCTTCGTTGGACACTGTCGTTCAACGACGGGGCATATTTCACTACTGTCTGGCCAACATCTGGCCCATCTTGATGAATCTCTAGCTCACTCTCAAAGCCAATCTCCTGCGGAACACCTTGCGCTTTTTCTTTGTTCACAGTACAGCTGTTTCCCAGAAATGTATTTTTCTGAGGCGTCCGCAACTGTCTCAATGGATTTATGTAAGTACCAAAAGCCTATTATGATCATGATGGAGTCATACAAAACTCATGTATACGAATGGCGGGAAGTGCATGAATGAATTTGAACGTGACTCACGTGCGTGCGCTTCTTCAAAACCTTGGTTACACGGATTACATTTCAACTGCTCCGCTGCCCACTTGTTTCCGCAAGTCCAGATCCCACTCTTGTCGCGGGAGCAAGTAACGAGGAGACGGGTACCACGGATGAAAACTACCTAGTTCACCAATGGTGAATCATCTCTTTTCCTCCTCGCCAACGCAGGACTCCCCTTGTAGACGTCTTTGCGACGCGATGCAAATATGTGAGTTTTCCCAATTTTTGAATATCCGTCTCGTGATGCTGATATTGTCTTGTAGCTCACCGCTAATGCCTGCAGTGGAGAAAGGCATAGGCTGGCGCAGCCACCACGTCCTCCTGGTCAGTAAGCCCATGCTGTTGCCTCAAGCAGCTGCGCGCTACCAGCAGGGACATCCAGTGTAATCGGTAGAGCTACCCCAGTAACGTTGCAGACTGGAAGTACCAGTGCAGCTACTAGTAACAGACCCCCTTCCCCGTTAGACGTTGAACATGTTCCAGTCATCGGATGCCTTGCAGTTCCCGTGTCTTTCACGCACCGGACGAACAAGTTTGTCTGCTTCAAGCCTTCTAGCTCCCGCTAGGCTTTCTGTCCTTTCCAAACTTTTACGTTATAGTAGATATCACCACATGTACCGAGTATTTAATTTTGACGACACATGCAATTCGATGTTTGCTCCCAATACTTAGACGACTGCCATCGCAGTATGGTACGCGGCATTCAGATCATAGAGAAAAAATATTCTCGTTAGGTTTCGAACCTGCACCAACCGGAAAGAACAGACTTGGAATCTGTTAACAACTTGGTCATGAAGTCTTATGGTTGATGTTTGAAGACCTCCATGAACTCATGCCCGAGGTGGGATCATAGAGAAAAACTATTGCCAGCAGGTTTTGAACCTGCACGTGGCACCATGAGGGAAGAACAGATTTCGAATCTGTTAACAACTTGGCCATGATTCTTATGGTTGACATTCGATGATCTCTCCATGAGCTCATGCACAAGGTGCAATCGTGGAGAAAAACATTGTCGGCGGGTTTCAAACCTGCACGAATAGATCTCGAACCTGTTAACCACTTGGTTAAGAATAGCTAAGATAAATCGATGAATTCAAGCTAAACATGCCAAACGGGTAAGGTCTGGTTGACGATGTGGTTGGTTGTGCGGGCGAGAACGACGGTAGCACATTGTGGTGTCGTGAACCGCGAATCAGTCTCACAATGACTAGCTCGTGCAAACACGGGAAGAATCTGATGTTAGCGGTGGTCTTCGATGAGGCTGCATGTAACAGTAGTGTCCTGTCATCGCTTGATGATAGGCCGTACGGCCCGTATCAATGACAGCTTGTACGCATAATCTCGTGCGCATATGGGCCAGCCAACATGTAGGGCTGCGCGTCCGTGTGGTGGCCATGGTTGCGCATGACACCTGTAGATGGAATCAGCTTATAGCGGTCAGAAGAAGTCGTGTAATCGAGTGCACCGAGAGGGTAGTTGCCCGGGCCAGTCAATGATTCCGGCAAGAACGAAAAACTACTTCTCCCTCAGGATGAATGTACGATATTACCGCAGACATCAAGTCAATGATGGCGAAGCACATTGCAAGTGACCACCGCGCTACTCGTCTCCTCGTTGCTTTCTCCCACAACGACAGTAGGATCTGGACTTGCGGATTCCGGAGCGAAGCAGTTGAAATGTAGCTCGGATCCGTGTAACCGAGGTTTGAAGAAGCACACGCACGCCGTGAGTCACATCCATGCACTTCTCGCCATTCGTACATGTATGCGATAACAACATTATCTCCTGCACGTGTCTATCTTCTAATTCTATACGTGTGGATATGAAAACCAATAATGCCAGAACAAAAAGATTTACCGAAAAAGGTCATCGCAGATCTTCTATGATTGGCTGTGACATATTACTTTGCGTAGGAATCGCCCGCAATGCACGGCATGCGGAGATCTTCTCCTCTCATCATGCCGTGGATTAAGACATCAAGCTGCGGTCGTGATGCACTGTACGTTGTCACGCGCGTCCAATAAGCCTCTGAATTGAAAGCCGGTGCATAAAAACAGAGATCATTCTGATGTTACGGTGTCCAATACGTCTCTAGCACCCAATTTACCATGGATTTACTTCGCAATAGACGCAAACAAGCAGCGTCAACGGAGCCCTCGACCAAGCCCTCTCTTGACGTAACGTCTATCTCTTCCCTCTCTGGTTCCGCGAGCCCTCCAGAGCCATGGGAGGAAGTAGACATATCATCTAGCGACTATGCCCGCAGGCGCAGGGAGCTTATGGAGATGATGGTTGACCTCCGATCCATGGGGTAGATGATTATGGATCTGATTGTAGCCTCGGATCGCTCACGCAATCTCTTGCAGTGCCGACGCGTTGATCGCCTTACCATCCGTGGTCGTAATTGGTGGCCAATCCGGTCTGTGGTAACCTCCCTTTGCACCCACAGCTATACTCAACTGAAATTTCAGCGGGCAAAAGTTCACTCGTCGAGGCCGTCAGTGGGGTACGTTGGCAGATAGTTTGTCCTTTTATCCCTTTATTCATTTTTTTTTCTTTATGATAAAGATCAACGTCCCAAGAGATAGCGGAACGTGTACAAGGTGACCCAAATAACTATTAGCTATTGCGGGTATGCTCATACTACTATTTGCAGATGTCCTATGGAATGTAACATGTCTAGTTATGCCACATCGTGGTCCTGCACTATCACCCTACGTTTCGGTTTCGATAGCAACGGCCTAGACCTCCAAAAGCCTACTAATGTACCATTCGGCCGGACGATCACCGACAGAAGTGAATTCGAAGTTTGGCTCCGTCGTGCTCAAGCAGCCATTTTGAACCCAAACGTTCCCTGTTCAACTTTCCACAAAAAGACCATCGAGGAACTCAGGAACATAAAAAATACATTGAAGTTCTCCCGCAACGTGGTGTGCGTCTCGATTGAAGACCCCGATGCGACTGACCTGTCATTCTATGATCTACCTGGTACGCATATGCTCATCCGGATTGAGACGATGTGTCTGATGGGCAGTGAAGGTTTAATACAAAACGAAGAAGCCGAAATCGTCGCCTTGGTGAAATGTTTGGCAGAACATTACATCGAGAAGAAAAACACTATCATATTGACTACGATTCCCATGAGTGGTACGTATATGAACTGCAAAATTACTTCTACTGAATTGATGGGTGCGGTGCCAGATGATATGGAAAATCAACAATCCATGAGTCTCGCCAGGGCCGCAGACCCCAATGGAAAGCGAACAATCGGCAAGTCACCCATACTGCAGGATGAATAAATGACTTAAAGTTCTTCAGGCGTACTTACGAAGCCTGACACGCTCGGTACTGGAGCTATCAGCCAGCGCCGCAAATGGGTAGAAATCATTGAAGGTCGTTCGGAGGAGCACACACTGAGACATGGTTTTTACTGCGTGCGTCTTCCCGATGATGCCGAACGTGCACAACGCCTGTCTCGCGCTGAATCGCAAAGGCGTGCTGCTGAATATTTCGACACAACGTCACCCTGGAAGGACGTGACCGACCGTCGCCGGTTCGGAATTCCGGGCTTCGTCTCCGATATAAGCCGATTGCTCATTCGATTGATCGAGGAAGCGTGCGTGGACCTTGTTCTAGCTGACTCGCTACAAGGTACTTACATTGTTGATAGTTTACCGCGTCTCAGAGAAGATGTCGATGCGCTCCTCGCCAAATGTACCAAGGACTTCGATGAACTGCCCCCACCACTTGAAAATGACCCACAAATTGAGGTTTTAGGACGAGTTAATGCGTTCTGCGATACCTTCAAAAGCTTTGTGAACGGCAGTCACGAAGACAAACGTCTTGCGCAGCGGAATCGTGCTCTCTATGCCATTTTCAAGAGGGATATACGCGGCACTGCTCCTGACTTTAGGCCTTTCAATGTACCGGAAGATTATGTTCCACTGGATGATACTAAAGGGAATATGACTCTTATTGAGCGAGACTCAGGCGTGAAAGTGATGGGCATATATGATATCCGCAGGGTCATCCAAGAGTTTGTTTTCGTATTTTGTTGCAGATGAGCGGCAGCTCAATCATTCATCAAGGGCAATTGGATGGGAGCTTCCGAACAATGTGCCATATCAGGCGAAGGCAAACCTCATTGCCCAATTCACCAAACTTTGGGTTGCTCCGTCTGAGCGCTGTCTTGCTGGTGTCAATAATGTACTTGATCAAGTCATCGACACACTCATAAGCACCCATTTTGGACGCTTCAAAGTTCTCGAGGAATATTTTGGGTGAGCGTTGACTCTTCATGACCATTGTCTGGGCTCAAGTTGTCTTTGAAATTAGCAATTTGATTCGAATTCAGGTTGACATCTGCAGGACGCGTGCCCAAGACGCTGTCAAAACAGCCTTGGAATTGGAAACTGCTACTCCACACTATACTCAGAATACGCACTATCTTCATACGCTCCGCGAAAGATGGTTGGCTCATTATAAGACAGTTCGGAGTAGACCTTCTATGTACATGGCTCCCGTCTTTTCACCCATGCCATCACGACGTGGGTCGCCTGAGCTCTCCGAAGTTCACTCAGTCCTTGAGGTTGAACGTGACGAAGCGAGGTATGACTACCCAACCCCTATACCGGGATGGGGTGTATCCACAGGTCCTGGTGGGACTTATCCGGAGACGCCCGGGGCCAAAGCTTTAAGGGCTCTTGCAGAAGCAGGTTATGCAGGCCTCCGAATTTCAGATCTTGCACGATTGTTACCTCCCGACTCATTTGAGGAAGAGCTGGTTGTGATGGCTGACGTTCGAGCTTATTATCACGTTGCCTACAAGGTAAGTCTTGCTCATCATCTCTGTTTCATCGCGCTTATCACCTCGAGCAGCGCATCATTGACCATATTCCTCTCACGATCGAGCATGCTCTCCATCATGCCCTAGCAAAACAACTTTCGCAGAGCCTTCTCACGAGCTTACTGACTGATGTTGCATCTGGGCCCAACTTCTCTGAGCGTATGAAGGAGTTGGTTAGCGAAGATCCTTCCATCGCTCAGAAGCGCCTCATGCTCTCAACAAGAAAAGAACGCCTATTGAACATTCGCCGGAGACTCATGACCTTTAGCAATAGTATTTGATCACTGAGGCGTCACGGCATATGTTCGTTTGCTGGGTACAATACAGATATTCTCCTGTCTGCGATTGGTTGTGTTGCTGCTGCTATATTGTACTGTTATGTTGTTACATTTCATACTCTCGTTTAAGATAACAAGGAACTTATATGGCTAGACTACAAGAAAATGAGACACGCCCAGACGGTCTTTCGATGATACCGTTTTTCACTGAGTCAAAAGCTACGGGCGTCGTAGTTAGGCATGAGAAGGCGCTTTTCAGTCAAGCACAAACTGGTATTTAGCTATCTAGACACGAAACGGACCACTGTGTAGAGGCCACAATCGATTTTCAGAGACCGTCAAGAAGTGGACATTTGCCTGGTCAGTTTGACGCCGTTCTATTACGAGGCCGTCATCCACATCAACAAGCTTGCGCCGGCAGAGACCAAGATCTACATGATGCCGCATCCACAGGCAATGTTCGGACTGTGGATGAAGTTCGGGTGAGAGGGAGGATAAGGGTTGAGGCCTGAGGCCTAGGTCATGCTGCACATGTATTTCCATGTTGTTGAGGGCAGTTCGGCACGATCTGGGGCGCTTGTGTAGTTGCGCTAAGCGCCGAGGCTAAACTGGCATCAACGGCAGAGTAATGTCAAGGTCAGTCAAAAGTGAAAGCGATACGCCAAGGTCAGTTGGGGGACATGTTGTGAGTCTCGAGGTGTCCTGTGATGCGATCAAACATGTTACACTCGAAGTAGGTTGAGCGAGACGCAGTACTCAAATATTCTAGTAGCACAAGGCTAAGGCAAAATAGTGCGCTGAAAACAATTTGCACAGAAAAGCCAAACCATGCTATACTAATACCGTAATACGAGTCTGATGCCACAGTGGGGGAAGGGTGAAAAGCAACGGTTTGCGAGGAGGGATCGAATGTAGATTGCAGAGCCCAGGGACACATTCGATCTGAAGAGGACCTATGGGCTTTGTTGACGACATTAGATTCTGGATTCTGGGGTGCACTGCTAATAGTAAGGCTCAGAAAGAATTAATATTGGGGTAGACTTCTGCCCACGGAGCTCCTTCCTTTTGCGCCCGCCAAAGAAAGAAGGCGACCCCCCACTTCTTTCTCCGGAAGTTGACCCCTTGCCGTATGCATAACCTATTTTCCCATTGAGCGACCTGGACTAGTCTTGTAACAAAGTTACTAGTACGAATACTAGCAGTATCCGCGTCCGTTTGTTTCTAGTATCATGGAGATATGTTGTCTAGGACGTTCATAACAGCCGCAGCACATGCATCAACCCTCCACGTCCACCCTTCCACGTCCATCATATCCCTAACCTCCCCCTTCACCCGCAGCTCCCTACGCACCCTCCAAAGCGCCATTATCGCGCATGCAACAACGTCCAAGACTCCAGTGATTTCAGGAGAAGTTAACGCAGCAGTCCTTGTTCCGCTGTGTAACGTCGATGGCGTACCCGGTGTGCTACTGGAACTGCGAGGCGGTAAACTGAGGTCCCATGCTGGCGAAGTTAGGTATGTTCGACCCCAGAAATGTCAAGTATCCCGGAACTCATGATGTTGGATGATCACCAGCTTCCCTGGTGGAAGGGTCGACCCAGTGAGTATATTCCAGGACCTTTGCGTGCTTCCTCATCACACCCGTAGGCAGACGCATCGTTTCTAGCTGCTGCGCTTAGAGAAACACGAGAAGAAGTAGGTCTAGATGATGGGCAGATCGACATTCTTGGCCAATTTGGCCCGCCTGAGCAAAGTCTCATGGGTCTCAGAGTTTGGCCTTACGTCGTACGTTTATCCTCACCCACCACTGGCTTTGATCTGACTTGAATTCGGGGCGCAGGGCTTCGTATACCCACGTGGCAGTTATGGAACAGATACCGGATCCCTAGATGATCCCTTGCCCTCCATCTCGCTTTCCTCACTCACAATATCTCAGGCCGAGGTGGCGACCGTCTTCCATCTTCCCCTCTCCGCATTTACATCCCCTGCGCGTATCAGGCCCGACATGTTCCGCGCCGCCAGCCCATATTGGGCAATTGATGTCTCTGACCTTGTGCAGGGGTTCGAGGGGGTAAACAATTCATTGGGACATCCGGAAGTGGGTAACGGGAAGGAGGGACGTTTAGAAGTTTGGGGGTTGACAGGTTGGTACATGTCATCGCTTATGAGAATTTTAAAGGTATACACTTGAGTAAGTAGTGATGTATGTGGAGGTCCGTGAGACCATCCTCGAGAAACTGAGCACACAAGCTCGTTCAGGAGCACTGTTCGATGATCTACCTCAAGCTGAACTTTCGTTTTACATCCAACCTGTGGTGTACGGCGATTGCCTTGCTTATGTACATGCAAGCAAAGAGACACCTGTGTCGTCCTGTATATGAAGCACAATCACCACTTTGTGTACTTCCCCACGCCTTGAAATCCTTCATGTAGTGGAATGACACGACGGGACACGCGGTGACGACATCTTTCGTATTGGTGCCGGCAGAACCCCCAAGGTTGACGGACAGGCTACGAGGTTTGAATGTGTTTCTGATATTCACAAGACTTAGAGCTCCACTGTTGAGAGGGGGGTGTGGGATTCACAACGGTGTGACATGGCAGTAGCGGAGGGTAGTTTCCACGCGTCAATGCGTCGGCCATTGACGGGAGAGCTCAAGGACGCGAACCTGCTCCTTATTGTTGTGCGGGAGGTGCCAGATGTAATGTAGACCGTGAGTAGTATTGATTCAACAAGATGATACAAAATATATACAATATCGGGATGCACGACAGATTTAGATAACGAGAATCATCTTTGTGCCCTTAATAGTTAACATCCTGCTGAATGAGCGCAGTGGCTTTTGCAGAGCGAGGCTTAATAGAGCACTTGAAGGGTTTGGGATGGCTGGGAGTACGTCTATCAAAACCAGCACTGCGGATGCGATAAGATGCACGACATACCAGATCGTGCCTGATGTATGGTCGACTTCAGGGGTGATCTCAACACCCTTCTCGACGACCTTGGAGATATCAAACACTGCGAGTGACATCACGGTGGATATCCAGACAGAGGCATCAGCGAGATGGAGACCTGTCCATGAAAGTTAACAACGTGAAAATACTGTTTGCTGAGCATGATTTATGCGTACCGGGGCAGATACTGCAGAGCAGGAAGTTAACATTGCACTTAAAATCAATGCCATTCTTACCGTCTACCAAAACCAAAGCAGATCGTGCGAGGTTCGAGTTCAGGATCTTTTCCGTTCTTGTCCAAGAAGCGTTCAGGGTTAAATTGCGAGGGGTTAGCATACGTCCGTGGGTCATTGAGCATGAACCTGCCATTCAATTTGGTTGATATGTCGAATACGGAAATATAAAAGTACTGACCAAATGTTAGGTATTACCAAGGAACCTTTTGGGATGTAGTACCCGTCATGGATATCGTCCTCGGTGACGCGATGGAACATAGCTGTCAATTGAGCGGTTGATAAGGCTCAGCAATTAAAGAATGCGATAAACGAGTCCACGCACCAGTAGGGCCGACAACACTCCAGCGAAAGACTTCTTTCACAAGCGCCTCAATATAAGGGAGAGAGTCGCGATCTGCGAAGGAGGGAAGACCATCAGGACCAACAACAGCGTCTATTTCAGCCTGAGCCTTCTTCTGCACATCAGGGAACAGTGTCATAGCAAGGAAAAACGAATAGATTGGAGAAGCTGTCTGTGGAAACAGGTGTTAGTCTCGAAATATGGTGATATGAAGGGTGGAACTAACCGAGTCGGCACCACCAGAGTATAGGGCTGCAGCAGACCACATCACCATATCATCCTGTTCCGCAGATAAAGTACGACCTTCTAACAGATTCGAGGTGAAAGACATCGTGGGCAATGCCAGCAGCCTGTGAAACGTTCAACTCATGATCGCAAAACTATCAATGTTTATTACCATCTGATCCTTAACGAACTTGTAGGGTATGGCAGCCATATCCTCGCGAGTCTTGGACCATTCACGGGCTAAGCGCTTGAAGCCAGCACCAGGGAACCACTCGGGGACGTTGGCCACTGGAATAATCAGACCAGTTACAAGCAAAGGTCAGAGTGTTATAGTCTTACAGAATGGCATGATGTCAACCATAAAGGCGCCGGGAGCAGTGGACCGCGAGAATTGGTCCATAGCGCGGTCTGCAAGGTCGATAAATGGATCGTTGTTCTCCTTCACCTCGTAACCATGAGAGATTCGCAGAATGATGGCGCCAGCGGTGCTACAGAAATTCAAGGTCTCATCTATGCAAGGGTAAATCATACAACATACTGTCGAACATGAGCTTGCAGTTGCTCGGGGTTCGAAAACACACGCTTCAGGAATCGGCGAGTCTCAATCTCCTCGATCGGGTGGTAGACATTCAAGGCGGCACGATTGCCTATGACTTGATGTATGTTCTTGCGGGACTGGTGGAAGCGGTCACCATACGGAAAAAGACCCAAAGCGCTCTTCCAGCCAACAAGTTCGCCACCCATAGGCAGAACAGGACGGTCAGAGTACACAGTACCTTTCTTGTCCAACATGTTCACCGCATTCTCGACTGAATTTAGCACGATGATGTGCTGACCCAGAATTTCGACATGTGAGATGTCGCCTGTATTGAACATGGAGTCGAAATCATGTATCGTGTTGGGAGACATGAGGCACTCACCATACTTCTTGCCCCACTCCGCAAAGGTGAGCCAAGGCTTGGTTTGAGGTATGGCTTGGATGTTCCCAACGAGAGGCCACCCACGGGGGCCGGGGGGATACGATGCAGGATTTTTGTTCAACACCTGCTTGACCAGATATGCTCCGATACCAGCAAGACATAATAGGTCCAGCCAAGTAACATTGGGTATCAACATGACCCAGTAGAAGAGAATGGACAAGTAAAGAACGAGGCTGAGTGATGAGAGAACAGATAAGTAGAGTCCTACTAGATAAAGGCCGAGCTTCGCCGGCAGCAACCTTGTTCAAGTACTAACGCCGTGTACCATCATTTGGAGAGTGCATCAAAGGCACACTAATTGTACGTCATCGCCGGTATCCTTTGGGAAGTAGCGAGTCAGGGCAACAATTCGAGAAAAGATGCAGAAAATTCACTGTCGCACAATATATTACATGTGTGATGAGAATGAGCGCATTTTAATAGACAGGTTCTGACAAACGATTGAGTTGGATATAACTTTCAGAAAGCACAACTTGGAGGGTTGGATTTAACAGTAGTCGGAAGATGCTTGAGCACCGTGACATTCTTTTTCTAAGAGAGGTTTGTCCGATGAAGGGCCACCGCGAGGTTTACATCATCAATCCATGTTTGCCATAAAGGTGGTCATAACACAATCAACTCGCGAAGGTTGGTTTCACTTGGTCAGATGAGATTGTGAGTGCATCAAGAAATGAAGGAGAATAACTTACAGTGAACGAGCTTGATGGAATCAACACCTACTCTCACTGAAACATCTTCTCGAACCCCATAAGTTATGGATGATAGCTGGAAACCTTTCCGAGGAAAAGCTGAAGCTATCGTGGGGCGCTGGAGTGGCAACTCGTGAATGAGAACTGTGACCTGATAGAGCTATGGATCGATGGTCGATGATCGATTGATCGGTGATCTTTGACCGTGACATCTGCGACCTAAGTGTTGACTAATGTAAGGCTGATAGTGAGTTCGAAGGGAAAAGCGAACAGATCGATGTGGTTATGAGACGTATAGGTAGATAGCGTGACGAGAAACAAGACAAGATGTTCAGAGACGGGAACTTTCGTTGGAGCGTTCGGACGTGCTTTTGAGCGGGGAATCAGCGTATGAGATTCTGCTAGGGTATGAGTGTACATGGGGTGTATTTATACGTTTCGAACGGTTGACTAGGCCAGAACGAACACGAGTAGCGTATGAAGGTGAAAATGAACGGTCAAGGCAACGGAATCGTGGAGTCTGAGCACAAGGTAAGATAATGTTTAAAGAAAGTGGAAAGGAATGTATCCGCGTGTTTTCGGATGCGCTCTTCGCATCAGTGAGTCACGTGGACGATTTTCGAGCGTCTTCGTGGGGGTGCATGCAGGGCTCAGGCCCAACATGTTCCCGGTTCCGCGCCGCCAGCCCATATTGCGCCATTGATGTCTCAGACATCAGACCTTGTGTAGGGGTTCGAGGGGGTGAATGATCCATTGGGACATCCGCAAGTGGCAGAGGTCAGTGCGTCTTTCGACTCTTATTTTCTTGCTCGTCCCGTTACTAACCGACATCACTCCTATAGAATTATCAACACTTGCTCTCCCTTTCACCCACAACTGCCTCGAACTTCCGCGCTATCAACGAATCTATAATGGCTCTTTCCCTAGACCATTGTACTGCAATGCCATCGCATTACCCAACCCCTACCTTACCAAGTCCTTCCCAATCATCTCACGCAAGCATCCCAGCATTAGGCTCTGACACAGAAATCTACGCACACATTCACAAGTTCACAACACCCGCTCCCCTCCCCAAGTTCGGAACAGATTCTTCGACAAAAGCTTGACCTTATCATTAGAGCGTAATATCCGTGCTTGGCGCAATGAGTGAACACGCACCTGTCGATGCCTTAGTGTTTAGCATCGTCTTTGATTACGGTGTCATTGCTGGTATCGACTCTTCTGCATTATCAGAGCCTGTTGCGCGCCCTCTTACTTCAGAGGAGGCTCGTGTGAGTGATGGTGAGAAAGGATGGACCCGTTTGGACTGAGTGACAGACGAGCGGATCGAAGCTCGAATAAGAGAAGTGGAAGGACGGGCTCAGACGTCGATAAATAACTCAGAGGCAGGGATGTTGGAATTCGGGGAATATGGAGCAGATTGGATAAGTAGTGTCGGTGAGTTTGCAACTCCTTGTCGATTTTCTGGCGTTTTGCCTCTTTTATTTTACTTTCGGGTCTTGTGTTGTGGTGAACATCTGAAACTCATACCCGCGGGGCTCGATATTTTCCCCCTCTCCCGTGCCCTTCTTTCTTTTGTTGCAAAGGTTATTGATCATTTCACTATTAGCCCGCCTTCCACCAGACGCCTACACCCAACTTGCACTTCAACTCGCCTGGTGCCGCTCCCGCGGATTCCTCACAGCGACCTACGAAACAGCCCTTACGCGAATGTTCAATGCTGGCCGTACAGGGTGCGTAAGGAGTGCAAGTGCGGAGGGGTCAGACTTTGTTTAAGCTGCTAAGGAATGGGGACGTGGAGCTGAGTATGTGGCGGAGGGGGGCCAACACGAAGTGGAGGTGAATTCATACCCTCCAATGACGACAGGAACTCATGGATTTTGATCCGCTAATCTGATCAGCCTCGCGATAGGCACTTATTAGGCCTGAAGTTGATGCTCGAAGAACTCCCTGTAGATGCGTCCACATCTGCTTCCTCCTTGGACTCTCCCTCGAGTTCAAGTCCCACCGATCCCCCGAAAAACATACACACCCTCTCTTTACCGACCCTCTTTTCTCTCGCTCTCAGGAGTGGAAGCTCAGCACTAGTGGCCTGAGCGCCGGTGACCAATTCCGAGGCACTGGATGGGAGGATCGTTATGGGATTAATTGTAAGTTTGATTTATTCTTTTATAATTGTTTTGCGGGATCGTCGAACCTCAATGAGGGATTCTTCGTCTGTAATGGTCCCCCGTCTGCATTTGTTATTCTCGCCGACATCACCATCAGTTGACCAGGTCGACCGAGGGTATTCATTTTCGAATTTCATTGGCGATTCCGTTCACACTCACCCTCGCCACTAAACCAAGCTCATACTCTGTCCTCTCACAGATCTCATAGCACCCCAGCGCATCAAATTCTGCGTCGAGTCCAAATTATCATCCCTGCTCACCTCCACGAACAAGTTCAAGCAGCATATCGCAGATGCGGTCCGGGATATGCGGGTGATTTGCGAGGCTGGAGAGCTCGAGTTGAAAGACAGAACGAGGAAATCAGTGGATGGGGTCGGCACAAGGGTGCACGCACGGTTTTAGGCTTGGTGGCATTGATCAAGGTTCGTGCCTTGGCTCGTGAACGCGAAGGCCCGACACTGATGGAGATTGTTTGATTTTGACTCTAGATAATCGCAAGCGATCGAACACCCTTGTCGGTTTAATAGAAGTTTGTTGGATGCTCGATCGAGAATTCTACACATGATGAAACGGTTATCAACAACCGTCCTTGCTTGTCGCTGCACAATACCTGCCCAACTTGTGTTAGTGATAATGATGTCCAAACTCCACTAGATCACCCTACTCTCATTCGCACAAAACTAAACTAAACCTACTTATCGCATACACCACTCAGACGCAACTGAAACGAGAAAACTCATTATTTATTCCAAGAAAAATAAAAAATATGCCTTTGATCCAGATACAACCAACCGCGCGAGCTATCGTACAAACCAACACTAAAGTATCGTACAACTAACCATAATCACGAAAGCATCAAAGCTGTGTTGGAGTCCGATGACGACCATTTGAGTAGCATCTTCGCCAGCCCACCTACACCATAATCCTCTTCAAGTTGTCCTTCTCAATCCACTGGTGCTTGTAATACTTTAACAGGCCTGCCTACAAGTGAGTTCCACCCCTGCCCGCTTCATAAATTTCTGGCTCGTGCAGATGATCATGCCTTTCTTGCATCGAGTAAGCATGACATTAGTCCGGCGCAAATCGGCGAGGAATCCGAGCGCCGTGGACCGCACGAGTGAGATCACAATGTAATCTTCCTCGTGACCTACCACAAACGATCGGTAAGCATGATAGCTACAAATATATGTTGCGAGAACGAACCTTGAAACGAGTCAACATTGAAACATTTATCCTCCCAATCGAGCTTCTGGAGCTTCAAATGCTCCTCGATCAAACTCCGTTGAGCGTCATACGGGGTGATGATGCGGAATTGCTTATTCTTCTCTTGCAACATGCTAGCGATGAGGAGAATGGTTTGGCACTCTCCAAGGTTCTGCGCATGACATTGATCAACTGCGAGTGACTGAATTCAAGTGACTTACCTTCCAGCTAGTTCCATGTAGTTGTTCCTGGCTGGGAATGTTGATAAAATGACAAGCCATTCTCTCGTCCGTGACGGGGTGTAGCGGATCCGACTTGAGTACGCAATCATACACATTTTCAGAGATGAACTTTCCAATTCGAGGGGGCATCCTGTCTACAATAAAATGATAAATTTCAGGGTAGGGGAACATTAAAGGAAGGACTTACATTGGGTATCTAAAAAAATGGCACGATCCTTGAGATGCTTGACTTCGAAGATGCTCTTCAGGTCCTGGATATTATCCTGACCATAGGGTGGCACTGAAGATATCAGAACATGCGATGACATGCAGGAGGAATACTTACATTGTTTGTCATCACCGATGAAGCACACATTTCTAATGGAGCTGTGAGAGGTGAAGAGAGGAATGTAGTCACCAATCTCAATTTGGGACGCTTCGTCGATGACGAGGGTCCTAAGTGGCGCAGCTTTAAAACCTCCACACCTTCGAAGAGCGAGAGATGAGAGCATGGACAAAGTACACAGAATAACCGGGGTGGTCTGGAGCTCCTTAAAAAAACCTGGCGCAAAGAAGTCCTTGGATGTGATGACATTAGCCCGAATGTTGGTATATAGGTGCTCATGCCTATATTATGTTAATTTGTCTAAAGGGGAAAATCCACCAGTGAAAGGACTGACCAGTCGTCGAAAAATTCCATTGAGACGAGAAGCTTCCAATTGGTCAGGCCAAAGTCAGTGAGTTTCTCGGCAATATTCTTGACGGCAACATTGGATTGGGCAATGAGCCAGATGCCAGAGAGTCCACCGGCCAGGGCAGTCTGAACAAACGAGGCGATGACAGTGGTCTTACCGGTTCCAGGGGGCCCCTGGATGACAGTAAGGCGTCCGTCATTCGACTGCTGGAGCATCTGCTTCACAGCTTTCGTCTGGGATGGATTGAGGGGGCGAGTGACACGGTCGGCATGGAATCTGACCATACCCGCATCGTTCGCCTCCTCCGTCCAGGCGGAGGGCCACTGGAAATCATCTCTGGGAGACGAAAAGAATACTAGCTGAACCCACGGGTTGTCGTGCTTAAGGTCAATGAGACCTTGAAGGATCTCTAGAACCTTCTGAGCACGCTGAGCTTCAGCCTGTGTAGGGTCCTCACGGCCGACGATCTTGATTGAGCCGATGGTCTTGTCAACGAAACTGAGCCTGTTGGTGGTAGCGAGTTTCGCGATGCGACCCTGAGTCTTGGTAACACGACCGTCAACGGTGAAGCCCCGCCCTGCGGACTCGCCAATATCAATGAATGCACGCTAAGAAAATTAGTTGTCAAGTAAAGCACGGCGTGGACACGCGAACGACATGCCTGATGGTGGCCCTTACGAATTTTATTCCGGTATCTGTCGGCTCGGGCATCGATGTGATTGTTCTCATGATCGATAGAAGTGGTGAACTGGCGTGTGACCTCGGTCGGCTTCTTCTGCTCGAGCCGGAACGAATCCTTAGAGCTCTTCGCGAGGAATTCCAATACCTGTGATTATGATCAGCACTATCATTCGCCAGGAAGGCGGTGAACTACCTCATCAGAGAGCCGGAAGGTGTCCACTGGGGGCACCTGCGCGAGACGATCCTCCATGGTCGAGAGTTGCGAGACATAGTGTGGCGATCCATGCACGTAGTGCAAGTGAAGTAGTGCTGGCATTCTTAGCAGCGGGTAGGTGATCGATGGTATCATTGCGGAATAGATTGTTGATGTTTACATCGTATACACAATGAAGATCACCAACAGCCTGTTTAACGGTGGCGAGCGGGGCACGTGTCTTCGATCCTGCGCACTGCATATCGATCGCATTTGCGATTCGAAGATCAAGTGTTTGAAATAGAGCAAGGGCAATTGGTGCAATGTTAAATGCGTATAAAAATCCGGTGGTGCGGCGGAGGAGGTTTTGTGTCAAAAACTCCCGAGTGGCAGTGTTGTCTACCTTGCTGGCGGGTGTGACAGGGCGTTCGTTGCCCTTGCTCTTCTTCGAGTTTAACTCGAATTCGATGATGACAATCGTAGACGTGTCTGCGATTGCAAGCATCGCGAGCTCTCCAGTTGGTGCGAATTCGCCAGCAAGGCCAAGGGCACGTCCCTCGTTCCTTTCTAGCAGATTGCACAACTGGTGTTGCTCTTCGATCAAGTTCGATTCAGATATAATGTAAGCAGAGAGCGGTCCACTGTCAACTTGCATAACATTCTGGTAGAGTAGCTTTGTTGCTGTGTGCATGATGACTTTTTGGATACGATGATGGTGGTGAGTGGCAATGTGTAACGATGGAGTGCAACTCTATTTCAAGGTCTCCAATGGGACTCCGGGTCCGAAGCCTTATGACTAGGCGGGCGCTTGCTGGGTCCTGACTCCAGCTGGAATTTCAAGCAGTCCTCGTTCCCAGCCTTCCGAGTCTTTCCATTGTCTATAGATATCATACTGTATCCGCAGTCTTTGCCGTTTTGTCTCAAGTGTCATCCAGACTCAAGCTCTTTGAAGTTCTGGCTCCGGAGTTCCATGGGAGAATTTAAATGCCATAGATTCTCCCATGGAATTCCGGAGCCACATCTGTGATTTTTTTCACAGACTTGGTATTACGGCTGACCACGACTCGCCAAGTCCAAATTTACACTGCTGGACGCGCCATTTATAGGGTCGTCATGGATCAGAATGCTGATTGTTATTCGTTGTTCCCCCAACAAAGGCGAATGGAAGGAATATAGCCGTCTTTTGTATCGAGTGACGGTATGATACCGCTCGTCCGTTATGGCATGTCAACTGGTTTGTGCTTTGTGGTAGTAGTCTATTCAGAAGTAGGTGGTGGGAAGGAGTTGGTACGTGTACATATCATTGCTCATGAGAATTTTAAAGGTGTACATTGACTAAAATATTATCATGTAGTGGTGTATGTGGAGGTCCATTCGAGCACACAACATTGTCTTCGTTCGGAAGCACCATTCGATGATCTTCCACAAGCTGAAACACAGACACTTTCGTTTTAAGTCTAACCTATGAGGTGCCAAGTGTGTATTATAATGTAGACCATGCGCGTGAGTAGCATTGATTCCACAAGATGAAAACTTGTATGTTTTGTCTACCATAGGGTACAGCCCCAACGGAAAAAAAAACAATGATTAAAAAAAACAAGATGAAAACAAAATATATAATATCGGGATGTATGACAGATTTAGATAACGAGAATCATCTCTGCGACCTTAATAGTTAGCATCCTGCTGAATGAGCGCAATGGCTTTTTGGTGCGAGGCTTAATAGAGCACTCGAAGGGTTTGGGATGGCTGAGAGTAGGTCCATCAAAACCAGCACCGCGGATGCGATAAGATGCACGACATACCTGACCGTGCCTGATGTATGGTCAACTTCAGGGGTGACCTCAACACCCTTCTCGACGACCTTGGAGATATCAAACACTGCGAGTGAGATCGCGGTGGATATCCAAACGGAGGCTTCAGCGAGGTGGAGACCTGTCCATGAAAGAAAACAACGTCAAAATACTGTTCGTTGAGCATGATTCAGGCATACCGGGGCAGATACTGCAGAGTAGATAGTTAGCATTGCACTTAAAATCAACTCCATGCTTACCGTCTACCAAAACTAAAGCAGGTCTTGCGAGGGGTTAGCATACGTCCGCGAGAAATTGAGCATGAATCTGTCTTTCAATTTGGTCGATATGTCGAATACGGAAATATAAAAGTACTAACCAAATGTTAGCTATTACCAAGGAACCTTTTGGGATGTAGTACCCGTCATGGATATCGTCGTCGGTGACGCGATGGGGGATGGCTGTCAATCGAGTGATCGATACCGCTCGACAATTAAAGATGCGATAAACGAGATCCACATACCGGTAGGGCTGACAACATTCCAGCGATGTATTTCTTTCACAAGCGCCTCAGTATAAGAGAGGGAGTCGTGACTTTGCGAAGGAGGGAAGACGATCAAGACCAAAAATAGCGTCTATTTCAGCCTGAGCCTTCTTCTTCACATCAGGGAACAGTGTTGTAGCAAGGGAAAACGCGTAGATGGAGAAACTATCTGTGGAGACAGGTGTTAGTCTCAAAATATGGTGATATGAAGGGAGGAGCTAACCGAGTCGGCACCACCAGCGTATAGGGACGCAGCAGACCACATCACCATATCATCCTCTTCCGCAGATCAAGTACGACCTTCTAACAGATTCGAGGTGAAAGACGTCGGGGCAATGCCAGTGGCCTGTGAAACGTTTGACTCATGATCGCAAAACTATAAATGTTTATTACCATCTGATCCTTAACGAACTTGTAGGGTATGGCAGCCATATTCTCGCGAGTCTTGGACCATTCACGGGCCAAGCGCTTGAAGCCAGCACCAGGGAACCACTCGGGGACGTTGGCCACTGGAAATAATCAGACCAATTACAAGCAAAGGTTAGAGTGTTATAGTCTTACAGAATGGCATGATGTCAACCATGAAGGCGCCGGGAGCAGTGGACCGCGAGAATTGGTCCATAGCGCGGTTTGCAAGGTCGATAAATGGATCGTTCGTTTCTCCTTCACCTCGTAACCATGAGAGATTCGCAGAATGATGGCGCCAGCGGTGCTATAGAAATTCAAGGTCTCATCCATGCGAGGGTAAATCATACAACATACTGTCGAACATGAGCTCGCAGTGTCTCGGGGTTCAAAAGCACACGCTTCAGGAATCGGCGAGTCTCAATCTCCTCGATCGGGTGGTAGACACCCAAGGCGGTGCAATTGCCGATGATTTAGTGCATGCTCTTGCGGAACTGGCGTAAGCGGTCACCATACGGAAGAAGACCCAAAATGTACTTCCAACCAACAAGTTCGCCACCCATAGGCAGAACAGGACGGTCAGAGTACACAGTGCCTTTCTTGTCCAACATGTCCACGGCACTCTTGACTGAATTTAGCACAATGATGTGCTGACCCAGAACCTCGACATGTGAGATGTCGCCTGTACAGCATGGAGTCGAAATGTATCGTGTTGGGAGACATGAGGCACTTACCATACTTCTTGCTCCACTCTGCAAAGGTGAGCCAGGACTTGATGCGAGGTATGCGCGAGACGTTCCCAATAAGAGGCCACCCCGAAGGTCCAGGGGGATATGCCTGCTTGACCAGATACATTCCGGCACTAGCAAAACATAGGTCCAGCCATGTGACGTCGGTGAATGTCAGCATGCTAGCTGAGGAAGAGCAAGAGATTGTGTAGTGAGCGATTATATATTGGTAAGAGGAGTTCTTTCCTGGACATTATATGCGTAGGCAGCCAGGCTGCCTACGTGTGGAGTCAACCTATATGTTAGCCGCTATATAGGTGACTGAACGCGGGAGGAACATGATGTGAAGTCGGATGATCAATACTACAGTAATATGGATGTTGCAGCGGCCCTAGAATCTTTATGTTATCGCAAGCGGGACTTAGTAGGGAAGATACGATGGCAGCAGCTGGCACAGTAGCGTTAATAACGGACATGGAGACAGTAACTATAGGCCTACATAGAAAAGGGCTTCCTATTAGAAGATCATGGAGAACTCCGACGGTGACCATATCCGATATCCTTCCCCTTCATCGACGAATGCCTTGGCACGTGCCTTACGCGCTCAAACGAGCGACTAAAGTCCCCACTCTATCCATAATCATCTCCCCGCCAAAGACACCTCGATTCAGCAAAGAACCGCGGTGTTACCCGTACTACCCGCGCGTTTCCCTAACATTGTCAGTCTGATTCCTCAGATGCACATGCACGACAGACCCTGCCAGTTTTGGCATCAACGCAAACTACTACTACATCGTCTGCAGATGACATCACTGCTAGATTTGCAGCCCTCGGAGAGTTGAAAAGGACTGAAGAATTTCAGAGCATTAACGAAGTTGAAGTGCTCGAGGGGAATGCTTTTGATTTTGACGAGTTGGATCGGGTCGAACAAGGAATAATACCAGTGACAGACTATTCCAGTCAAGGTTGAAGTGGTTAATTACATGGCGAAGGGTGACGCGTGACGGAACAATATTGATGTCGGTTGGAAGTAACTTGATTTGTTCCAGTTTGTGGAGTGGGAATATTTTCTGACAGAAACATTTGAGATCGTCAAAGCCATCCCCAGAGTCTACTAATATTTGCTCGTGTGCCGCATCTTCGCGCAACCGTACTTCTGCAGAATCAAGTTGAGGGCGTCCCGGGCCTGGGAGATGACCTGGTCATTTCAAGCTTGCACTCTCAATTCAGTACCGTATCAGGACACCAACACCCTTACCATTTCGAATCACTGACTCAGCGCAGCATGATGGTAAGACATGTTAAAGATGCGGGTGGCTGCTAGTTCACTACAGCGAATGCGCTTCGTTGAAGTTCGCTCTGACTGTCCAAACATGCATTAGTCTAACTGATAAGATACTACCGGTGAGCTCGGAAAGAAGTTAACTCGTAAATGCCTACAAGCGCTCAGTGGCGCATAAGATAGCTTGAAGGTCGACGTACGATCCAAGCCTTTTTGTGCTGTTGCAGGCAATTAAACCTGACGCTACGGTGTATTCAATGATGACACAGGGTGAGTTGATACAAAACGTCCATGTCATTCAACTCACATGATGACACGCAAGGACCCAAAGGGGTCTACAGCGTTACTCGGTAACCGCAATGAATGACTCATGTAGATAAGGTGCTCCCGCAAATATTTTAATCTATGGATTAGCTTGTTCTTCTAATGCCCGACCATCGCACAATTGCGCATTTGTCCATCTTCGGTATGGTGTGACACACGTGGCCGATTGGAGTTCTTATAATGTGTTCTCGTTACTGTGCTGATCAACTATCATGGCGGAACATCAGGACCAAGTACCTCTGACTGACAATGGCATTCGTGACACAGGAATTGATGTTATCGTTGTCGGCGCTGGCTTTGGAGGTATTGCCTGTGCAATCGAATGCAAAAGGAAGGGTCACCGGGTGATGATCCTCGAGAAAAAGCATGAATTGAAACGCCTAGGTCAGTAACTATCGTATACCTCTTATTTTTAGCTGATTGCAGAATCCAGGCGACGTGAGTTCAGTTGGGGTGATGATTTGCAGCTTGAGGGCTGACAAAGTGCTAGACGCTGAGCCTTGGCGTAAATGCTGGTCGCATTCTGGCCAGATGGGGTCTCCATGAAAAGTACGAAAAAGGTCTTTTTTCTGATCAAAGTAATTGGAGATGAAACAGATTGTGGGACATCTCCGCTAACGCACGCGAAATTCACATCCATGATTACCTCGGAGGTCTCATTCAAGTTCAGAAACTACCCTTGCCGCTCTTCGGAGCGTTCGCTTACAATGGTCATCGAGCGCTTTTTCACGAAGTCCTTTTTGAGCATGCGAAATCCTTGGGCATCGAGATTCGCATGGGACATCAGGCCGTAGAATATTGGGAGGATGAAGCAAATGGAAAGGCTGGTGTCAAAATCCAAACAGGTGAAACGTTTGACGCCGATGTCATCGTTGGTGCAGATGGAGTGAAGAGTTTGGCGAGAAAATTTGTCATCGTAAGTTGGAATTTCACCCTGCTAGTCAATTTACCGGTCAACATCGATGAAGGGGTACCACGACAACCCAAAACCTTCTGGTTACGCTATTTACCGAGCGTGGTTCGATGCTGAAGAGCACGGTATCATGTCGGACCCGTTGACTGACTTCCTGACCATTCATGGGGATCAGTTGCACTCGTGGATTGGTAGGTGGGGTTGTGCCCAGTTTTTTCTTCATTACTCACCCTCGTAGGTAAAGACGTGCATTTTATAGCGACTTCCTCCCACGGAGGTAAAGTTATTTGTTTTTTCATCACTCACAAATGTGCAAATTATACTTCTCATGGTATTCAGAGCTAAATAGTAAACTTTTAGAGATGACGCAGTTGTTGATGGCGACTGGTCGTCCCCGGGTAAGATAGAAGACGTACTCGACCTTGTGAAAGACTGGGACCCGCGGTGCGCTGCAGTCATCTCCAAAGCTCCCTCGTGCATCGACTGGAAGCTTCTTGTACACGACCCTCTTCCTACTTGGATCAGCAAATCTGGTCGTGTAGTACTGATTGGTGATGCTGCTCACCCATTCTTACCGTAAGGAAGTATGGCTGATTGATGCTGGACCCACTTGCTCACCATGTGGTTGGCAGAACAAGCGTGCAGGGCGCATCTCAAGCCATTGAGGATGGCACAACTCTAGCAGTCGCCCTGAATCTTGCTGGCAAAAACAACGTTCCACTGGGCACGAGGACATGGGAATCCATCCGGTATGTGGAACAATTTGTCCCCAAAAGGACGCGGAAACATCTGCATCATATTGTACAGGTATCAACGGGTGCGTGATGCACAGCTGTTGGGGGAGACTCTGCGTAATAAATGGCATGGGGCGAAACCTGGTGACTCCGGGAAAAGTTTTGAGCTTCCCATGCCAGAGTGGTTGCTGGCATTCGACGCCGAGGCACACGCATATGCCACTTACGACGGAATAGCTCGGTCTATAGTTGAAGACGGATATCGTCAGCCATCTCTTTCTGGGGAGTAGTACTTGTGTGAATCTTGATGATATTTATGTATGGTGTTATAGTCACTCTGCAAATTTATTATTTGCGCGTTCCGCGGCGTGCGCACTGCGCGGTGCGCGTTTTTTTTGACTGGTGCTTGCGCGTTGCGCAAAGTTCGCGTTTGCAAGAACCATTGAGAGTTTGTAATGCACATTTGATTTACAATTTATTTACTGCCGGGTGCTCACAGCAACCCTGACATTACTTTTGATGACAGAAACCCCTAGATGGTCCGTTATCCTCCATCTCACTTTCCTCACTCACACATCAGGAAATCGGCGAGAAAAAGGTTTTTGTAGATACAAATAGCAACATCAGATCACATGTCTACTGGATGATATTCAAAGGCAAAGCAATATATAATTGTAGCATGATGGCGTCGAAGGACAAAAAGTTGCAAGAACAAGCCAAACTTGATGAAGGATTATATGTCCCCACAGCTATGATATACAATAGATAAAATATTGAAAAGGTTCTGCATCTCTCCAAACCTGTGGTTATCCATTGCCTAAGCTGAACTTCATGATTGCTACTTGCAATGCCAACCAGCTGGCAATCACAAGCTACAAAATCCATGCAATACTGGCATAAAGTGGTCATAACTCATACTAGGTGTGGTGTGTCCTGGTAATCATTTGTAAATCACCAACAGTTCTCAATCTGTGTGGTCACCTGCTACCTAAACTAGACTATGGTGCATTGACAACCAGACAACAATCATATGTTGCAAAATTGATGCAGTACTGACTTTTGATATTCCTAGGACAATGCCTTGGCAAACATAAGCAATCCTCAACTACAGCAGTCATCTGGGACTCCACTGTGACAAGACACTGGCAGGTCCACCGGGGATGTTTTTATCGATATAATTAGCAAAGTGAGTTGGATGTGCAGGAGAAGACACTCAATCTTGTACATGCAAACACAAAATCATGGCAGCCAGTAGGAAACTAGTACATAGTATGATACTAGATACTATTAGTATCACAAGGGTTATGTACATACGAGCATAAAGATACGTGTGTGATAACTTGTAAAATGTCCATGTGAAAAGAACTGATGTGAATCCATTCAACCACGCATAGCCAGGCGCCTCATCTCCCTTAAGGGCGGCTGCCAAGTGATGACAAAGCTGCAATGGCATCAGCATTTTGAAGAGAACACAAGTAATTTGTGCTCACTGTTGCTGTCAGAGTAGTTGGATGCAGGCACATTTTCAATCGCCAGTTCATAAACTTCTACTTCAGCTTTGGCGCAACACATCTTCACATGCAAGTGATGTAACTCTAACTCAGGATTGCACTGATGAGAATGGTAACCTTCCAATATATCAAGGTACATTGCCACGAGTCCTGCCTGAGAGTGAAGTTCTAAATGGCATGCCTTATCAAGGGCCTCTTGAACGCCAGGTGGGACCCATGTGCTTGACAGGTGGAATGAGGGGCCAATGGACTTCAGTGATGGTGTCAGACTAGCCAAGTAGAGAAATGATAGTACTGACATGCACAATGACTGGCATTTGTTGCTCTAGATGTGTAATACAATTCAGGTAGCCATCTTTGTCTGAAAAAAGCTGTCTAACTGACATGAAGTTGGGGTCTTGCCCCCTTAACCAAGTTTCGCACTTGTGTTGCACAGCTGCCGAATAGGCTCCTATAGATGTTGAACAGGTTCCTGTAGACGCTGAACGGGCTACAGTAGGTTCAGCGATACATCTTGAGGTTGCTAAGCAAGAGCTGTCATTATGCATGAGTGAGCAAGTTGTAATAGTACACATTGCTAAATAGTAAGATGTCAGACTAGTCATTTGCGTAGTTTGGAGAATCTCACACATAATCCATCGTTGCTGTACATGATTGATAGCCTGGCTGCACAAAGACATCTCCAGCTGACATTGATCCCTCCTCTGTTCCATGAAAGCTTGCTCTATGGTTATGCACCCTTTGCTATCTTCAACAGTTCGCAATGATTCTTCTGTCTGCACTTCCAATATACGCCCCCCAATTATTTGCCAGATGTCGCCATGATAGACTCAGCCTTTGAGCAAGAAGTACAGAACATACAATTCAGTCTGAAGCTACATAAAAACAATCAGGTGTACTGATACTTCAGAAATTGTAGACTTGCTGTCTTCATTGGTATGAGTCTGATGTAGAAATCCAGCCATTTAGGACCTGCCAATATGTCGGAAAGCTCACACATGCCATTATGAATGGCTGAGGAGTTGAATTGTGGAAGATAGGATGGTGCTAGTATCATGACTGCTGTGGTGAGGAAATATGTACATGCGTGACGCATGCCATCTTGGAGCTCGTTTATTAACCCAGCCATGGTTGTAGTATTTGACCTACAATACACGGTAATGGCCACTTTAACCATAGACACTTTCATTGGCAACTATCAGTTCACTCTTTTGACCTAGTGCTGTGGCACTTGCCAGGTCCCTATTTGGCTGTATGTCCTGGCTTTCACAGCCGCATTTTTGGGATTTTGAAACTCAGCTGTTATCATTCCAGGATACATTCCACATTTGGTGATGGATGTATTTATATGTTATGACTGCAATTTTGGCTTCCAAAAGTGAAAATTCACAAAAACACATCCCATTTTGGATAGATCTACATTTACTAAACGATCCAACAAGAATTGAGTGCTGGGGAAGTGAAATAGATAAGAAATTGAGTGTGGGAAACTCAAAGAACCAAAACATCGAAAATGGTCAGTTGAGTAGTGGTAGGACTTTAATACTGCTTCAACTCACTTTACCACTACATCCCTTCCACATCTCTTCCACCCTCAGGGCAAAGTGTAGTGTAGGTTCCTTATGTAATTTAACATGTATCCTATTAAAATTTAATAAAATCTTCGACCTATATCACATGTAAGTGTGACTTTTGTGTAATATGTGTTAATTGTCACTTTTCACACATATGTTCCTTTGCTTCCCTTTCACTCAATACTTGACGGATCTTTCTACAGTTTTAGATCTATGATACTTAGCATATCTGAAATGCGCTCCAGGTGTCTGATTATTAAATTTCGATGTTTTGAAGGTATAGGCCCCTTATCAGTAGAAATAGTAAGTATATGCACTACCCCAAGACTGCGGCCTATTGTGAGCTGATCCTGGGCATCAAACACATTTATATATGTACCACTGATTATAAATGAGTAAGGTGGACTATGTATGCAAGGGTAAGGTACTGAAATATATCAAAAATGTCAAAAATGCGATTTTGTGTCTTTTTGTTCCTGTAGAAGGACCATGTTGATATTCTGGCACAGCTAAGTGATAGATATACTCCAAATATGCATAAAAATAGACTCCCTAACATCCTGAAGGTCCGGTCCCACAGGAAAAGTTTTCACAGGGGGTGAACCACCAGGAGAGGGCAGGTATACTGCATCACAGGGTCTTGTTCTATGGTCCAGGGCTTTTCATACATTGTTCATACTGCTTAATAGATGCTGGGGATAATTTTTCCAAGTCTGTTCACCTAGAAATAGACACATGGGAACACATTTGTGGTTTTCTGTATATATGCTATATCTATTGATGTAGGGCGCCTCAAGGGGCCAAATAAAGATGGCAATATCTTCATATATACTCAAAAACATGTTCTGAATACCATAGAGCACTTCCCTATCAAAGGGGCAAAAGTGCGAAAATGTTCTGTACCCTAGGCTATTTAGAATACTCCCTGGAGGAGGAGCAGGCACACAAATAGACAAAAAAAGCGGTCTGTTATATTATACTATACATATATATACTAAACTACTACTTATATATGCAGTGGGAGCTATTGTGGTGTGGTGGTGAAGCTGCAGCAAGGTGGGGAGGGTGTGTGAATAATTATAATTGTGGGGTATACTATATTGGGCGATGTTTTGGGTGTTGTGGAGTAATTCCCACACTGTGTGGCAAAAATGCGGAGTGTAAGAATAATGTGGGGAGGCCTGATATCCGTAGGTGACAAAAATAGGATGTGTTTTGTGAATTTCCGCTTTTGGAAGCCAAAATTGCGGTCATAACATATAAATACATCCATCACCAAATGTGGAATGTATCCTGGAATGACAAACAGCTGAGTTTCAAAAATCCCAAAAATGCAGCTGTGAAAGCCAGGACATACAGCCAAATAGGGACCTGGCAAGTGCCACAGCATAGGTCAAAAGAGTGGACTGGCAGTTGCCAATGAAAGTGTCTATGGATAAAGTGGTAGTTACCAAAATACTAGGTCAAATACTACAGCCAAGGGTGGTAAGGGCCATGAACCGCTGGAGCTTTTGATCCAACCACAGGTCAGATGTGAAGCAGACTTTTCCCTGCGCATGCTAAAAGGAATAAGATACTTCATAGCACACTTGGCAGCTATGCACTTACAGCAAGATCATTCTTCAACACCAGGAAGTATTCCTGCCATTGCTCAATTACCATTTTGCAAGCCTTCGTGCAGTGAAATAGGCTGGTCTCACCAGTTTCTGGGTGCAGGAGACAGGTGAGGCGCCAGAATTCAGGGCACTCAATCATATTTATTGCCTGGGGGCGATTATTAATAGTGGCTGTAGGCACGAACTGCTACTCACCTGATCATCGGTAACAATAAACTTGACAATTTGATGATGCATTTCGTCAAGTGTGAAGTCTGGAATTTGATCTTCTGGAGAGCAGGTTCCTACCAGCAAGGCACCAGATCCCTTGTTAGGGGAGGGACCAAGTGATTGCATTGTGCAAGGCGATTTCTTGAGCCATTCACGAATTGTCTTCAGTGACCACCCTTCGGCAAGGCATTCATTTAGATCCTTTATCTGTATGCGCCAGCCAAAACGCTCGGCCGCTTCCAGATAAAGTTTGGTGTGGTGAGGTGAAAGCATGTGTATGGGGAGCTGAGCTGGATGTTGAGCCTGCGTATACCATGACCTTGTGCGTTGTGTCAATTTCATGCAGTGTTCTGGTGAAGAGTGTGAGAAACAATACAAGATTGCAGACACAATACTTACTCGCAAGGGATGCAAGTTTTGCTCTTCGTATCGGGGTCAATCCAGTAGAAGTAGGGTTGGACAAGGGTATGGGCGACCCCTGGGGGTCATGGGTAGGGGTATCCAGGGGTACGGGTATGGGTAGCAATAATATGACCCATGTACCCCTGGACTATTTATAGGTACCTTCGGACTGTACAGTAGAGCAAACCTTAAAGTCTTAAACTTTAAATGGATCATACCACCTCGTGATTTCATTTTCCACATCTTACCAACCTTTCGAATCATGTTATCCAAACGGACTAAGAAGCCCACAGAAAAACTTCTGGCAATGGCTGCTGAGGGCCAAAACAAGCGGAAGGCAACAGACAATGCTTCTAACACTATTATTGCACCTAAACGTAACAAAATAACATCATCTGTCAACTTGGAACAAGCTACAAAAAGTCCATCCCCAGGCCCGACTTCCTATCGAGCCACAGTACGGACCGAAGAAGAGGAGGCATCTCTCACAGATGCCATTGTAATCTCTGATGATGATGCAGAAAAGGCCAAGGAAAGTTCAGTAGAAGATGTAGCAGAATCCTCAGAGGCCGAACTAGGTAGTGTTTTGATTTCTAAACTTGTTAATCAGTACTAATCACAAATGGCTACAGAAAAACTCATGAAGGATTGGGTCTCACCTATATATGCTTTTTTTCACCCGACACCGGCAATCGAGTATCACGAGCAGTGCCACTGCCATGTCTTCAAATGTGCAGCCCACGGCTGCAACCACAAAGTTTGGCGTTACCCTTGATAAGAAAGATGCAAAGTCAACAAGCAACATGCGTAAGCATGTGAAGAGCTGTTGGGGTGACGCAGCATTACAAGCTGCAGTTGATTGCGGCAACACGAAAGCGGCACGCGATGGGCCAATCAAGAGTCTGCTTGAAACAGGGTCAATCAAAACTTCGTTTGATCGCAAAGGCAAGGGGAAAATTACTTACTCACATCGGCAATACACACGAGCAGAATCACGGTGTGTAACATCACTTGCTATGAGGGTGCCGCTAATCCACAGGTAATAGTGCCGAGATTGTGCGATGGGTTTCAGAGAGTCTGCAATCCTTTGAGATTGTCAAGGATCGAGGATTCATCTCGTTAATGAAAACGGGACGGCCAGAATACTACATACCTGCACCGAAAACTGTTGCACGAGATGTCAGGTTGGTGTTTGTTAAAACACGGAGACATATAGCAAGAATGCTGCAGGTGAGAGTCATCAATGTTGTGCGAATAATTCCGAAGCAATAATATTACTTACTAGGACTATACCGGCAAGCTGAACTCCGCGACTGATGCATGGACTTCGCCGAATCATCGCGCATATGTCGCAGTATCCGTCCATCTTGAGCATGAGGGACAGCCGCTATCCATGATCCTTGATATCATTGAGGTTTCCAAGGTAAAAGTAAACGGAAATATAGACATACCTCTAACTGACTAGTTATAGTCACATACAGGTGCGAATTTGGCCGAAGCGTTCGCAGAAATCCTAGAAGAATTTGGAATATCAAATAGGGTATGAAACTCGAATATCAGCAGAGAAAACTCACCTCACGAGGACATGCAGATGTTGAATGTTGCAGCAGACAATGCATCATCAAACGACACACTTGTTGCGGAGCTTGCAAAGATCCTTCCGAGTTTTGGTGGCGAAACAAACCAAACACGGTGTTTCTTGCACATAGTTAATCTTGTGGCGAAGTCGTTACTCCGTGAGTTTGAGAAAAAGGGAAATGAGTCGCGTGATACTGTGGAGGAAGGCTCACTCACCGAAGATGAGGATGATGAGGATGATCTTCCAGAGCTTGAAATGCAGGAAGATCCCAGTAGTGTCAATGATGAAGGTGATAGAGATGATGATGAGGACGGGTGGGTTGACGAGGCTGCATTATTGAGCACAAATGAGCACGCAGAGCTGATGCACAGTATCCATCCAATCAAAGTGGTATTGATTGAGGTGAATATGAATCACTTACCTTGCCATGCATCTCCTGAACAACATTCCCTTGCAGCTTCGCAAACTCGCATACAAAATACTTCACTCCACCACCATACTCCTTCCCGCTGTCCTCTTACTTAAGGGTCTTATGTACGCCGCTTATATAGTGACAAACACACTATATAGGATAAGACTTATTGCCAGTCCTTAAGTACACGGTCTACGACTTTTCTAGTTTTCGTGGTAGATAATGTGTGAGTTCTTGGGAGGATTTATTTCAATATACCTTCTTTCCTTGTTCCTTGGTTAGTTTAAAACAATTTGATTCTGTATACTGAGTCCTACGGTACGATTTGTGTCTGAGAGTTAGCGTGCTCGTGTAGTGTGTAGCGTGAAATGTGTAGTGTGAATTGTGTCTCCCTTCCTGTAAAAGAGAGAGGAAAATAGTATGGGTTAAACTTAGTTAGAATAGCTGATAGATTATATAATCAACCCCTGTAAGGTAGTATATAATTGAATAAATGTTTCTTAGTCTTACTTTGAGGCTAATGAATTGCCTGTACTTAGGTTCTTACTAATCTCACACTGTTTGAGATGAGTGAAGGTGGGAAGTTGCTCCATTTATTACATGGCAAAATTGGGCTCCTTATATACCTTTTGGAGGCCTTGATTACAAAGCATGAATCATCACATGGATTGGTAAGAATGTGCTTACTAACAATGCCATTTGGTGTGTTGAGTCAGCTTGTTTACTAATTTACATTATAAATACAGTGTAGTTTACAAAGCATGACGAATCATGGCATGAGTCATCACATGGATTGGTAAGGATGTGCTTACTAACAATGCCATTTGGTGTGCTGAATCAGCCTTCTTACTAAGTAGCTTATAAATACAGTGGCTCAAGAAACTGTCCGCATGTTTTGACATTTTTCACTATCTATAATATTGTGTGAGAATGAACAAATTCCTCAAGGACATACTTATACCACATGTAGTATGGCTTCAGGGCTTTTATTTGAGCCCTACAACCGTGGGAATCGGCGGAGATATGGTGGAGATATGAGGCTTATAAAATGATGACTCATGTGGACAGTTTTTTGAGTGTATATTAAAACTATATAAATCATTATTTATGACACCATAAAAATCATGCCACTATTATATAAATTATAAAGTGGTGTCATTATGTTATTTTATGACTATATCTACTATATAAACCAGAATATCTCATGTATCATAGTCATAATCACCATGAAAGCCATCTCCTCTGCTCAAAGAGATAATATCCTCTCTCTGTCTTATGCTGGCCTCTCTGCTCGCCAAATTTCCTCTAGAACTGGAATATGCAAGTCCACTGTGGCCAAGTTCATCAAAGAAAGCCACCCAGACAAGGAAAACTCTTGTGGAGGACGTCCATCCAAGCTTACCTCTACTGACAAAAGGGCTATTATCCACATATCACTACAGGAAAGGCTGATAATGCTGTCCAAGCCACCCATTATATCAATTCCACCATCACTACCCCTGTCTCTTCACAAACTGTGAGGAATGTTCTCAAGGCAGCTCATCTTAAGGCAGTAACAAAGAAGAAAAAGCCTCTTCTCTCCATCAAACATAGGCAGAGAAGACTAGCCTTTGCCTTAGCTCATCAACACTGGACTGTAGAGGACTGGAAGCATGTTATATGGTCAGATGAGACCAAAATCAATAGGATTGGGTCAGATGGGAAGGTGTATGTATGGAAAAAGAAGGGAGATGGCCTAACAGACAGAGAGGTTAATGGGACTGTCAAGTTTGGAGGAGGTTCTTTAATGGTATGGGGCTGTATGGTATGGAATGGTGTGGGAATGCTTGCTGAGGTTGAGGGGAAGATGAATGCTGAGCAGTATGTGGACATTTTAAATGACCACTTGCTGCCTAGCTTGGCAGAATCAGGGATTGATGAAGAAGATATCATTTTCCAACAGGATAATATCCCAAGCACACATCCAGAAGAGCTAGGGAATGTTTGAAGAACATAACATCAATGTTCTTGACTGGCCAGCACAGTCTCCTGATGTCAATGTCATTGAACATCTCTGGGGAACACTCAAGAAAAAGCTTCAAGCCTATGAAAACCCCCCTAAAGGAGTATGGGAGCTTTGGGAGAGAGTAGCAGTGGAATGGGGGAAGATCACAGCTGAGGATTGCCAGAAATTAATTGAGAGTATGCCTAGAAGGATAGAGGCAGTAATTAAAGCCAAGGGAGGTCATACAAAATACTAGAATACCTGGTTATTACTGTAAAATACTTGAGTCAAAAAACTGTCCGCATGAGTCACCATTTTGTGAGCCTTGTATCTCCACCATATCTCCACCGATTCCCACGGTGTAGGGCTCAAATGAAAGCCCTGAAGCCATACTACAATGTGGTATAAGCATGTTTTTGAGGCATTTGTTTGTTCTCACACAATATTATAGATAGTGAAAAATGCCAAAACATACGGACGGTTTTTTGAGCCACTGTACAGTTAGAAATCTTACAAAGCATGATGAATCATGACAAAACATGATGAGTCAAGCTCAATTTTTACAAATCATGATATCTACCAGTCACATGACATGCTTACAAACATGCTTGGTGGCTGAAAGGAAAGTCTGTTGGCTGAATATGCCTGAGGAAAATAGAAAGAGATGGAATGTCATAGAACAAAATAGAAATACATGGAAAAAATGGAAGTGAAGATTGAAAGTGAAAATACTAGCTAATAACTAAGGGGAAAATGATGGGGTAACTTGGTGATAGAATACAGTAGGGTCTATTATACCTTCCTTATCACACCTCTTGTGTATCTGTCATGGTATGAGTTGCATACCATGCATGACATCCACCCGGCATGAGAAATCGCAACTGTCCTCAGTTGAGTGTGTCATGGTATCAAAAAATGTCTCTCTCCTCTCCATCTATTCTCTGGATCTGGTGAACACACACCTTCCATTGCACTGACCCCAGAACACTCCCTAGATCACCCTGACATAGTACCTGACACCAATCCACCAACGGCTGTTGTCGCCGACCTGATACCAACTAGTAGTAAGTACCACCACATAACTGGACAACGAGCTCACCTTCAACATCCTTCCAACAGCAACCACGGTACCTCTACTAGTGTTAGATGCCTCCGCTACCAGCAAACCTCATCCTAGTGCGCCAGCAAAGAAGTCAAGGAAGATGCAGATTGGGAAAGCACAGAATGGATGGTATGTCTGCGTCAGTGGTGTTCCTTTCCTTTGTACATATTCACAGACTCCATGACAGTAACCTATGCGCACGTGAATGGCTCGCTCGCAACAAGACTGGATCAGCAGCTGAGTTCAAGACCTACTATGATGGACTGTCGGAAGTGCAGAAAAAAGTGCATCTTTGTATTGTCTGTCCTCGGGTTGGACTAACATCTTTAATCAGTCATATGACGAGCTCGCTGCCAAGAAGGTATGTAGCGACTACAACTAGAACATGTTGCACCTACTGACAAGGTACTCTTTCTACTAGGTTGCAGCTGGCGAATGGCTCTGTTAGCAACACCACTCTCCTTCCGATTTCTTGCGACCTAGAACGAGCACGAGCTAGAATGAGCACGGGGTAGAACGGACAGTGATGGGATGCATCAAGTTTTATTATATCCGGCATCTACCTGTAATAATGTATATACTACACAATACCAGCAGATCTGGCACAATCTAGAGTGATGCAACGAGCATTGCAGCCAAGCAATACCAGCAGATCTGGCACAATATAGGGTGACATGCAAATATTGCATCTAAACAATCTGCGACAATCACGCACAATCACACACATTTGCACATGTGCTATTAGTCTCATTTTTCTCTTGAGACTGTGTCGCTTAGTTCAGACAATTTCACGCAACCTCAGCCATTCTGGGAAGAGTGGGTTTTCACTGGGGTGTAACTTCAAACTGCATCCTCCTCGCTGTGAACTAGTTTACCGTGATAAAGCACTTGGCAGCATTCCCATGCTTGGGAATTTGTTCTTCGTCGACCTCAAGTTCCTTACCCCAGACACACTGTCCATTCGCACAAAGTACCCAGAGGAGATCTCCACCTTTGCCCATGTTCCTTTGTCCTGGGACTTATGGCACGCACGGATGGGTCATCCCGGAGGAGACGCAGTCAAACGCCTTCCTATATTTGCAACAGGTGTTAAGGTGGACGTATCTACTGTGCTACAACGCTGCGAGCCTTGCATAATCACTAAGCACCCTTGCAAGCCTTACCTGTCCTCTGAGACCCCATGCGCCACACACATGCTCAACCTCATACATTCAGACCTATGCGGTCCATTCCCCATCACTACTCCACACGGCAAACATCATTTCATCATATTCCTCGATGACCATACCAACCTGCTCAACTTGCAGCTTCTGGCCACCAAGGACCAGGCTTTAGAGGCATGGTCCCTCGTCAGGAAGAGATGGGAGAATCATGCCGAGCGAAAGGTCAAAGTCTTTCGCTTGGACAATGGGGGTGAATTTATCAGCGCAGGTTTCACTGAATCGCTCGCTGCTGCAGGTATTGAGCGACAGCTCTCAGCTCCCTATGCTCATCAGCAAAATGGGAAGGCCAAGTGTGCTATACGCACCATTGAGGGACATCTGTTTGCAATGCTGGAAACTGCTCACCTACCAGCAACACTATGGGGAGAAGCCGCACTTACAGCCTGCTACCTGTGGAATTGGAGTGAGTCCAGCACACTGCCTCCGGGCGTAACTCCTTATGAACTCGTCAATAACCGTAAACCTGACCTCTCACATCTGTGCATCTTCGGCTCCCATTGCTTTGCCCGCATCCCATCTGAGCTGCAAGCAAAACTGGGGCCTCATTCACGCCAGGCCATCTTCCTAGGCTACCCAGAGGGTGTCAAAGGATACCGACTTCGTGACAAGGACACTGGGAGTTTTTTCACGGCTCATGACGTCATATTCGACAGAAACTTCCCATCAGTTGCCACATCCTATGACTCTGACTCCGATGATGAAGTCTTCAATCCCACGCCTTCTCCCCTTGCACCTGCTCTCTTATTGCCTCCTCCTGCCACATCCACTCCTGCTACTCCTGCTTCCCCACCTGCTCTCTGTTGCTTTACTCTATCTCGTAATGCCACTGAGGCAGGGCAGGCTCATGCCAACGAGATAGCCGCTGCCAAGGCCAGACTACAGACTCTGCGTGAGATGAGGATGGCGCATGCAGAACGTGCAACACCACCTACAGTTGATACTGAAGTCCCCAATCCAGTCTCTCTTGCTGATGAAACTCATCATGACATCACAGAGATCGAGCCCAACATCAAGATACCGGAAGTCTTTGCCAACGCCATCATCGAGGAACAGGCCAATATCAGCATCCGCAGCGACTGTCGCCGCAATCCCTCCAGTCTGGACTATGACATGAAAGTTCCACCGGCTACGTATGAGGAAGCCATGCTGTGCCTGGATCAGAATGAGTGGCTGTCTGCTATGCAGGCAGAGCTGGGGATAATGAAGGAGATGAATGTTTACCGTGTTGTGCCATTGCCGGAGGTTCATAAGGCAATCGGGAATAGATGGGTGCTGGAGTTTAAGCAGGACAATAAGGGAGGGTCAGTATACAAGGCGCGTCTCATTGCGCAAGGCTTCTCACAGATCCCTGGTGTCAACTTCGGTGCCACGTTCGCCCCCATCCTCAAAACATCATCCATTCGCCTCATCTCTGCCTTGGCCTGCAAGAATAACTGGGAGTTGGATAACTTTGACGCTAAGCGGGTGTTTCTATGGGGCACTCTTAAAGAAGAAATTTACATGCGACAGCCCAAGGGCTTTGAGGATGGTGATTGGAGGATCCAGGTCTGGCGGATGCTCCACACCATCTATGGACTTAAGCAGTCAGCGATGGAGTGGTACGAGGAAGTTTGTGCCATCATGCGAGAGTTGGGGTTCACACGGTGCGCTGTCGACTATGCGGTATTCATCTATGACCGCGTCGTGGAGAAAGGTGTTCGTATCATCTGCATCATAGGCTTTCACATCAATGACGGCCTCGGTACTTCTAACTCACAGCCTTTCATTCGCTGGGTTAAGGGCCGTATTGACGCACGCTTTGGCATTAAGGATCTTGGGCCCATGCAAAAATTTCTCGGTATCCAATTTGAGAGAGATCATGAGGCGCTGTGGTGATTAAGCTCAGGCTAGCCTCGCAGAAGCCCTTTTTCATATAGAGGTCAAACTATGCAGGACCTACTTTCCATACATCCTTCACCACTTCTCTACCATTGCCAATTTAGGCCGAAACCTTCGGCCAAGGCATCGGTCGCATTTCCCGCGCCTTCATCGGCCGACCCGACCGCAGTCCGACGCATTCCCGCGCCCTGCATGCTTTAGGATGGTCAGTGATAGGCAAAAGCACTCCCTGCCACATTTCCCTTGTATATCCATCCATGTCCGACGTTTTGCACAGCCGCATCGGCCGTTCCTGCATACCCGAGCCTATTCCCGCGCGTCCGGACCATTCCCACGCATTCCGATTACCTTCGGCCGAGTTCCCGCGCCTTCGGACTGCTCAGAAACCATTTTAGGAAAGCCCCGTGTCAATTCCATGTCCATCCAAACTCCACTGGTGCGTGTTTTTACTTGCCTCGTGTTGTAACAAGGGTTTCAGCCTTATTACATGTTCTTACATATTTCCACTATTCCTGTCCCTTCCAAGTCTGAGAGGATTTAGCTAGTATAAAGAGCCTGTAGCGACTATTTCATCATTACTTCCCTTCAGTGGTATTTCCTTCCCTTTGGTTTTACTTCGAAGTAGTCACCCATTAGGTTCCGCTCTTAGCCCCTATTTGGTTACCTGATACTCAGACATCTTACCTAGTCTTTCCTTGACCTTGCAATTCAATCCCTTGAAACCTAGTCACTCCCTATCACTTTCCTTACTTGTCCGCTTTGCATCGGCTGAGTTCTCGCGCTATTTCCGTCCGCTTCAGCCGTTCCCGCGCTTCGGATACCTTCGGACCTGTTCCTGAGCATCCGGTCTACCCCTATCTACATTCCCGCATCTTTACTTCCTATAGATTCATAGCCGTTCTCAGTAGCAGTCCCCTTTAGGGTCGAACGTTCTTGCTTACAAGTGTAGCAGCTAGGCAGAGCATAGACTCACATTTATTTGGCTAGTTTCCCCAAGGCTAGCCATTTCTTGTCACCACAGCGCGCAGGCTCTGGATGCACCAAGGGGAGTACATCAGCTATCTACTCGACGAATATGGTATGCTTGATTGCAATCCTGTACTCCTTCCTCTGGACGCAAATCATCCTTTCGGCCGTCCATCCGACACCTACGACGTCATTCCCAATCTTCCCTCGCTTTACCGTAAACTCGTTGGAGAATTGCTCTACATCACCATCTGCATGCGTCCCGACATCTCCTTCGCCATCAATTCCCTCGCTCAGCACAATGCGAATCCATCTCCCAATCACTACGCTGCCGCTAAGCGTCTACTGCGCTATCTTAGTGGGACTATCAATGTGCGCATGCACTATGGAGGTGACCATGTGGATGAGGGCTTACACACTTATTGTGACGCTGACTGGGCCAGCAACCCCGAAGATCGTCTTTCAATCTCGGGTTATGCCTGGTTTTATGCAGGGGGGCTAATAGCTCATGCGTCGAAGAAGCAATCGACGCATGCCCTGTCGTCCACAGAAGCAGAATATATGGCCGTGACTCACGTCTTCCAGGAGGGCCTCTGGCTCCGCTCTCTCTTCAATGAGCTCCACATCTCATATCTCACTCCCATCATCGTCTACATGGACAACACCGGAGCCATCTCGCTGTCCGTCGAAGCCAAGAACCACATCCGCTCCAAGCATATCGACATTCATTACCACTTTATTCGCAAATATGTCGACAAGGGCATCTTCCTACTCAAATGGTTGCCATCTCACAAAAATATGGCAGATATATTCACAAAGTCTCTCGCTCGTCCCTTGTTCTTGAAACACGTTGAAGGATCTTCAACTCAGCTGAGGGTGCAGCTGATATAATTGTTGAAGGGAGGAAAATATGAGTGCGATATGTTCGTCCCTTAGGGGAAGCGGAGAAAGCAAATATCCACTGGTCAACTCTAGGGGGAATGCGCAAAGCGCGTGATAAGGCGAATGCACGGGAACAAAGGCGCTATAGGCGCGCGAAGCGCGGGAAAGTCGCGCGTCGAAAAGCGGAACTGGGTGAAAGCGGTATGCGAGCGATAGTGAGATGTTAAGACGTGTACTGAGATGCTGATAAGACAACTGATGCGGATATGGCCACTAGAGCTAACTGCTACTAGGGCTTGCGATGATTTATTCAAAACATAATAAAAACTCGGAGATGGTGACTGTCTATGATGATGGTGGTCCGTGGTAATGTGTGTTGTGTAAAGTAAAAAAATGTGTAATGAAAATGTGTACCAAGTGAAAATAAACATGGTACGATTGTTGAAATAAATGATAAATGGGGAAATGCATACCTGGGAACTTGGTTGGACATGGGAAAACACAGTGGGAAGTCAGGCGCCCTATAGCGCTTAGGCGCGGGAAAATTCGCCTAAAGCGCGCGCAAGTCGCGCAAGTGTCGCCTATGTCGCGGAAGTGTCGTGTTACATGCATGATACTGTAGACTCGACCTATGTTGCAATATGTGCCATTGTGAGGCTACCCAGGATCGAGTCTCTACAACGTCTCAAACCTCTCGCTGGTGTCTCGGTGAGGGGGTGTGTTGGTTGTTGGTGCTTTCTTGTTGTGGTAACCGTATGTCCTCATTGAGTCCTTTTCTTATCTTGGAAACATATGCGACTGGTCACAACATATGTGACCAGCACTATATCATCTTGCACCATGTGCTACGTACTGTACAGTTTCACCTTCAACACTCAGCCACAGATTCGCCATGTTTGTATATTAGTAGCGCCGTTTGGGCCATCTCACCTCAGCATTGTCCTAACATCTCGCTGAGGTGAGTATCATTCAGTAGCTCATACGCACTCTCTTGTTGACTCATGTATCTAGACTCGTCTCGTTCTAGGTATTAATATATTTAGCGTTGTCCTAACATCTCGCTGAGACTCGTCTCGTTCTAGACCTTATCAGCCTGCAAACCAGAAGAGCCTCTTGCGGACTCTAAGAATTTGACTCGATACAGACCTATGATACATCTTGCTCCCACCATCTGCTGTTGCAGCTTGACTGAGCTGTCACCTCCCAATGCTTTGCAAATTGTGTCTGGACTGTCTCTGCACCCTTGAACCTCTACAACGTGGACAATGTGCCTGTCATTGTGCACGACGCTGCTGGTGTCTCTTATTCACCCGAGTGAGTACAGCAAGAAATTCAGCAAAGGCTCGCCATGGCCATAGAAATGGTGATGTGTTTGTAAGTTGCCAGGCACAGTGAATTAAGATTAAGTCGACATTAATCAGTATCAGGTTGTCATATACCATATATCTGGTTACAAATCCGATGATCCGGATCTCAGATCCGATCCAGATCTGATGAACATATCCGTCGTCCAGTCCACAGATCCGCTTTGATTCTTATTTCATTTCCTGTTCATATAACTCTAACTATCGTTCATCTCCTTTCGGTATTCCTGTACACCGGTATACCGGTTATCCTTTACTTCCACTTTGCTTACTGATCCGCTATGCTTACTGATCCGCTACATTTACGAATCCGCTTTTACTTGTACTTCATTCCCGGTTCATGATTCGTGATCCATCCGACTTACCAATACGCTCCACTTAGACTTTGCTTATACTTTCGTACATAGCCTCGCACCTTTGCTTATTGATCATTCCGTTAGCTATCCGTAGTATATAAACCTTTGTATATGCGCTGTAGTAGATCAGTTCGAATATCATCTTAGATTGCACTCATTCCGTCTGGACTCTAAGTCCCTCCGTTATCCGTCCGGACTTGAGTATGCTACTCTTGTCTATTCCGAGACTTAGGATAGATTCCTATAGTCTACATATCCGCCTCTGTCTTCGGACAGTCCTCACCCGTTAGTTTCTAGTCCAGATCTGATCCGGATTAGCCGTTACTCTATACGTTCGATATCCGGAAGTCTTAACGGATCCGTTGCAATACTTATCCGTTGCGATACAAGACTTATCCGTTACAATACTTATCCGTCTCACTAGACACGATACTTTAGCTCTCTGAAATAAGGGGCAAGACTCAGGAAAGGGGCACAGCGCACAAGCTGAGGCCGAAGCCCTTCAGATCCGATACTACTTGAGTACGGTCTTAACACAGGTGGACTTTTGCGCCTGATAGTAAATGGCCGACTGGCTCTCGAATCTATCAGACATGTCTCAAATCACTCCATTTGCTGCCTGTGGCGAGTGTGGGTGCGCCAAAGGCCATGACACACATGGACAACAAAGGTAAATGCAAGGCGGACGGTCCTGCAGGACAAGGTTCACCTGTGAAGAAAGGGATGGTGTAACAGAAGGGCTACCAGGAATAGGTATTGAGTGGATGTTTCTTATTCGGGATTCAACCCCCGCGTCTGAGATATTTCATGGTGTTCAACCAGTGACAACCACCACTGTGCTTCGGATTGAAATTGGTGAGGATTTTTTTCGCGTTGTGGGCCTGAAGGTGTCGCTGCAGCCTGCAGGTGGACTGTACTTAACTACGGCTGAGATCTGTTTTGTATTATCGTGAGGGTTTCAACATACACTCTGTACTTAAGTAGATGTGTGAATGACAGACAACATAGGCTTGTTATGATGGCAAGGACTTGAAGAGTTTCTGACAGAAGCAGTCAGCGAAGTCAGACCTGTGTAAGGCTTCGGGTCTTGGGACAAAAAGGGAATGGTACAAGAGTTTGCTTCAATGCTATGTGCGTGGCTAAAAGGTGTTGGGGAATTGGTGCGACAGCACCATTACGATCCCCGACACCCACTTTAGTGGGAGGAGGGTTTTGTTGAACGAAATCGTGCAGGCACCTGTAACCAAAATTGTGGGAAACTCTTACGTCAGTTCGCGCACAGCCACGACTATTTTCATCTTGACTTCTTCCACATCTTGCCGATATTCCATCCATTCGTCCTCACACCTGCCTCGACATCTCGTCTACCACGCATATCTACAAAAACTTGACATTTCTACTTATGGTCGGCCAGGCAGTATCCCCTTTTCTTAACAAACGCGCTTCACGTGTACCTCGAGTACTCGACACGGCGGCTTGCCCGCCGCACAACCTCTGTCATCTGATTGATTCATACCCTCTGCATTATGATCCTCTCTACTACCCTCAATATCATGCTTCTGTCTTTGCCACCTCTGAGAATTTCTGTCTCTGGTTGCATGCTTCTCTCAGTAACCATTGTGATCTGTGTTTTACGTGTCACGCGCGGATTTGCCCTGAGTTCGGTTTGTCCCTTTCCGTTTCGGTTATCTTCGATGGTATATCTTTCTGTGTCTCCATCGACAATGTTTCCATGACATTTGGACGCCCTCAGTTCGAAAGTGAAGAGTATTCTCATTGCAAAGTCTTTTCCCACTTTCTTTCGCTCGCACATGATGGTATAGCTACCACTGCCATGTGCCTCACATCCCGTTGTCTTACTAGGATGGGAAAGGCAATTAAAAACACCAAATTTCACTTATCCTCCACGGTCAACAGTTCAGACAAATACCAACAGTTGATAACGTGGTCGTTCGTGGGGGTGCAAATATAGATTGCATTCTCCTTGAGCAAATTTACCAATGACTAAAAAAAGGGGTGAGATATTCGGGAATCTCAGGAACAATGCCCGTTAACTGGCTTAATGCAGTACTTAGGGTTCTTCAGGGATAATGATGTGACAGTACGCAGATTACGAAAAGTTATGTGAATTACAGTGATACGTGGTGAGTCAGAGCGATATCTCTGGGATACTCCTTATTCTCACAATCAGGGGAGATCAAACTAGGAGTCAGGATACAGTTGAATCAATCAAATACTTGGCTTCGAAACCGACCTTTCTGCTGCTCAGGATCTCACAATGAGTAATGACGCAGTCCAGACTAGAATACACCTTCTTGATGTAGTCTTAAGTGGCCAAGCTCTTAATATTGTTGACTAAAGTATAAGTCCTATTTATCGTCCTCAATCGTTAAAGTACGTGGATTTCTCCCCACAGAATTGATTTCCTGTGTTGTAAAGAGAATTGCAGTGAAACTACACTAGACGACTAGTAACCGTGCACTAGCTAGAGTAATTTAATGTGACTTAGAGGTGGCCTCAGGTAGTCAGAACGTCGTGGGAAAACAGTGACAAAAGAGTGGAGGGAATAAACTAAATTCACTCAGTATTCACACAGATATTAAGGGGTGAGAAACTTTCTGAGAGATACACAAACTCTCTAAAAAGGGATCTTATTATTCAAAGAGGGAAACTATGTCCCTTTATATACTACTCTACAGGTGGCTATGCAACTACTAAATATGGAATAGTGACTCATAATGACTTGGTATGAGTCATAACGGAAATGACTCATAATGACTCCATGTGACTCACTATGACTCAGTGTCCAAATGTTCACTTAGAGATTACCACTATTTCGGAACTGTCCAGAAACTATGACTAATCATTAAACAAAATGTAGATTACGTAAGAAGATTGACACTGCTCAGATGATGACTGCGCAGATGTTGAGATGTTAAGATGTTAACACGAATATGGCTCATTAGGTGGGAAAATGTACGAAGAAAATCCCGAAAGGTGCGGGAATGTGCTTACTAATGAAAGGATAAGGTTTTTTAACACAGTTTGTTGACTGTGCTAAGTACGTAATATGAATGATTAATTCATGTAGCTACGAAAAACCTTCAAGAAAATTATAGTAAACTGTAATAAAGCCATAAGAAATTAGAACTGCCTTTATTGGCAGTATTAGGTTGTACGAGAGTATGTTATGTGTCCGTGATCATGTACGAAACAGGTTTCAGTGCATGTCACCATGTACACAACGACCCCCCATGGTTTCATTATGAGGATGAATGCTATGAAGTTAACCTGAACGCCTTGTCTGCCTCTGTGCTCTCTACTTCGGCTCGTACACTTGTACTAGGAAGTGGGTTATCCGCAAGAAACGTGACTATGTCCATGCCATCTTGTCTCATTTTGCCACGTGGCGCACTCAGTTTTTCACTTCATGTCAGACGCGGCTCTTTTCCAACTCCTTTCGAACCAGTCTCTTCCAACTCATTGTCCCCGAAATCGATGCACCTTAGTTGCAGTGGACTTTCGCCTGGTGTATGGTCCAGAGGTTGCTGATGTGTTACGCATTCCTCCACCACTTACGGTGGCCCTTGGCCATGCATGACTTTCCGCAGCCTTGCATTTCCCGTGGATGACCCTTGCCATCAAAGATCTCACTCAGAGGCTCCAGAGACTCTCACAAGCTGAGATTCTGTCTATCTTACATCTGCAGACCCCTCGCTTCGGCACCTCATATGACAAACGCTCTCATAGAAAGTCTTGCAATGCTCTCGCAGACCTTGTGCACCAACGAGCCCTGCACCTCAGTTGTGCTGGTGGCTTTATGCTCTGTAACCATCTTCTTGCTCACTTCCCATTCATGGCCTCATACACGATTTCGGACAGTGACACATTTCTGCGCATCCTGGAACACGAGTTTGGCCCATCGGTGCTCGAGATGCTGTCGACGGACATCATCTCCTGTTCGGAAAAGGAAAAGGCGGCTCGTCTTCATCGCAAACGAGAGGCTGTCATTGAGGTGAACATAGCTCGAAGTGATCGCGAGCATGTTTGGCCGTCCATCATGCCGAAGGATGTTGTCCTTTGCTGTCTTGGTGATTATATGTCTGGTTCTCAGTGGACGGAACCTCCTGTTTGCGCTGTTTTTTTCACGGCGCGTTTCTGATGCTGTATCTATCACACTTACCGATGATCTAACGTCTTATAATCTAGAACTACTTCGTGTTACTGATGCCTTCATCATTCAGATCTGCATCATTCAGAACGTCTCCCCATGCTTCATCTTTGGCAACGAGGTCATTGATGGACTCATGTTGGAGAAGTCAGGCGTCAAATTTCAAGACTCGAATGCTGTCACAGTTAATGTATGTGTCGAATGTCAGTCTTCTTTGCTCAAAAACAAGGTACCCCAGTTGGCTTTGGCAAATCAATTGTATCGCGGCAGCCTCCCTGACCGCTTTAGTGACTTGATGTGGGTTGAAGAAAAAGTATGTGCTTTGTATTTGATCACTGCACATGTTACTTCGCCTCTTTCAGTCGTCTGATCCGACCCAACCCAGAGTTTTCCATGGTAACACATGTGCACACGAGATGAACACCGTGTCGACGGCATCAGTTCTACCTCGAATGCCTTCCGATGTGAATGGATTTCTGAGTGTGATTTTTATCGGGCCGGAACAGTTTGATCCCTCGCGCCTTCGCACTTTCTTCCGTGTCCGCAAGCATAAGATTTGGTCTTTTCTTGTCTGGCTGAAGCACCATAATGCTCTCTATGCTAGCATTCCATTGGATGCATCCATAATGGATTTATATCCCTCTGATGGGCCCCTCCCTGGTCTGACTGAACGTGTCGTCCAAGATCATGAACTCAATGCACACCATATATTCACCTCAGAAACCGCTGGCTTCAGTGAACATCCTGCTGAATTGCTTGTCCACCCCAGTGATGGCACTCCTTCTGACGACGTGGATGTCACTATGATGGTTGAGAAAATGGGTGTGTCTGACCCTGAATGTGATAAAGTTAGTGGCAGAAGTTTCACCGCCTCTGCCCTTCGTAACTTGGTTCCGAATGCAGACTCTGCAACACTGCCTGACCTTGTTATCCACCACAGCGGCAATGCAGTGCCTGAGTACAATAACCCCTCGTTCTTTCCTGGGATGTACCCTACGCTCTTCCCTTATGGCATTGGGGGGTTCGAGATCAAATCTCGAACTGCGGCACTCACGTTCCAACGGCAGGCACAGTACCTTCTCTCCATATTGGATCGCAGTTTTGCACTATCATAATTCCTTCCTCTTTGTGGTGCTGAACATCTTGCAATGACAGCAAGCACATCTCCAGACACATTTCTCTGTCAGTAAATCCAATTTCGACAGTGTGGCACGTACTCTAACCAGTGTCTCCTGCTTCTACCCTGCAGCACCTTGCGTCTCAACTCGAATGCGAGTGTAAGCTCTCCAACCTCACATCCGAAGAGCAGAGTGCCCTCACCCTCCTCCAGCAGGTCAATACTTTATCAGCTCGTATTCCCGGCTCACAAGCCTCCAAGATCTTCGCCAGGAATGAGATACGCAACTATTTTGGATATTTCGGCCTCCCGCATATTTTTTTCACCTTCAATCCCAGTGCAGCTCACAGTCCGATTTTTCAGGTCATATATGGTGACAGATCTGTTGATCTGTCCTCGCACTTCCCAATGATGCCCTCAGGTCCTGAACATGCAGCTCGTCTCGCACTGTGATCCTGTCGCTGCGGCCGATTTCTTTGAGTTTTCGTTCAAATGCCTGTTTCGAGATCTTTTCAGCTGGGATTTTGATCATGGTCGCTCCTGTGAGGCGGGTGGTATTCTTGGACACATACGTGCATTCTATGGGACGTTGGAGTTTACTGAACGTGGTGCTCTTCATGGCCATTTTTTGATCTGGCTTGAAGGGGGTGTTAACCCATCTGAATTTCATGAACACCTTCGCGATGATGTGGCGTATCAGACTAAATTTTTCGCTTTCTTTGAGGAAGTCATTCACCACCATTTGCCTGAAGTTGAAGACCAAATTGACCCTAAATTTGAACCTCGTGTACAGCGCCCTCCCAAACCGCCCCTCCCTGACGCGCCCTCGGAACATTTATCCGCATGGGAAGGTCTTCTGACAACTGAGATAAAACATTGTGGGGAAGCCCTCCAGCGACATACATGTAGGGCTGTGTGCCACAAATATGGAAACGATGTGCGCTGTCGGTTTCTCTTTCCTCATGAAATCGTCGAGGCCTCTTCGTTTGATTCTGATTCAAATCCAGTGGTGCTCATGTGCCATGATCCGACAGTTAATTATTTCAATCCATATCTGTTAGTTTTTTGCAGGCACAACCACGACATGAAGTGTATCTTATCAGGCAAGGGTGCGAAGGCAGCCATGTTCTATATTTCAGACTACATCACTAAGATGGATCTCAAGACCTATGAGATGCTATCTCTGCTGTCCCGTGCAGTTGCACGAATGCCTGATTCCAACACTGGGACTCCAGTCGCTGAAAGCGCAAAGATGCTTCTGCACAAATGTCTAAGTCAGTTCAACCGACAACAACAGATACATGCACAGCAAGCAGCATGGTACCTGCAAGGTTTTGGAGATGGCATCGCTTCGCATAAAACAGTGCCCATGCTGTCCTCGCTGCTTATTGGATATGTGAAAGAATGCTATCCCTGGTTGAGACAACTGCTCAATGGTGCAGACCTTGGTTTTGGTGGGGAAAATGATGCTGATGCTTCTGAGGATGTGCGCCTCCGCATTGCAACAAATGCTCAAGGTAAATTGATTGAGGCCTCCCAGGTACATCACTACATTTATCGTGCAGACTCTCTCTCTGACATGAACTTTTACAACTTCTGTCGCTGTGTGCGCATCGAGACCATTGCCAAGGGCGCGAGGACTAAGAACACTTATGAGACAAGGCTTGGTGTCCTTAGAAGACACCCATTAAAGGCTGGGCATCCCTCGTCTGATACTCATGAGTTAGTGGAGCATACCGACAAGGAACGAGGCGATGGTCGATCTGAATATGTACCTTGCGTTGTAGGGATGTCCATACCTCGTGCCTCCAACCAGAAATTGTGGGCACTCTTCACATTAGTGCACTTCAAACCTTTTAGTATTTCTACCAATCTATTGGAATCAAACGACGACATTGTGCAGTGTTACCAGAGGTTCGAGTTCAGTGCAAGATGTCAGCAAATCATGCAGAACTGGGAAGCAGTACATGAATGTGAGGATGAGCAAGATGCCAACAGGCTCAGAAAACATGCACAACTCACTGGAGAAAGTAAGGCGCTTACAAAAGCATTGACAGTTGCTGGAGATATTGACGGAGAGTGTGAAATATTGATGACCAAATCGCCTTCTCGCCATTGTGAAGCAGACTTTCATATCAATCAGCTCATCCTTCTTCTGCAACAGTCTGGATGGCTTGCACAGCGCATGTCCTCTGAAGTAAACCACCATGCACATCACCAGTCCCCTCGCGTGCTCGAAGAAAACCTGGATGTCAGTATTCACTTGAAAAGGTGGAAGGATGAGATCAAACTCCAGGAATCTGCAATAGCAGTCGCCCGTCGTAATGCACTTAACCCTGATGAACAGTGCACGACCATGACTGCGCGTGAAGCTCACACTGGCTGTGCTGCCGTTCAAAACACGTCCATTGCAACCGGCGACAAATTTCTGCATCCTGCATTGGCTTTCCCCTGCCCATTCATGGAAGCAACATCGACTCCTCCTCAAGACTCTGGTGCTGATGCAGCAGTTGCTGTCATTGAACAGATAGGCTCGCAATTCGGTCTTAATGACAAGCAGTGGATGGTGTTCCGTGTCATCGCTGGTCACTTTGTTGCTAAATCCGTTCTTAAATCAAATGACGGGTGTGATCAACTCACTATGCTCATGATGGGTCCTGGTGGTACTGGAAAAACACATGTTGTCAAGGCAGTGCAAGCCGTTATGAAGTCATATGGCTGTGCACATCTCATCCGATACTTGGCACCTACGGGTTCAGCTGCATCACTGATCAAGGGGATGATGGTCCACAAGGGCCTGGGTCTGAAAATCAAATCAAACGGCAAAGGTAAAGGCAATCGTGACACAGGGGAATCTTCTGAAGACTATTCAGTCTTGATCAGCGTGCAAAACCGCACTTTGCTGCGTGATGAATGGAAAAATGTGGAATATTTGCTGATTGATGAGGTCTCACTGGTTAGCCTGCAGCTTCTTGCGGAGATAGATCATGCACTGCGCTTTGCAAAAGAAATTCCGGATGTGTGGTTTGGTGGCATCAATGTCATTTTTGCTGGAGACTTCTATCAGTTCCCTCCTGTGGGTGGAAGTCCGCTGTACACACCGATTTCCATCTATGCTGGTCAAAGCGAGGCAGAAATTAAGAAGAGACTTGGACGTATGGCAGTGGAAGACAGTCAATACTGTCATCTCATTGTCTGAACAGCAAAGGATGAAAGGAGACCCTGTCTATGGTGATGCCCTCAATCGCCTGAGAGAACGGAAATGTACGCATGAGGATGTCGAACTATTCAACACCAGGGTTGTTAAGTCTGCATCTAATCTGGGTGGTATTGACATGAATCATGGGGACAACATGAATGCCACGGCAATCGTGGGAACCAACAAAGTCCATGAGGTACTCAATGCAAGAAAAGCAGAATGTGCGTCCACTGGGGAATTGGTTGTCTGTGCAGCTCAGGACAGCACAACTGATGAAATGTCACATGCAGAGCGCGAGCAGTTGCTGCGTTTAAATGTGACCACACTTAAGTCTGCCCAAGCTCTGCCTGGTTATGTGGTGTTGGCCGAGGGAATGCCAGGTAATTCTGCGTGTGCGGAATCTGTCAACAGACCTCGGCATCACCAATGGTTCTCAAGGTATAGTCAGGCAAATCTTTACTGCTGTCTGCCCTGCGGGTTTCACATATGCCACTTGTGTGCTGGTTGAGTTTCCCAATAGCAGAGTCCATCTCAGCAACCTACCCAAGGCAATTTTCCCCATCCTGCCATCCACCTGGACATTCACCACCTTGATTGAAGCAGAAGGTGACAGCCCGCAACGCAAACTCTGTGTCACACGCCGCCAACTGCCCATTCAACCTGTGTTCGCTGTGACTGGACATTCATCACAGGGCAAGACGCTTCCACAAGTGCTGGTCAATCTTCACGAGGGCAGTTTTGCTGCATATGTGGCTGCATCCTGTGCTCGTTCACGGGACGGGTTGACCATCACACAGGCTGTCTCAATTGACCAACTCAACAAGCGTGTGCCGAGTGATCTGTTCATGGAGGTCAGTCATTTTGAGGCCATAGAGCACAACACACTGGTGAGGCTTGGTTTGCATGAAGGATGGTTGATCCAGGTTCCTGATGCAGAAGGCGAATCTCGACTGTCATCTACTTCCCGTTCGGTTCAGTTTGATCACACCGTTTCCACACAGCCTGTCTGGCCCAAACAAGGTCGGAAGGCGTCTGATGCCACAGCGTCCATCCGTGATCATACAGTGAAGTGCCAACGGGTGATTTCGGTTACTGACAAGTCTACAGGAGATCCTGATGGAGGCCGTCCTATGACTGCAAGGAAGCAGGTCTTTGAGTCACGCTTCACAACAGACAGTTCCAGGAAGCACCTGCAGCACAAACCACCCAAACACCATCTACCTTCGGTGTACACCAGATGAAGCGCATGAAGTCAAATGGTGCGCAGGAAGCATCCTTAACTCATCGTGAATTGAGGTCAGATGTTCAGCTCACCAAGTCTCATGGCTGGTTGCAGCTGGTCTTCAGTTGATTGGTCATGCGCATACTGACACCATTTTCATGGTTCTCATCCACATCTATGTCGCTTCCCCTGTTGTTTGGAAGGAGAGTTGGAAGGTTCAGGTTACGAACACGTCTCTGACACATGCTTTTGATGATTTGTGCTTAAGTGAGTCCCAGCTAAGCTCACAGTCACTCTTCAACTATCATCGGGACATGTTTAGAGATGAGTTGCACGTCGCAGATAACATGCAATTCCCTCGGTTTGGTAAGGTGGGTGCCTCAGTTATTGCTGTTCTGGAGCATCACTTGCCATCTCGCACCTTCGCCAAGACTGGGATTTGTTCAGATGACCATAACAGTTTGGACCCTTACTCATCAGTTCCCACCACATCCATTATTCCTGTCCCCCTCGAGTGTTCTCATATCCGTCATGGTGACATGCCCCACAGTCTCACCCTGCAGCATTGGCTTGACCGCTGGCTTGAGAAGGAGCGCCATCATACTGCATGTGCTACATGTACAGGCACAGTGCAATGGGTTATCCATTTGGTCACCCCACCCGCCATCCTGTTCTTTGAGCAGCTCTCCGCACCTTTCATCCAACCCTGTATGACTCTTAGCCTCCCTGCAATAGGGGGTACTGTTGCCTACGCCCTGAAGGGCATCATCTATCTAGGTGATTATCATTTTGCGGCTCGCCTAGTGAACGACACTGGTCTTTGGACTTGTGATGGGCATCTGAATGGTGGGCGCCCTTTATTGGAAAAGGCTGCCCCTCCTCCAGACATGGACTGGGGCAGCCTCCATGGACGCACTGCACATCTATATGTGTATGCATTGCAATGAAACCATGCCCCAATTACAGGCTTCAGGGTCTGGGCTGCTTGACAGTTGACAGCCAATCAAGTGACTTGGGACCTCACGTCAGATTTGTTTGGTCAGCTCATATGACAATGTCAATCAGGTTGACAGGTTCTGTATTGGCATATCTGTGTCTCTGACATGTGATTCTAATTTGAAGGTATAGAATCCGTCCTGCATGCAATGCTCTGGCGTTCCATCCTGCTCCTTGCAATGGTCATGACCGGCACTTGTATACCTGCACACAGAGCTGTTTTGACATGTAAGCCGGAATCACTGCCGACTAACAACATGCTGACTGCACAAATGCATCTGTAGTTTTGGGGACTGCCGAACTTCTCGCGGACATCTATGAACGGCTGCCATTGCTTAGTGATATCATGGCTTGGAGATCTACCAGCCATCAGACACTGATCATGGGTCAGAGTGTCGTCAGCAAACGGTTTGCACGCATAGTGCGCCCATTCATCAACATCCACATCCCGGAGATGAGTGATGTCATGCAAGCATCACACGCTGTTATTACAGGTTCCTGCGCACTTGCAATGTTGTTGAACCCAGGCTACACGCCCAATGACTTAAACTTTATTGTAGCAGAAGCAGGTTTTGATCTGCTGGAGGTGTTTATTTTGGAAACCCTGCAATATTGGTGTGTCCAGCTGAGCGCCCGCCCGAACTATGCGTTTAATGGGGCTATCCGTCAGTTTGCAAGGTATCAGCGTGGGGAGAAAATCATCACCATCTCTCGGGCCACCTGGGAGGGTGTATTCAGAGTTATCGCATCTTCTCCCACCACGGCAGACATGACCATAATGACACCTGGCGGTGTCGCCACCTTTTACTCATCTTGGACTCTCGCTGGGATCACCTTGGTGAACCATACACTGTCTAGGCGTGGGCCTGGCCGCAATGTAGGCTGCTTTGAACGCCACAGATTCAACTTGCGTGACTGCAGCTGCTTCATTGATAAGCCTTGTGGAGGGCTCTGCCCTGCTATGTGGCGCTATGTGAGAAATGTTGCTGGGGAATCTCTTGTCCTGGAGTGGGACAGTAGGTACAGTATCGGAGGTTCGCTTGCACGATCACGCACCATGTGGCACCTAGCAATTCACTGCCAAAATGTCAAGTGTCCTTTCAACCCCACCGTTAACAAGGCTCTGACTCGCATGCCTCCGGCACGCATGCCAGCGAACTTGGCTGGTATACAAGTTGAGGAGGAGCGGATCAACAGCCGTGTACCGGTGAGTGTATTCCTCCAGTGGTGTTGGACATAACTGACATTGCATTTGCACAGCACTACAGTGTCAGATATACTGGTATCCTGTATGCCACCAGAGCCACGGCATCTCACCTTGTATCTGTACCCCTGCGAGTGGGAATCCCGAGTCTCAAACATCTAAGCCAACTTGAAGTCCAGCACTGGGTGGATTGCCTTGGACGCTGTGACAGATTCGTGGTGGCTACCACGCGCATGCGTAAGACATTCAATGTAGCTGCCAGACCATCACAGCAACCCAGAGATTATGGTTACACTTTCTTCCGGGATGAGCCTGCAGTGCATGCAGGGCCGAACAGGTTGATTCGTCGAGTTGCTGCGCTCCCAAGTAATGTTGAGGACATCACTGGGTAATATTCTTGTGGTGAAGCACAATAGAGGAGACAGACACAAATTAGTTGATGTCACAATGGAGGATGTCGAATGGATTGACACTATCATCAAAAAGTATGTGGTGTTACCTTGGAGCACCTTCACATCTAACACCAAGCCCCCCTAGCTCCATCGAAGATTACGAGTTTTGGATGTGACAGCATATTTATCCACTGCAATACACAGACAGTCCTTACCATTTTGCATACAGAACTGTCTTTAGTTGTACTTGAGTTTGAAACCACTGTGCTTTGCATAATGATGGAGATCATGTTGACTGTCTAGTACCGTTCAGTAGAGCAGACCGTGCCATGAGACGGGGACGCCGTCTACTTCGTCATAGAGACAGTTGGCCTGACAAGCCGATCTAGATCACATAGCAACAGACATGTGATCACGAGAATTTTTGTATTTCACATTTTTATCTACAGCGTTTGGAATACAGATGTCATCCAGAAAGCCTGTGATAAGGACCCGGTCTATCCCGATGCACAGACCACCTGCTGTGACATCAGAGTTGCCCAATTACAAAGTCAGCCAAAGCCATGCCCCGCTCTGCGTCATCGAGGTATAGGACGTTGTGACCATGTTGGACAACAATCTCCACGAACACTGTGGGAAGGGGTGTATTAGGGAGCGATCAGGCGACTTAAGAGGTCACGCACTGGACAGCCTATGCAAATCTGGAATTTTGCGGGCAGCTGGAGACAGGTTGATGTACACAATGTCCTTCATGTGTTCCCAGTAGCATTCACAGTTGAGACAGAGAGCGGTTATCCGGTACGATCACCGACTATGTTTTTCAGCTGGAAAGTTGTTAGTATCGTGGCATTGTATTAATTATCATGCAATGTACCTGTCATGAACACGCCCGGGCGGCTACAATGCGAGTGGTCCATGTCTGTCGTGCATGAGGGGGTTGTCATTGAAGTTAATTTGTGGTGTTGAGTTGAAGGCGATGTTATAGCTGAGAAACGTGCCCGGCTTTGGTGGATGGACCTGTTGCCACACATGATCGGTTGCTCGGTGAGATGTAGCAGGAGCCTCACAATTGACAGCAGTACCCCATTTTATGGGTGTTCAGATCTGGGCCTCACCCCAACAAGGTTATGATCAGTGAGATGAAACTGCCCCTGATGAGTTTCGAGCAGATAAGCAATACATCACTGCAAATTATCGCTGGACAGGAAATGTTGTGACAGGGGTGCAAAACGCATCAATCAAATCAGTTGCTCATATGGTTCAGAGAGAGGGGGTCCGTGGTTAAACATTACAGTACTTTGATGGTGGTGTCTACAAGCCACCGACTACAAGTAAGAGGGGGCGTGGCTGCCAGACGCCCATCATCCAAAGGCGAAAACAAGTATGCCTCTTGAAGAAGCCAAGCTACATTTGACCTGCAGAAGATGAGCGTGATACTGCTAAGTACAAGCGTCTTGACTTACAGGAATTGATTTGGTGTTGCATGTGCAAGCTTAACAAGGTTGTCGAGGACGATATCTTGTGGTGCGCCATATGGTGTGGTGCCCTGCAGGCTTCTCACAGCACTAATGATGGTGAGTTGTATGGTGGTAAGTGAGACACAATCGTGACACTGAGGACTGATCAGCAGCAGCATTGAAAGGAAACAAGCTGGCAAACTAACAACTTCAGTGACTGCGAGTAGACGGTGAGCATGCGTGGCTCCACATGGTGGTTCCTCAGATACAGTCTCAGTGATAGATGGAGTTGCTGTGGCATTCAAGTCTTTGGCGAATCCATTTGAGATCTGTGCATTTGTCACTAGTTTGATTTAGGACTGGCAGTCAGACAGGGTAGAGAAGTTCACGAACACGGTAGCTCATCGACATCATTGTCTGCCAGGAATAGAATTGATGGCGAGGCGTGGGAATCTCTGGCTTCGAGCTCTCTGCAAATGCAATCTGACATACTCAGGTTCTGCATCTGGATTTGAACGTCTAAAGGGCTGTGGACATTGTAATGCATGATGGATGGTGAGTCAAGCTTGACGACTTGCACCTCACTGGACAAGCAGGTGCATATATTTAACTCAGATGCCAGTATCACTCGGATCACTCATTTATCAAAGTCAGAATCAGACCGATTGTCTAGCTGTGGAGGCCACGGCTACATCAATGGGATTGGGCCTATCTGTGCCAGTTTTATGTGGGAAGACCGTGACAGTGGGCAGTGAAATTTTTCAGTTGAGGGGAACTGAATCGTTGTAAGCATTTGCATAGTGTCAGAGACTGATAGTGCACTGAAAATTGTCCAAGTCCTTGGCATCGATCACCTGTACGTGCAACACTGACATAGAAACCGATAGTGCCTCAAAAACTGTGGAAATGGTGGCCATTGGTGACACCTGTGCGCTGTCGCCGATCAACTGAGGATTATGCAGCCATGGTGAGTAATCATTCATAGGAGATAGGGGACTGGGTTTGATAGAGCGGTCAGGATGATGTTGTTGCTTGCCAGTGAAGGCATTGTGTGCATGTACGGTGCATGAAGAGGTGCGATTGCCACCTGATATCAGTGTCATGATGGTCTGTGTAATTCACAAAATCAAATGCTGACGAGTCAAGTCTGGCCACCTCCTGATTCAAAAGCTGCCGCTGAAAATTACTGGCGTCCCTTGCGATGACCATGTCTCAATTTTCCAGACTGGCACACTGGCAGCTGTCCATCAGCCTGAACACCACAAGGACAGATGTCTGATTCGATAAAGTCCTTGTTTATGGGTGTGTTCCCCCTTTCTCTCCATTGGTTGAAATGCCTTGAGTGCCTCGACTGACCTCACCTGTGAAGTTTGCTTTGCATCTCCAAAGTACTTGCTTGACCTACAGTACGATGTCCTCCTCCATTATGGAGCTTCTGGAGATATTTGATGGCAGTGGGGCGTTCATTTTCGGTGTGTGTCCATACATGATAAACTAGGAATGTAGACTAACATTTTCAAAGTGCACAGGCAAGGGCGTCCCATGCCTGGTTTCGACGTCGTGAGTGGGGCTGACATCATTGCATTTGGCATTCCCTACACCAGACGTCCAAATAGTGGGGTGTTACTTGCCATGGATGAGCTCCTTGCCAATGCAGATCAATGCACTCGTGTGTCTCACTTCTTCTCGTATGTTGCGCATGCTCATCTCATACAGGAACAGTTGAAACAATTGTAAAGGACCGCAGAGTTATCACTGTGTATGCAGAGAGTGTCGAGTTGGCCGAACGGCTCGCATCAGATGCAAGGACGCTGAGTCTTGCATTATTAGGGAATACTGAGAGTGACGGGTAGATTACAAGTATTTTGCCACCGATATACAATAGACCAATTGTTTGAATTTTGGACAGATACTGAGGCATTATGTTGTCCGTTGGTTTGAGCATGTGAAATCTGAGATTGCACAGACAATGCCTTGACAGTGTATTGGGCAGGTTATCGGGTTTCACATTACTTTGGGTGTAAGGAGTGTCCTGAACACAGATAAGATTGAAGATTGCACGCATTGACAGCACAGTTTGGTCCATGATCGCAAACGAGATCTCGCAATAAGATCTTGAAATTTTCATATGCACATAAAATTTATGGAAGGGTAAAGGACAGAAGCTGAGACACATGATTAGTTAGATACATGATGCCAGCATCCAATTCACGCTAGCAGAAAATATTGCCCCCCCCCCCACCACACGCACTTCAACTAAATAGTAACCTGATACCATGCCTGCGGACACTTCTCCAGCAGAGACTGAATCGCTGCTTTCACCTCTTACTTCTCGTGAACCCACCCCTTTTGACGACAAGGGTGGCACCACTGGTGCAGATGAGGGAGGTGCCACCGAGACGCCTCTTCACCATTGCCTCCAGGCATATATGTCCACCCCTGGTGCACTGACGCCAGAAGTCTGTGACTCTGTTCCATTTGCCAACAATCCACGTCCGATGTTCATGCAGATGGGGGACAAGGCAGATTACTGGGCTGATAAAGACAGTGAACTACTCATCTTTAAGTTTCCGGCCATCCTGGATGTGAATGGTATGTACACACGCATCAGTCCTTATTTCGGGATGCCGGACTCCAGGGTACGTTCCATCTATTAATGCAGGTCTGGGAGCATGTCCTGACATGAGGACAAAGCTCGACGTCTCAGTCCTGAGAAAGGCACGAGCTCATTTTGAAATTCACCTTCTGTCGCCCGATGATGAGGAGAGCGACCAGTACCCAGAAGAGGTCCTTACCATGTCTGCGAGGTTCTTTGACCTTCTGTCCGCGTTAATAACCGATGTCGAGGATACACGCAATGCAGGTAAGCATACAAATTATATGAGGCTGTATGTGCATCTGATGGTCAGATAGGTGTGCCTGATTCAACACGAGTGATTGTCTCACCGTTCATGCGCGGGTACACCCGCGCTGAGGAAGACTTCTATGTCTTGCTGGTCCAGACCGAACTGCTGTTTCGAGATTTGCCTACCGAGCAACAGGCTTCAAGCATTGTGCCTCGTGTCAAGCAGGGTGACATTGGAAGTAAGTGGCATCACATGCGCATTGCGAGGCCTGCTGATTTTGACATGGAATGGATGAAGAGTCCGGTGTGTTGATTAGCCCAAGTAAGGTTGAGTCAGCATCTGAAAAGGACTTATCTTTGACTTCTGATTTTGCAGGTAAAGCTAAGTGCTTGGCGAACAAGCAAGGTGGAGCAACTGGAAATGACAGCAATAGAGGGCCGAGCACAGGTAATGCTGCAGGTAAGGATGCAGTGAATTCGTTGTAGATTGGAGGATGGGCTAACAACATGGTGTGTAGCTCCAGATGTGCTGCGTATTCACGATCTCCACGACCCTCTTGCGTGGTACGCAGGACTTGGTCCACTCCGGGAGACAAAAGTAGAGGTCCCCAACATTCGCAATGAGCATGGGACATTCATCCACCCACGAGACTATGCTGAGAAGTTGGCCGGAGCCCGTTTTGTTGAACTCGAGGTGTACATCAAGTTGTACGTCGCCACAGGGCCTTATTGACATTAGCTGACGCGGCATTCAACAGATGGAGCATACCCGCCAAGTTTAAGAAGGACCCTAGCATGAGTGACCGGGACAAATTTGGTTCCCGCACCTACCAAATGATCCTGCATCGCATGCAGTTGCTGCCCTGCGACGCTTACTTGAAGCCAATGATTTGCGATCCCAAAGGTAAAAGGAAAGCGTCTGAAGACACTGAGGACCAATCTCCTGCGAAGAAACATGTGTTTGCGAGAGATGCTTTTGCGATGTATGACTGATGGACTGACGGACCTCAATGTGGTCATAGATCATACTAGTAACCTTTTTGGTGTACGTATTGGTCTTGGTAAAAGCTTGTAGTATGAAATTAATGGGTGCCACTTGTTGCTGGCTACTCGGTTCTGAGCCTTGGAACGCTTGTGATAATCTGAGGGACACTGACGCAATTGCACAATCAGAGATTCAGAGGGACATGGTGTGCTGCCACGCTAGAAAAGTGACATGGATTGCACAACTTAGCCACAGTGACTATCGACAGCTAAGGGCATATCAAGAAGGCAGCGCCAAGTTACATGACGGAGAAACGTGGCACTTTTTCCTCGAGTGACATCATCACTCGAGGAAAAAGTGCCATGTGGCTTGCATCATGTGACTCACATTGTACGTCACGTTACTGTGAGAATGCGCTCGGCAGCCAAATTCAAACCGAAAATAACCAGTCCCTCGAAATACACGTCATCATAATCCGTAGATATCCGGTTGGGTGTCGGGGACTGGCGCGGCCGAGCGCCGTTACGATATGGTAATTTTTGCTTAAAATAAGAGCACAAGTGTCCGGCTTTCCATATGTTCCCGCCGGTTCCCTGATGTACATCGTAATGCCCGACCATCGCACAATTGCGCATTTGTCCATCTTCGGTATGGTGTGACACACGTGGCTAGTGTAGGGGGCAGAAAGGAATTGGCCTCGTGGCAATTGGCAAAATGGCAGAAGTCGGCAAAAAGTATTGTGAGCGTTTTTGGCTCTTTTCCACTATGTTCCTACTACGGCAAAAATAGCTTTGACCACCACATCGAGGCTACACCTTCTGACATCAAAAGTGCATCAATATTCTCTTTTGCTTACATCAACTCCTTGTCAGTCATTGATTCCGGACCCGCAAGATAGTCTTGGTCATCAGAGTCTACTGCGAGGGGAGGAATCTTCAATCCATGCAACCGATTTTCATCGAGTCCATGTTTAGGACAAGTACTATGTGTGTGTTTGCATAGCTTACAAGAAGTGATTCAAACGTGTGAACTGACAAATTGCATCATTTGACGGTCTGAGATGAAAAGTAGTGCTTGATATTGGCCGTGTGAGGTACTATATTAATTGAATGGACAGTAGTTACATTTGAAACAGTAGTTTTTCGAGTTGTTTCTGACTTTCTCCCTGGGAAAAAGTGGTCAGACATGATTTTTCGGACATGATGGCCCTTGGGTGAGTCTGGGGCCATGGTAATTGCCAACTTGTACACCAAGATACATTCAACCATATGTCAAATTTCTATTGTTTGTTGGTAGGAACAAGTACTAGGAGGTACTAGGTTATTGTAGTTCTGCCGACTTCTGCCAACCACCTTCGACCTCAGCTGCCGGCAATTGCCACCTGGCAATTGCCACTGGCAGAAATATTTCATTCTGCCAACAACACTACACGTGGCCGATTGGAGTTCTTATAATGTGTTCTCGTTACTGTGCTAATCAACTATCATGGCGGAACATCAGGACCAAGTACCTCTTACTGACATTGGCGTTCGTGACACAGGAATTGATGTTATCGTTGTCGGCGCTGGCTTTGGAGGTATTGCCTGTGCAATCGAATGCAAAAGGAAGGGTCACCGGGTGATGATCCTCGAGAAAGTGCATGAATTGAAACGCCTAGGTCAGTGACTATCGCACACCTATTATTCTTAGCTGATGGCGGAATCTAGGCGACGTGAGCTCATTTGGGGTAATGATTTGCAGCTTGAGGACTGACAAAGTGCTAGACGCTGAACCTTGGCGTAAATGCTGGTCGCATCCTAGCCAGATGGGGTCTCCATGAAAAGTACGAAAAAGGCCTTTTTTCTAATCAAAGTAATTGAAAATGAAACAGATTTTGGGACATCTCCGCTAACCCACGAGAAATTCACATCCACGATTACCTCGGAGGTTTCATTCAAGTTCAAAAGCTACCCTTGCCGCTCTTCGGAGCGTTCGCTTACAATGGTCATCGAGCGCTTTTTCACGAAATCCTTTTTGAGCATGCGAAGTCCTTGGGCATCGAGATTCGCATGGGACATCAGGCCGTGGAATATTGGGAGGATGAAACAAATGGAAAGGCTGGTGTCAAAATCCAAACAGGTGAAACGTTTGACGCCGATGTCATCGTTGCTGCAGATGGAGTGAAGAGTTTGGCGAGAAAATTTGTCATCGTAAGTTGGAATTTTACCCTGCTAGTCAATTTACCGGTCAACATCGATGAAGGGGTACCACGACAACCCAAAACCTTCTGGTTACGCTATTTACCGAGCGTGGTTCGATGCTGAAGAGCACGGTATTATGTCAGACCCATTGACTGACTTCCTGACCATTCATGGGGATCAGTTTCACACGTGGATTGGTAGGTGGGGTTGTCCCCAGTTTTTTCTTCATTACTCACCCCTCGTAGGTAAAGACGTGCACTTTATAGCGACTTCCTCCCACGGAGGTAAAGTGATTTGTTTTGTCATCACTCACAAGTGTGCAAATCACACTTCTCATGATATTCAGAGCTAAATAGTAAAATTTTAGAGATGACGCAGTTGTTGATGGCGACTGGTCGTCCCCGGGTAAGATAGAAGACGTACTCGACATTGTGAAAGACTGGGACCCGCGGTGCGCTGCAGTCATCTCCAAAGCTCCCTCGTGCATCGACTGGAAGCTTCTTGTACACGACCCTCTTCCTACTTGGATCAGCAAATCTGGTCGTGTTGTATTGATTGGCGATGCTGCTCACCCGTTCTTACCGTAAGGAAGTATGGCTGATTGATGCTGGACCCACTTGCTCACCATGTGGTTGGCAGAACAAGCGTGCAGGGCGCATCTCAAGCCATTGAGGATGGCACAACTCTAGCAGTCGCCCTGAATCTTGCTGGCAAAAACAACGTTCCACTGGGCACGAGGACATGGGAATCCATCCGGTATGTGGAATAATTTGTCCCCAAAGGATGCGGGGACTTCTGCATCATATTGTACAGGTATCAACGGGTGCGTGATGCACAGCTGTTGGGGGAGACTCTGCGTAATAAATGGCATGGGGCGAAACCTGGTGACTCCGGGAAAAGTTTTGAGCTTCCCAAGCCTGAGTGGTTGCTGGCATTCGACGCTGAGGCACACGCATATGCCACTTACGATGGAATAGCTCGGTCTATAGTCGAAGACGGATATCGTCAGCCATCTCTTTCTGGGGAGTAGTACTTGTGTGAATCTTGATGATGTTTATGTATGGTGTTATAGTCGCCCTGCACACCTATCATTCGCGCGTTCCGCGGCGTGCGCACTGCGCGGTGTGCGTTTTTTGGCTGGTGCTTGTGCGTTGCGCAAAGTTCGTGTTTGCAGGAACCACTGAGAGTTCGTAATGCACATTTGATTTACAATTTATTTACTGCCGGGTGCTCACAGCAACCCTGACATTACCTTTGATGACAGAAACCCCTGGATGGTCCGTTATCCTCCATCTCACTTTCCTCACTCACAGTATCTCAGGCTGAAGTAGCGACCGTCTTCCACCTTCCCCTCTCCGCATTTACCTCACCTGCGCGTATCAGGCTTGACATGTTCCGCGCCGGAGACCATCCTCGAGAACTGAGTACACAATATCGTCTTGTGTTCGTTTAGAAGCGCCATTTGATGATCTACCGCAAGCTGAAATACAGGCACTTTCGTTTTACGTCCAACCTATGGTGCCTTACTTACATGTAAGCGAAGAGACACCTGTGTCGTCCTGTATAAGAAGTCCATCACTACTTTCTGTACCTCCCCACACCTTGAAACCCTTTATGTAGTGACGAGACACGCGGTGATGACATTCTTCGCATTGGTACCGGTAGAACTCCCAATATTTCTGGGCGGGAGATGCTAGATGTGTGTGTTATAATCCAGACCGCGAGTAGCATTGATTCAACGAGATGCAACCCATACAATATCGGGATGCATGACAGATTTAGATGACGAGCGATCAGAACCCAGGCTGTACTACAAGTCGATGCATAGTCGATTATTGGGCAATTAGATAATTTAGATTCTTCCACTCAACCCAATTATGATCCAATCATGATGCCCCCAACTTGGGTTGTACTAGTAATAATGCATGTGGCCGGAGAGTTTTCTCTCTTTCTCGGAACACACCTTGACATTCACTCATGGCTTATTATTTTATAAAAATGAAGCACGTACACTGCGTGAAACCGCAGATTGGGATGCCATTGGGTAGGAATTTATTCGTCCTCACCAGATCCTATGAAGATCCTTTCGCATACATAAATGAGATCCACAATTGATGCTATACTGACTATTTATTAATCCTATACGTAGGTCCTTCTGATTATCTTGCTTCGCTTCAACTGCCATTCATATGGCGCTGGATCAGTTCAACTATTCTACACACAAAATAGACTTATACACACAACATTTTCACACATACACAATCGCGTACGGTTGCTGAGACGTGTGAATTTTAGCGGGACTTCCTTTTTTGGTAATACCGCGCGACGACACAACGCTTGAGCCTTGAGTTCGCTGTCCTCGACAGCGAGCTCAAATACTCGCCCAATTCTTCTCCCTTTTCCCTAATTCTTTTTGTAGTACATAAATTTATGATAAATGCGTTACTTGTGGCACATAAATTATGCTATATTGACCATAATCCTTCCGTACTCACAATATTCACTGCTTCCTGTCATGCATTCATACTGGGCACTCTCAAGGGCTTATTATGCGCTTAAATGATGATGTATTCATTGTATAAATATATTAGAACTTCTACAAAGACATAAATATCCAATTGGAATCTAAAAAAACGATCAGGGTGGGTGAGGAGGAGAGGAAGGTGGGGAAGGAGGATTGTCCAAATAAGCATAGTTAACTAGTTACTAGTAACACATTTATCATAAATTTATGTACTACAAAAAGAATTAGGGAAAAGGGAGAAGAATTGGGCGAGTATTTGAGCTCGCTGTCGAGGACAGCGAACTCAAGGCTCAAGCGTTGTGTCGTCGCGCGGTATTACCTAAACAGGAAGTCCCGCTAAAATTCACACGTCCGTACGCGATTGTGTATGTGTGGAAATGTTGTGTGTATAGTAAGTCTATTTTGGTAGAATAGTTGAACTGATCCAACGCCATATATTCACAATGGGAAAAGGACACTCATCGACTCGGAGGGATTCGACTCACACAACTAACGAAAGTAACAGCTCGCGGAAGCTCGGTACGTGACTGACGAGGATCACTCAGTCCAATCCATTCCAAACACTAACACATCCTTCGTCTAGCACCGACCCCGTGGAAGAGTCGGTCGGTTTCTGGCGAAGGTTAAGGACGGTGTGAACAAGTTAAAGATCTCGGTGAGTCCACAATGAGTGTCCTGGAATACGACTGAGACTGTCATAAGCGCTCGAAAGATTCCCGCAGCCGCAGCCCTGTTCCTCCGAATGACAATCATGAACGTGCTTCATCGACCCCGAATCTCGAGGTAAGTTCTCATACTTGTCTTCTAGTCTCTGTTCTCTAAATTCTCGTGGTCGCGCATGTTCAGGCGGCTCTGTCTGGTGTGGTGAATGCTGATACTACCCAATCGGCACTTCGGGATGGACAACAGGCTGCAAAACGCATGCATGCACTTTCGAGAGCTGTGACATCTTTTGTTCAAGACACACCAGAAGATCTCGATGCTGCTGACAGTTTCCAAGACACATATCTCAAACCCCTCAGGATATTCGATGCTGTTATCGAAAAGATTGCGGATGTATGCAGGCCCTCCTTTCGATCAGAACCGAACTAATCTAGTTCCAAGGTACATCCATATGCAAAGATGGCACTGGGCGTGTTGTCGTTTGCAGCCAAAGTATGTTTTCTCTATATCTCTTCCTGTCTCCCACTGCTCAGCAACCATTTGTACAGATTATTCTAGCTCAAGCGGATCGCGACGCAGCGTTACTCAAACTTCTCGAGAAGTTATCCGAAATTTACGACTTCGTGACACAAGACGAGAAGCTTGACCAAATTCTGTCGATGCACGCTATCCTTGGAAAGATTTCTCAGCAGACTCGTGAATGTACTCAATTTATCACGAATTATTCGGAGATTAGCAACTTTTGTGAGTGTTACAAGCTGTTGCGCTTTGTACCGTCTCGAGCTTCCACCGTCATCACAGGGATGAGACTTGGAAAGGAAGTCCTCTCAGAAACGAACGATACGATCAAAAAGTACAATGACGTGTTCGACGGGCTCATGCAAAACTTCCGGGACCAGGTTGCTCGCGGCGTAGCCATAGGTGTTCATAACATAAGCACACACGTTCACTACATAGCCATACGGGCCCACCATGCGGGTAAGGGTTCGAACGTCCTTGTGACTTCACACACATACAATCATACCTTTTTAGAAGATATGTTGGACCTCAGCGGTATGACTTATGCAGAGGGTGCGGGACTAGATACCAGAAAACAATGCCTTGAAGGGACGCGCACGGAAATCCTTTCCCAGATCACGGAATGGGTCAACAGCACTGGGGATAGCGTTCCACGCGTGCTGTGGCTATCTGGCCCTGCAGGCAAGGGCAAATCGGCCATCGCCCACACTATTGCTAAGTGGTTTGAAGACGTGGGAGGACTTGGCTCGTGTTACTCTTTTGATCGTCAGCGAGAAGCAGACCGCCGCCATGAAAAGATATTTTCCACGATCGCGCGCGACCTTGCTGATCGTGACCCGAAGATGAGGCGGGCATTGGCAAGCGCAGTTCAGGCCGCGAGTTCGCTCAAGAAGACGGCGGATATCATCCAGCAGTGGCAGAAGCTTCTTACCGAACTACTGGAGAAGTCATCTGGGTCAACTGGGGAACCCATCTTGATCGTGATCGATGCACTGGACGAGAGTGGTGGAATAGAGACACGGAAAGACCTCCTCAGCATTCTAGCGGGCAAACATCAAAACACCTCTGTCCCCAAAATCACAGACCTCCGAGGAAACTTCCGCTTCATCGTTACCTCTCGCCCACTTGATGACATCAATGATGAATTTCATGGTGTTCAGCATATTCGACAAATGTCAATGGATGATATTCCGCCAGCATTCACAGAGCGCGACATCCATGCTTACGTATCCAAGGAGTTGGAGCGGCTGAATTTACAGGATAGAGAGTTCACAGTCCTCGCTGAGAAAGCCGATGGACTTTTCGAGTGGGCGCGTCTCGCTTGCGGATACATCAAAAAGTCCCATGTGGGGCTATCTCCACATGATTGCTACGAAACTGTGGTGTCACGCGATCCTGCTGAGAGAAGCCCGCTGCTGCATGATATGTATCACCTCATTTTAACAGATATCATGCACGGGGATACATCTCTGCATTCGCCGAATCAGCGCTTGACGAAGCTAACGAGATTTCGCTCAGTGATGGGACAAATACTAGGCGCAGCTGAACCCCTTCCTTTAGCTTCCCTGAACGCCATGAGGCGCCGTTTTCCAATGCGAGAGGACAATTTCGACGTGGAACTTGTTATAAAAAACATGGGCTCCCTCCTCAGCGGCACCACCAACCCAGATTCTCCAATCCGACCACTTCACGCATCCTTCCATGATTTCTTGACGGACAAAGCGTCCAGTAAAGAACTTTTCATCGACCTGTCAAAGGCGCAACGCGACCTTGCATTCGCGTCACTTCGAGTGATGGAACACGATCTTTGTTTCAATATCTGTGCTTTAAATTCATCGTATCTCCCTAATAGCGAAGATCCCGGGCTGGAAGAACGAGTCCAGAAATGCATCCCCCCACATCTGTCATATTCATCTCGATTTTGGACTTCCCATGTACGAACCACAGCCTTCGACAGGGAGCTCGCGAAAGAAGTGAAACTATTCTTCGACCACGAGCGGCTGTTTTTCTGGCTCGAGTCACTCTCCCTGATCAATGCGCTCAGCAGTGCAGGTCCTGCCCTTATTCCCATTGCCCAGTGGCTGAAGGTGAGCACACTGCTACTATGCGTCAGATAAAGCGCTGATGCGCAACCACAGGGCCATCCCCAATGCAAAGTTGTCTCGTCGACTGCAATGGACGTACAGAGGTTCATTCAAGTCTTCGGCGGTATTATTTTACACAGCACACCACATCTGTACATATCAGCACTCTCATTCTCGCCTACCAACTCTCCGCTATCGAGAAAGTTTTCTGCACGGTTTCCGAATACTCTTCGTGTGGCATCTGGACGTGATATAAACTGGCCACCTGTTCAGACTGTACTCAGGGGACACACTTCTGAAGTTAACTCGGTCTCGTTCTCGCTGGACAGCACTCGCATCGTCACTGGTTCTTGGGATAAGACTGTTCGGGTGTGGGATGCAGGGACGGGGGAGCCAATCGGTCAGCCCTTGCGGGGGCACAGTGGCTCAGTTTCGTCGGTCTCGTTCTCGCCGGATGGCACTCGCATCGTCACTGGTTCAAGGGATAAGACTGTTCGGGTGTGGGATGCAGGGACGGGGGAGCCAGTCGGCGAGCCCTTGCGGGGGCACACTGACTTAGTTTCATCGGTCTCGTTCTCGCCGGATGGCACTCGCATCATCACTGGCTCGTTGGATAAGACTGTTCGGCTATGGGATGCAGGGTCAGGGGTGCCAGTCGGTGAGCCCTTGCGGGGGCACACTGAACCAGTTAGCTCGGTCTCGTTCTCGCCGGATGGCACTCGCATCGTCACTGGTTCTTCGGATAAGACTGTTCGGCTGTGGGATGCAGGGACGGGGGAGCCAGTCGGTCAGCCCTTGCGGGGGCACACTGACTCAGTTTTGTCGGTCTCGTTCTCGCCGGACGGCACTCGCATCGTCGCGGGTTCTTTCGACAACACTGTTCGGCTGTGGCATGCAGTGATGGGGCAGCCATTGCAACAGTGCGCTGAGTTAGATCATCCAGCATTCTCAGATGAACATCGCACGATCGAGGCCACTACCATGACATTGAACACTCTGAACAATCACTTCATTCGTTTCTCGTCCAACTCTATCCATGCGCTCCGCGACACTTCTGAGTTAATGGAGGGGGCATCCCATGACGAGCGTAGTTCGACCGCCTTTGTCCTGGATGGTGACAGTGGATGGGTGATAGGACCCAAACGTCGGCTGTTATTTTGGGTACCACCCGCTTCTCGACATTTATTTTGGAGCCCTGGGACTGCCTTAGTGATACCCAGAGGTTTTCAGCTTGATTTGAGCCGCATGGCACATGGACAACACTGGCAAAAGTGCCGAGTCGAGTGAGTCTCTTCGAAGCCCTTTCCGTTCCTCGCGCTTACTAAAATCAACACTTGCAGACCTTAGTACCAACGATGATCGCAGCAATGTCTCCATGATGAAGATTTCAGATACAACTTACATGTGATCGAGTGTACAGTAGATCATACTTCATATTCTATTCTATACCTAGCATATTACCTGAGTTTAGGGTTGTCCATGTGAACGACTTGAGCTGACTATGTAGCAGTACTCGTGATGTTCTTGCTTGTTTGTGAGAGCACGTAACGACGGACAAGGCATGCCGATTTCTTCAAAGATGCAGTTGCGCGTGCGCCGTGGATTGTGTTGATGTGATGCATAGCATCGGTGCTTCCTCATAGCGGACTGAGAAACTGAACAGAAGGACACCGTTGTTGCGGTCATCTGTGCACACGTAGTCGTTCAAGTCCCAGTGTGCATTGAAAGTGGGCTAAAAATCCGAGATAACAGGGTAGGATAGAATATGTAGTTCATTGCAAGCGCTCACTGTACAGTACAGCGTGTAATCGCGATATCCACGACAAAGGCGGTGAGAACGAGAGCACCATGAAAACGATGTGTGTAGGATGTTGTGAGCTGTGGGGCATGAAAAACAACTGGACACCGGGCGAGAGCAAGCGAACGGGGGATGAAATTGAGGCAATGCGAATAGTATGGACTAACATGAGAAGTTCCGGCACGATAGATGACATTAAATTGAAGGTGATATTGGACGCAGGTGCACCAGGGTGTCACAACGGACATCCTCGTCAAGCTCTTCGATAGTCGGTTTGTGGAGACTTAACAAGAAGAGTATACAATTGAGTTCCATAAGTCTGCATTGAACTCGCGACAAATGTGTGACAATGTGAGACTAGGAGAAGTAGATTATGACTCATTATTGGGTGGTGCATATTGACAAATTCCGTGGCCTACTTTATCCTCTCCAATGCAGGGCTCAGTGTAGCGGTGTCTTCATTTCCGCAGAGGCGTGAACACATGGGAGCAATCGCAGTTGGAGGAGAGAATATGAGGGTCCTGATATCATGTACTATGCGAAGTTTGACACACCATACTTTGAGAGGAACTGACATTTCAATCAGATGGCAAGGCCACAGTACAGTCAATTGTCTAAGGTCTGCCTGGGGGAGATAGAGGATATGTCTGTAGGAAGCAAGGCGGTTGAGGTACTTACCAAAGTTGAGATGAGGTCGTGCGCCTGACGGATATGAGGCGGTTGTGTATAGCTGTGCATTATCTGAGGGAAGCTCGCTTACGTTTATAGTCCTGATGTGATCTAGAGTCTTATCTCACCCGTTCCCGCACTGCATCCCATTTTCAAGAGTTCCCTAGCCCCTGGACGACTATCTTGACTCGCTTTAATAACTGCGCGCCAAGTACATGTGGTAAATCTCAGATTCGATTAGAGTTTGAGTTGTTTGCCCTTAATAGTTAACATCCTGCTGAATGAGCGCAATGGCTTTCACAGAACGAGGCTTAATAGAGCACTTGAAGGGTTTGGGATGGCTGGGAGTACGTCTATCAAAACCAGCACCGCGGATGCGATAAGATGCACGACATACCTGATCGTGCCTGATGTAGGGTCAACTTCAGGGGTGATCTCGACACCCTGCTCGACGACCTTGGAGATATCAAACACTGCGAGTGACATCGCGGTGGATATCCAGACAGAGGCATCAGCGAGGTGGAGACCTGTCCATGAAAGCAAACAACGTCAAAATACTGTTTGTTGAGCATGATTCAGGCGTACCGGGGCAGATACTGCAGAGCAGATAGTTAGCATTGCGCTTAAAATCAACTCCATGCTTACCGTCTACCAAAACCAAAGCAGATTGTGCGAGGTTCGAGTTCGGGATCTTTTCCGTTATTGTCCAAGAAGCGTTCAGGGTTGAATTGTGAGGGGTTAGCATATGTCTGCGGGTCATTAAGCATGAACCTGGCAAATAATTCTATCATGTCGGATCCAGACAAATGCGGACACTAACCAGATGTTAGGTATGATCAAGGAGCCTTTCGGAATGTAGTACCCATCATGCATATCGTCCTCAGAGACGCAGTGGATGATACCTGTCTTTAAGCGATCGATACCGTTCGGCAATGAAAAGAATACGATAAACGCATACCTGTAGGGGCGACAACATTCCAGCGCAGGACTTCCTTCACAAGCGCCTCAGTATAGGGGAGGGAAGTCGCGGTCTGCGAAGGAGGGAAGACGATCAGTACCAACAACGGCGTCTATTTCAACCTGAGCCTTCTTTTGCACATCAGGGAAAATTGTCATCGCCAGGAAAAGCGAATAGATTGTAGAAACTGTCTGTAGAGATAGATGTTAGTCTCAAGGTATGATAATTAATCTGTAATATGAGGGGAGGAGCTAACCGTGTCGGCACCACCGGAGTATAGGGCTAGAGCAGACCATTTCACCATGTGATCTTCTTCCGCAGATAAAGTAGTACGGCCTTCCAACAGATTCGAGGTGAAGGACACTGGGGCAATTCCAGCAGCCTATAAAATGTTCAACTCGTGACCACCAAACTATAGACATTAGTTACCATCTGATCCTTGATGAATTTGTATGGTGTATCGACCATCTCTTCGAGGGTCTGATGCCATTCACGGGCCAAGCGCTTGAATCCAGCGCCAGGAAACCACTCGGGAACCTTGGCCACTAGAAATAGTCAAGTCATTGCAAATGTCAGAATGCTGTAGTCTTACACCACGGTATGATATCAACCATGAAGGCACCAGTAGTGGTGGACCGCGATAACTGGTCCATAGCGCGGTCTGCAAGGTCGACGAAGGGATCATCACCCTCCTTCACGTCATATCCATAGGAAATTCGCAGAATAATAGCGCCAGCGGTGCTGCAAAAAATCAAGGCCCAATTCATGCAATGACAAATACCACATACTGTCGAATATGTGCTTGCAGTTGCTCGGGTTTTGCAAATATGCGCTGCAGGAATCGGTGAGTCTCGATCTCCTCGATTGGGTCGTAAATATTCATGGCGGCGCGATTTCCAATGGCGCGGTGGATGTTCTTGCGGTAACAGCGAAAGCGATCACCATAAGAGAGAAGACCCAAAGAGTGCTTCCAGCCAACAAGTTCACCACCCATTTGAAGAACTGGACGGTCAGAGTACATAGAGCTTTTTTTGTCTAGCAATTCCATCGCTGTCTTGACAGAGTTCAGTACAATGATGTGCTGACCCAGAACCTCGACATGCGAGATGTCACCTGCACAGCATGGAGTTGAAATGTATCGTATTGGGAAACACGAGGCACTCACCATATTTCTTGCCCCACTTGGCAAAGGTGAGCCAGGCCTTGATGTAAGGTATGTCCGAGACGTTCCCAATGAGAGGCCACCCCGGAGGTCCAGGGGGATATGGTGCAGGGTTCTTCTTGCTGAATGCCTGCTTGACCAGATACACTCCGGCACTGGCAAGACATAGGTCCAGCCAAGTGACGTTGGTGAATGTCAGCATGCTAGCTGAGGAGGGGCGAGAGGTTGTATAGTGGGCAATCAGGTGTGGGTAAGAGGAGTCCTCTCCTGGACATTATATGTGTAGGCAGCGAGGCAGCCTACGTGTGATTAACCTATAGGTGACTGAGCGCGGGAGAACATGATGTGGAGTCGAATGATCAATACAAATCCCGATCTCCATCCTGAAAAATGAAGGGAAGACACGATGTAATTGTAGTCTGCAGCCAGTAGCGTTAATAACGGACGTGGAGACAGTAACTATAGGCCTATATGACATAGGAAAGGGCTTTCAAACCGATTTGAGAAGAGAGGTCAGGATTATCCCTGACTCACAAGAGGAGGGCTTTTGCGGAGCACTCTTTTTTTTCTGAGTCATTGTCCTGAACGGGGGAATATACTAGACTCGTAACCAGTCTGGACTCTGGACTACGTCTTTGAGATGTTAAGTACTTGACGTAGTCAGACTGGTCGATCTCGGAGAAATTTGGCAGGCGAAGCGAGGAGTTTGAAATTTGACAGATGCCGGTGATGCCGGCTTAGGTAATCGTTGTATCTGTACAGCGTTGACTACACAAGTCCTTCGTTCGCACCTTAAGCAAAGTATTGTATGCTTCTCAAACATCATAGTCCATCGAGCAACAGTACCTAACATCTAATAGGACCATAAAATGATACCTTTTCATGCCTTTCACCTGCCCACGCTGCAATATCAACCACCTGTTGAACCTTTGATTTAGATTGTCAATCCTTCGAGCCTCGACATTGACGAAAAAATCCTTGCGGTCCTAAAAATCCTTCATGAGCTTCGGATGACAGTCATGGACCTCATGTTGCACTCTATCTCGAACAAGGCCTCCATGCTACCTTGGAGGGAAGGTTTTTTTAGAAGCAAGGCCCTTGTGCAATTTTTCAATGTGTTGGATGCTGATGAGCAAGCGAGCGAGCAACTTCGTGTCATTTTACGACCAATGGCTATCGAAATAGTCACTGATGAGGTTGACGCCGAGATGGAGGCTGCTAAGGATATTTTTGGCATGTCATCGAAAGATGTCACTCCCGAACTACTCCTCTCATTTGATATTGGTGCTTTACTGACGGTGCGGTTACGAGAAACTACTCTGTGGCTACGACACATCCTTTTGTCAGCTATGCAGACAACTACGAACTGCAAAGGAGAACAAGAAGCAGAACATCGAGACGGTAAGTGTTGTGTGCATTCAGTTGATCGTATGTACAAATGATGAATAAATTATGAACAGTACTGTACGTATACCGCCTCGAGAACTTGCTGGTGTTGTGTCGTTGAAAGGGCACTTGTAAAGTCCATTGGGAGATTTTCAATCGTGTCTTGAGCAGCGAGCAATAATGGCCGTACGAAACTCGTGATTGAAACTTAACATAGCGTAGTCTGAGCGAGAGCAGCAGACAGGAGCAGACACATAACTTGTAAGTACTGTATGATCGCAAGTACCTCCGGCATCACTAGCATCTATCAAATTTCAAACTCCTCGCTTCGCCTACCAAATTTCGACCAGTCTGGACTCTGGACTCTGATACGTCAAGTACTTAACATCTCAAAGACGTAGTCCAGACTGGTTACGAGTCTACAGGGCACCCTCAATCCAGCTTCAAGCGTCTGGACTCTAGAGTCAATATTAATGACACGATCTAATGAAGTTGGGCTGGACCGAGTGTGTGTTAGATTGGAGTACAGTTGCCAACGGTGAGATTATTGCTTTAAAGTTCCGACGACGTGCTTCGATTGTTGGCATTCACTGCAGGACACTCAACTGATAGCACCCAAACTCTTCTCGTCAGTAACTCTAGCACATCGTCAGAGTACAGCGCTGTCGTCGACCGGGCCTATGTTCCTACAACTACGGACATCCCGATATCTTTGTCTTCCATTCTCACTATTCGACCTGCACTCGACCCAAATGGAACGGCGGAACCCACTACCCCAGGTGCCTCCTTAACTGACAATAGCAATACTCCGACGAGCAGCAACTCCATCATGTCCGCGCAGGGTTATCAGACTGCTCAATCGTTCATCCAGTGTTCCACCTCGGTGACGAAAGGAGTTCAACACCAGCTTGGTGATGTAAGTGACAGTGACCTGGTATGTATTCAAGAACCTACAGCTAACTCTACCAAAGTTGGCTACACCACTCGAGTATCCGTGGTAGCATACGCCAGGCTGGTCACGAGCCTACCTTATGCCATCATGGCATGTGCTGCCTTAAAGAATACCTAATGTAGTTGAATATCGCCCTGGTTACTTGGGGAATCGGTTGAGCGACAACACCTCATTCCCTTGGGGGATACACTTTCCCCGCGCAGTCGTTGGTCACAACGTCTGCTACGACCGAGCGCGCATTCTGGAGGAGTACAGCTTACATGGAGCTCGGTCCCGCTTCCTCAATACGATGGCTCTGCATGTTACAGTGAATGGAATATCTTCCCACCAGAGACCTGCTTGGATGAAACACCGCAAATCCAAGGGGACTCCGAAAGTGCATCGTGCCGAAGCGGTCGAGGCCGTCATGGAACTTATGCGTGATGTGGAGTTTAAAGAGGAAGACAATGAAATTGCCCGTCACCAAGCACACCAACAACAGGGATCTGGGAATCATGGTGGTGAAAGAGGCAAAGGTGGCAGGAACGAGCAGCAAGATGACCTGAGATGGTGGGTGAAAAGATGTTCCGCATAACGTTGAGCAATGCGCGATCATGTTTCCGTTACTCATACCAACGCTGTTCGTAGAGATTCACAAGTGAGTGATGATCACTTGTCTATCTCTATCCTGACAATCATTCGTCATTCATCACGTCACCTACTCATTCCCGGATGATACCGAGCGCCGCCTGATCAATGGGGTCGAGCAATCTTCAAACTCTAACCCTCCCCCATCTCATCATAACAATCGTGCCATCACTGTAGGTCATTCAATTTATATAAAGCGCCGGGACAACCAATGGAGCCGAGCGCCAGTTCATTATTCACAGTGGTCACCTCTTTCCGGATGCTGCTGGGGCCACTCAGGAAGCCGTTCCTGAGTTCTCGATCGAAGACTTTGAGAGTATGTCGCTCCTGTATGTTGCGACAGTTGTATTCATCGAAGATAACCTTAGACGCGGACGTGAGATTCATTGCAGGTAAGGATAATGGCAGTCAGCATTCCTGCACGCCTCACTATTGCTCGGTGCAGGCGTGATCAAAGAGTGGTTTTCGGCCCAAGAAGAAGGCATCGAATGGGGCTGTGCGAGGTGAGTAGCAGTTTTGGTGGGTAAATGCCTTTCAACATGCGACGGGCACCATGGACTGGACACTGAAAGATATGCTGGACCCCCAAGGCTTTTATCAATCTGCCATTCAACTCTATGGAATTGCAGATGTGCCAGTCATTGTTCCCAACGTTCGCAACGCTGTGGGGGTGCTCATCCACCCATCCGAATACAGCCGGAAGATCACTGCGCCTGAGCCTGTCGTGGTGGATGTTAACTTGCGACTGTGAGTGTGTGCTAGTCCAAAGTTCCGAGGTCTCGCCTCCCTGAATACAGCTGGATTTTTGGTCCTGACGAGAAGCGTCTGAACAGCTCTCGAGTTTACCAGACGGAATTGAGGTCCATGAGGCTGCTGCCGACAACCGGGGTTGTTCAGAGCCTCTTCAACAAACCCGCGACCAAGGCAACTGATGCCAAAGGGAAGCGTAAGACCGACAGACCGGCAGGACAAGCTTCACCTGCGAAGAGGGCCAGAGCAAGGCAGCAGGTTTTGATTGATCTGATCCCTTGCTTGGAATTTTCATGTGTGGCCTTTCTATCTGTTGGATTTGCGTATATTGTTTATCTGGTGGGACACTTCTTCCTTCGTTGCGTCTGCCAGGGCGAGTTCTGGTGTTGGCGTTCGGTTTGAAGCTAAATTTCCCCCTTGTCTCAGTTCTTGCGCGGGTGTTCAGCAGTTGTACTACGATAACCTAGGTACTCAGCGAGTCGATTGTTTGTACGGTACTATACCCAGTGTATTGCTTGAACCTCAATAATTTTGGCCTTGACTCAAATTCATGCGTGATGCTGTCCCACAAAAGGAGTCGGGGTTTGGACCGCGTAGTCGCCGGTATCCATCTGGTAGATTAGACGATCACCGGTTTGCAGACAACCTGTGTACCTGGTTTCCACACATTTAGGTGAATGGGAATGCTCCTGTTTTGGGTGCTCGCTTGCAGGCAGTATGTCTATTGATCCTCTGTGCCAATCCCAAGACATCGCTGATCTCTTACTAGTAACAGTCCGTGAGCGTGTTGATCCCCCTTCGATCTGATCTGAAGCCTTGTTTACCGAGTGACAGGCTTGTGAGCGATTCACAAAATAATGGATGAAGTACATAGAATATAAGGAGCACCAGCCCAATTGATCATGATCTCCGACTGAATGTGATTTGCCAGGAAATCTCCGCCTGCACGCGGAGCTTAATTGAGAGCACTCCGGACTCACCGCACCGAGAGCATCACCTCGATATCACCACTTTCTCTATCGAAATTGTACACCATGAATTAACTAAATTCGACCTTTGAGGTCTGTGAGCTGTCACGGGGCTTTGTGCTACACTTGGACCTCGGATTTCAGCCTCATAACGGATCAGACCCCATATGATAATCGGTGAGTAGAAGATCCTGAGGTCCTTCTGCCAGTGGTAGCTGTGGTGGTGAGGACTCGCACTATGTATATTTATTTGAGATTTCCCAAGGTGGAAACCCGATTTTTTTTACAAAACATGAACGAGCAAGCATCATCCCTAACTTGAATCACTACTACCAATAGATGGCACCTATCATCGTGCATTCAGTGTTGGTCATACGCAATTGAAACACCTAACAGCAAACTGACCTTTACTACTGCTTGCCCGGGTGGCTCTTCTTGCAATGTGCAGCCAAGTTGTATTCGCGTGTGAACGTCTGGTTGCAGATGTCACAAGCAGAATTGATTCTGAGGTGCTTTTCTTTCACGTGCCGCACGATGCTCTCTCTATTGAGCTTCGTACCACAGGACTCCCATTGACAAGAAAAGCGCAACTTGTCTGCACCTCGAATGCCATGGTCCCTGAGGTGAGCAGGAAGCTCATACCCACAAAATAGCTCGTTGCAGTGTATTCCTGGTGCATCACCATCCCACATACACAGGAAGGTCTCACTGGGGAGACGGACAACCTACAAGCACCTTTTTAGTCGCAACTATGTAAAGTCAGAAGAGTGAAACTTACACGCCCAAGTGAAGGGACGACTCCAGAAGGTCCCTTTTCTGTACGACTGCTAGGGGGGGTTGACATATTGACCTAAATCGTCACTGAGTTAGCGATGTACAATCAGAATGTTAAGCACTCACAAGCTGCAGTTCAGAGGGGCGTTCGGGGGATACTACTACTACGTCGAGGGCGTAGTTGTATGTATTGCAGTACTGAGACGGTTCGACCCATATTTATTGAGGAGCTCGCCAAGTGGGCTGTCGATCCATCTATGCGAATGGCAGGCTGTTTGGATGCCAGATGATTAGACTTGGAGGAAGAAAACGTGGATCTGTTAGTGAGCGCCAGGACTATCCAGGACTGATTCATGGAATGGTACTTTCCCAGATGTATTTTGCTGTAGCAAAGCGGCAACCTGAAACCACACACGTGTGCTGGTGGTAGCTTGCTGATGCATTTTGTCCTGAAGTAGCAAAGTGGCGAGTCGTACGCACCAAATATACCTTGGTTGACAGTTCTGGGCCTATTGAGTAGAGTTTCAATCTTGCCGAACTGTAGTCCTTTAAAGTCTGGCAGGGTGCCAGATACTTACGCCTGGAGGGTATACTAGGATATACTATCAGATTCTTTGATTGATGCCGGCCCAACAAATCCATTCGGATCAAATTTACACACATCAGTTGGCAGTAACAATCAGGACTGTGAGCCCCCGTGCCAAAAACATTTTCCAAATCACGCAATAAGATATTCTATACATAGGTCAATGGACGATATCACATATCAGTATCAAGCGCTGACTCGATAAAAATATATTGACAGATGTAAACCATGGCGACAATACCTTTGCCATGCACAGCTCCTTCCAAATCCACGGATGAATACCCCATGGCAAGCTTTATCTGCAAGCCAGGACAATCGAGCCTTCATTACAACCGCGCGCTTTGTGTGTGATCCTGGGGTGTAGTCGCCACATCCCAGTTCGGTTGTGACTGTATGCATTGTCAGTGCCGTCGTAGTGCAAATAGAGAACCTCAATGAAGTGAAGTATGAGAGAGAAAGGACCAAAATTAACAAATGCTTGCCTCGTACTCCTCAAGAGTGTCTTTTGGTATGCTAGGAATCCAACGGCTGTCGGCCGTTGTTGTTCTGGACTTTTATGCCAATCTATTGCAACTTGCCACGCAAAGGGCCCTGACATAGTTGCAGTCTGAGATGGTACAAATACAGAAGGTAGGGTTGGAGAATAAAAATTCCTATATAAACAAGGTAAGTATGCGAAAGGGATCCGTGTAGTGCAGGAGTGGTAGTATCAAACAGCGCTGGACAACAGAGCGCTCACCGTAATCTGATTATGTCAGCAGATATCGGCTGGTGTGAGCGTTCCTTTTAGAAAAGGCAAAGTGTAAGTGTATTCTCATTAGAATAGCCTGTAGGGGGACCCCCCTCACAGACCTTACAGATTTAAAGTGTATTGGGGGGCAGACTCTTGTTGAACTTCAAACGGTAACGAAATGACACCCAGCATAACGGCACACCCTCCCAAAGCATGAAATCATATGCTATCCTGCGTTATTTTTGCCTATGGGAACTCATCCAATAAATACTGGCTGCAGTTAGCAAATCATCTCGATACTACAATATGTACTTACAACTATGCCCTCAACGTAGTGTCTCCGAACCCCCTCTGCACTGCAGCTGAGTAAAGCAATCACCATGTCAGCGTTTCAGCTTGCAAATGGCGCCATTCTGAACGAACACAGGACAATGTGGTTTTGGTTTTGATTTTCTCGAGGATGGTCTAAAGGGCCTCTACATGCATAACAACCGCACGACGATGTTTTATTCAAGTGCATACCTTTGTGATTCTCATCGGTGAGTAATGACATGTATCAACTTGTCAACCCCCAAACTCCTAAGCGTCTCTCCTTCCCACCACCCCCTTCCGGTTGTCCCAATGGATCACTTGCCCCCTTGAAACCCTACACAAAGTCAGAGATATCAATGGACCGATACGGGCCGGTGGCGCGGAACATGCCAGGCTTGATACACGGATTGCGGATAGTAGAATGGTCGCCACATCAGGTTGAGATGTTGTGAGTGAGGATGAGATGGAAGGTAAGGTATCGTCCAGGGATACGGTATCTGCACCGTGACTGCCATGTAGGTATATGAAGCAAAGCACTGTGCCCCGAATTCAAGTCAAAAACAATGCTCATGGCGGGTAAAAATAGACTTACGACGTAGGCCCAGGTATACCGCCGACATTACACAGCGGAGTAAGGACTGCTGCGTCAACTTCTTCATAACAGGGTGCTCAATAATCACCGCGATGCTTGTGGTAGAAGCGAGAATCTATATACCTTCAAATACATCTCGTCTCAGCTGGGGGCACAGGAAAAAAGGGATTATGCAAATCTCCGAGGGTGCAAAAAAACAAGAGGATCGAGGGATCGACACCAAAGAGAGTTTGGGCTCTCCCAGGATAGATGCGAAGGAAGAGTTTCCATGTTCTTTATGGCTAGGGGACAGCGTTTATTTAATTATGAGTATTTACGAGGACAAGCCCTGAGCTGTACATACCTATCAGGGAGTGCACACAAGCGCTAAAGCTATGCATCGAGTTAAGATAAGCAACCAATTGCAGATAGTCATCTAGAGCTCACTCTTTACACGGTTGGCATCACCTCAATATTCTTAGGCTACCGGAGGAACCGAGACGAGTGAAGAAGGCACAGCAGATCATGAAGCTTTGAAGACGCGGCCATGTCACTGAATTTCAAATCGAAGCGACAAGAGAACAAACAGGAACAAAGAACGAATTTAGGTCCGGTCAAGATTGGGAGACTATAGAATGCATACCTCGAGGTGCACGGTGTCCTGAAGTGTTATTACCAAAATACTGCGATTCGGACTTCTAAACCCTCGTCATGACCGTTCACCACTAAGACGAGGATATATAAGCCATGACTTGTATGAAGCCTAACTTTTTGACTCTAGACCAAACAACCACTGTTCAACTTATAAGTAGTCCGTGCTTTTCATTGGTGATTGAAACTGTGACTTTCTGAACTTCCTTGTTAAACAGTTCTTATATATACTGCCCCCGTCTGCCACCCACAGCAGCTCCTAGATACATAGTCCCCAATCTGTCCCATGAGCCAGGATTGAAGCTATGTAAGTAGATTTTCTCGCACGCAGTGCATCGTGCACTTGTATTAAGGATAAAAGATTGGTCCACAGAAGATATTCCGCATCAAAAAGTCTGGTGGGTTGTTCTCGCATATATAGCCTACGATCGGCCTTATTTGAGTCCCTAAGTTGCAGGGTTATGTCTGCCTACACCAACGAAATCCAAAACAAAACAACCACAGCGCCCCGCTACACAATGCGAGGTCATACTGGTTGGGTACGAGGTGTCGTACACCCGCCCGGCGGAAGGCGTATCATCACGTGTTCAAGCGACGGTTCACTCCGACTATGGGACCTGAAGAGCGGCACACAGATGGGCGATGACTGGCGAGATGAAGGGGACGACGGAGATGATGGAGATCAAGTGTTCGCGATCGCGTTGTCTCCAGTCGGCGATACTGTTGCAAGCGGAAGTTATGACGGGACAGTGAGGTTGTGGGACACAGAGACGGGGGAGGTCATCACCAAATGGAAAGGGCACACAAAGCGTGTGCGATCTGTGTGCTGGAGCTCAGATGGTGAGCGAGTCGTGTGCGGATACCACGACGGAGCGGTGACAGTGTGGGATGTCAAGACCGGGAAAAGCGTCCTGGGTCCAATTGAGACTGGGCACGAACATGTGTTGGCGGTGATCTACTCGCCCGATACCACAAAGATTGCAACAGGAGGCTTCAATGAACATGCAATAAAAATCTGGGATACCAAGACGGGCGAGCTGCTTTCCACAACCAAACACGATTCACATGTATCCAGCTTGGCATGGACGTCGAATGGAAAGAAGCTTATATCTGGGTCACAGAACGGCCTGATTAGAATATTCGACACTGCCACTTGGCAGCAGATTGCCATTCTTGAGGGTCATCAAGATGTGGTCTTCGCGGTCTCCTTATGTCCGAACGACCGACTCCTTGCAAGCGCGTCATGGGATGCAACAGCGCGTCTGTGGAATCTTGAGACGAACCTTCCAGTCGGGTCTCCGCCCCTCCAGCACCAAGAATTTGTGGAATGCCTAACGTTTTCCGCTGATGGAAAGCTTCTTGTCACGGGTTCCGCTGACCACGATGCGTACGTTTGGGATATCCATGCCATCCTGAAAGACGCTGGTCTTCAAGACCTCCTTTCCAGTCCTGATGTGAGTGTGAACATATCATCCTTCCTATCTCACTGACATGGACTCCAATAGAAGGTATATAGTGTACCATGGGTCTTCGGTAAAGACTACGCTAATGTCCCACTCGCAGGTTACAGCTGTGAAGTCATCATCTAATGTATGTGACGTATTTCTCAGCCTTTTCATTTTCATATCAACATTTTTAGCGGGGTCCTACGCGACGTGCAGCTCAACTCAAGGGTGCCCACCGACTATCCCCGGGCTTTTTCGATGACGCGAGAGAAGGCGCCTATGTGAGTCGCCTGTATTTCTTAATCAGTCTTGTTCTGACATTGAGCTCTCAGTCTTCCACGACACGCAGTACCCGTCCTCGTTCCTTTGTTCGTCGCCGGCCCTCCTCGGGGTCACGTCCACGTGTACTCGGGCAGCTTTTCTTCACTCTTTGGCCGCTCTCAACCCAACGCCGGGGAAGCAACCAAACAATCGCAACGCCATCGGCGAACCATTTTTACTCGTCGCGGTCCTCGCGTCGTTGAAGTTCCTACAGTACGGGACAAACAGGTATTTCTTTCTTCTTGTATGTTTCCAATCACCGAAATCCAACGATTTATGTATAGGCATTATTCGTTGCTCGGCGGCCAGAACGACATAGCGACAAGGCACAGCAGCAGCGAACCAAATCGCAAGACCAAGCCCAGGCGTCGACATCGCAAACTCAGCGTACCGCTACCTCCACGTCCACGACTTCTCCAGCAACTGTGAAAATACGACCCATCCCATTGCTGGCTCGGTTTGTACTTTTTATCTGCTGTGCATCTCCCCCACACGCCGATGGTCATTAATACAAACACAACGTATGGGTAAATATTTCATCTTCGCATCTAGTTCCTATCTTGCCGTACACGTCTCTCCCTGCTCCAATATCCAATATCCAATTCTGTCTCAAACCTAACGGCGGCCGCACTTTGCACATCAGTTTACACACATGGTGATATTGATGGCAAGCAGTACATATCAGACACACTCGATTTACACAGACGTTGAATTTCCCCCGTACGCATGGACTACGGTAGGTTGGGAGTTTAATGAGGGAGGTTAACACACCCGCACAGCTTTTACACCACTCTGTCCAAGCGCTGAGCTTGCCATGGTGTGAATGCACTCATTGGTTCGCAGAGCGAGCTTAACAGAACATGCGAAGGGCTTGGGATGCGTTTATCCACGCCAGTGAAGGATGTGATAAGATATGTGCGCGGCATACCTGATCAGGGGTCAAACTCGGGGGTTAATCGCAACGTCATTCTCGATGGCCTCGGGCATATCCAAAACAGTGACACAGCGGTGAATATCCAGACGGAGGCGTCAGCGAGATGTAGACCTATCCAATTAAAAGCATGCGAACGGCTGTTTTATTTAATTGTTAATCGACGCCTTCTGAGTTGTGCATACCTGGGCAAACATGCAGAGAAGTAAGTAAGGGATCGTTGTTCTCATTTAAGTCATAACAGGATATTCGCACGACGACAGTGCTAGCGGTGCTATAAAAATGAAGGTCCCATTCATGCAAGGACAAATACCACATACTGTCGAATATGAGCTTGCAGTTGATTGGGTTTTGCGAGTATGCGCTTCAGGAATCGGTGAGTCTCAGTCTCCTTGATCGGGTTGTAGACATCCGAGTCCATGGCGGAGCGACTGCCAGTAATATGTTGGATGCCAGTGAAAATAGTCACCATTAATGGTGACTCGCCTTCACCTGGTACAATAATGTTCTAGTCTTCCACAATCGCTTCTCGTTTTTCCTGCGTCATGACTTTCCGCACAGCCGTCTCCCACATCACGTCGTTAATCCCCTTCGCCTTCCAAAGTTGTTCTCGCAAGTTCTCTACCTCAGCTTCAAGACTAGCAACGCGCGCACTCGATGCTTCCGAGGTGCTAATCGCGTTCGGTTGTACGAAAAACGCGTAATCTCGTTGAAAGTCGGCCTCGGGGTAATCGTAAGCGCTTGGTATGCCTCCAGGGGTCTTATGGGGGCAAATATCAACATAAGCAGAGTACCCATTACAGCAGAAGAAAAATTTACCTCGTCCTGCACGGGAAGCATCATTGTCACTTCGTGCGCCTCCCTTAACTTTGAATCTTTTATGCGGTGGAACGGCACGACAGGGCGCATAGGAATGATATCTTTCGCATCGGCGGAACTTCCAAGACCGAGGGACAGGCTGATGTGTCCGACAAGGTCAGGCGGTTTGAGCATGGTCGCGAGATGGGATATTGACATGCCCTTGTACGTCGAGATGGTGCGAAGGAGCTGGTGGGAAGCAATGTCGTAGATGTGGATGAGCCCCGTGGAAGTGCCCACAAGAAGAAGAGAGCTGGTGAGGGAGATGGTGAGAACTGTTATTGGTTGGCTGTGTTCGAGACCCGTCAGCTAGCTATACGCATTAAGGAACGTGCGAGAAAGTCGTACCCGACTGTTATGAGACACTTTCGACTATTGCTGTCCTCGTCGGCGACACGGATGAGATCGCTGACGCCTGCGCCTCCGACGGCTTCGATTGTCTGACCAGCGTGTTTTTCGGTTCGCTGGCGGAAAAGGTTGACCTGGTATATGGAGCCATCCAGTGAAGCAGCGAAAAACAAGCGTTCGGTGATGTCCCAAACTGTTGATGATATGGGTTTAGGGAAGTGGAAGGTAGTCAACAGCGACTGAGAAGACAGATCCCAGAGCTGTATATCGAAGGTGAACAAAAGGTAGCCGTAGCTAGAAAAACGAGCTCACCTTTACAGTATGATCGAGGGACGCGGTGAGCACGCGACAAGTAGGGAATGCGCCGAGACCGCAAACGATGTCTTTTACTGGTAGGGTGTGGTCTGATAGCGTACAATATGGGGTCGGAAGCTCGTTTTGCGTGTCATCGTCGACGAGTCTACATTGTTGTCAACAGTGCAACAACGACAAAAAAATCGAAACACACCTTGCCACGGACCAAATGCTAACAGCAGAATCTTCACTACCTGAAATAAGAGCAGCACCGTCATGGGTGAATTTGAGGACATTGATGCGGCGATAGTGGGCGTCCCAGGAGTTGTACAAGATGCCTGATGCGACCTGCCGTCCAAAATTGAGTCGAGACCTAACATATTATAATTTATGACGCGCCTCCCAGAGATAGATTCGGCCTTGGCTTGTCCCTCCCGCGCAGAAAGTTCCCGAAGTATCCACAGCAAGGCAGGAAGGCTTTTCAGGAAGGATTATTTTAAAAGCGAGTTGGTCCTAAGATACATTGAGAAAGGTGAAAGCTGTATTAGAAACACAATACCTACTTTTTGGAAGTTGTAGACGTTTAGAACTGATTTCTCTTGTTGTGCCGCAAGTATGAATCCTCCTTGGCCATCGCGCGTTTCGACGAATGATATGCAGTGTGGTCCAGAATTTGATTGTTTGAAGGAAGCAAGCGAGGTACCAGTCTGGACGTCATGTAGAACGATTGCACCTGAACCAGAGCCAGGGGTCTGGGGTGCAGCAGCACATAGAACCACTTCCTGCATGAGAGCCTGAGATCGGTGTCCCCTAGATAAGGCAAATATCACTCATGAGAGTTCGGAGGCAATAGAATGTCATAGACTCTCAGCCTGTTCTGCTGTGGAACGTCGACGTTCTCTAGCTACTTCTTATACTAGTCTGCCTAGACAACCACTGCTCTTGACGTTCTAGATACTCTCGGTCGACATCAAGTATGGCCAGCAACCTTTACGAAACACTTGGCTTGAGCAGAGATGCTACTCCAGACCAGAGTACGTAGTCAAACACACAATGATCATAGGTCGAGTCTCGTAAATTCACAACCCTGACCGCAGTTCGCAAGGCTTATAGGAGGAAAGCCTTAGAAACTCATCCCGACCGCTTGCCTCAAGGCGCTTCTCCAGCGCAGAAATCGGCATCAGAGGAGATGTTCCGTAAGGTGACGCGCTCATTTCTTCGAAGCACATTGAACTCATCAAGTATTTTAGGTCAATAACGCTTACGAAGTCCTCAGCGACCCAGAAAACCGCAAGGTTCGTGTCGCTTGTACTATTTTATATCTTATTCTAACTATCTCTCAGGCCTATGACCAGCACGGAGTATGGCCTCCCCCAACTACCCAGGAGAGTTACACGCAAGGCAACTGGCAAGGTCCTACTAGAGAGCCCTTCCAAGATCCATTTTTTCAAAACTCCTTTTCCCGACATCCATTTTTCGGTCCCACTCATCAAGCAGACCCATTCTTCCCTTCACGTCAACAGCACTTCCATGACTTCACAGACCCCTTTATACTCTTCAATCGGATTTTTGGAGATTTCCACCAAGCCTTTTCGAGAGATCCTTTCGGTGATCCATTCGGCCATCGGGATGATGGCTTTTTTGGCCGAGGGTTCATGTCTCCAATGTCCATGCCTCACATGACGAGTTCGCCGTTTGGATTCCTCACCGGCGGAAACGTAAATGCATACAGCTCTTCTTCCAGTGGGGGATTCGCTGGTGGCCCGAATGGCTCTAGATGGGTTTCTGAGAGCCACACAACTTCTACTGTGAACGGCGTTACCCACAGCAAAGCTGTTCGTAGAGATTCACAAGTAAGTGATGTTGATGTTTACTTGTCTATCACTATTTTGACTATCGTTTGTTATTCATTAGGGAAACGAGCACGTCACCTACTCATTCCCAGATGGTACCGAGCGCCGCCTGATCAATGGGGTCGAGCAATCCTCAAACTCTAACCTTCCCCCATCTCATCATAACCGTGCCATCGCTGCACCGCCGCCAAGTCAAGACCCTTCGCCATATGATACTGTTATCCCTCCGCCAGCTCCAAGATCCACGCGCTCATCACGGTCCATTCATTCCAGGATCCCGGGACTACGCAAGGCAACCCTCATGATCCTAACCCTACATACTCGATGCAGCCACAGGCGCCTTACCCCCTCTCAATATGCGGATCCAAATTCGTCTGGTGCGTACAACGGTTTGCGTGCGTTTAAGAACGCTGACTCGCAGTCGTGTATCTCTTTTACAGGACATCAGAAGAACAGGAGCCATGGTAGCGTAGACGGGGCGCAGGGTGGGTCTGCGTGGAACTTTTGGAAGTGAATGAAGCTGTGATCAAGATGATGAAGTTATTGTCTCCATACCTTGGCCGTTCACTCTGATTGCTGATGATTCTGCGATGTATTTTTTAGTTAGTTTGTTTTCATTCTGCCAGTGTTGTACTCTCGTCCACTGTATGCTGTGTTCCACTTTGTTACCTCCCTATGGGCTCCGGACTCGGTCATTTCTTACTGATATAGTAAGGCTACTGACAATGGAAGAATTAATTTTGCTCATACACATCGAAATTTTCCAAGTTTCGTTAATCGTTAATACACATTGCACCGCGATAAATCCAAAACCAATGCCAATACTTCAATCTCACTGCTCACAACCCTTCAAAGAAGGACAAATCTTGTGCAGTCAACCCACCCGTCTGAACCGACTTCGCAGGAGGTCTCTCGGCTCGCGACGACGGTGACAACGATGCAAATGATAACAGCGGCTGGGACAACGGCGCAGGCGGCGGGGACGGCGACAACTGAGGCACCATCGTAGACAGCACCTTCGGTGGCGGAGATCCAAACTTCGGCGCCGACAATGCCGCGCCGCTATCGCTCAACAGGTCCAGATCCCGACCAAGTGACGGAGAAGTAGATGGTGATGGCAGCATGGAGTGCCTAGGATGCGCATTCACTGGTGACGGCCACTGCCCGCGCTGTGTGGCAGCATGATCAAGCAGACTCTGCGTGCGTATGTGTATGGATGTGCCAAACTGCGAGCTTGGCATTGCTGCTGCTGCTGCTCCAACCACCTTTGAGGGCTTTGCTGGAACAGGCGGTGGGGACGGCGTACGTATTCGCGATGAAGTCACAAAGTCGTCAAAGTCGTCGAAAGACATTGACGTCGATGACTTGGCGGAGTTCAGTGCTTGTGTAGAGGATGGTGAATTGAGAGATGAGTCCATGGACTCGCGTGGTGCCGGGAAGGGATCTGTACGAGGGAGGGTTGAGAAAGCGGAGAATGAGTCGTCGTCATCATCGTCTTGATATGTGGCTGCTGCCCAGTCGGTGCTCGGGGATGATGTGAAAGAAGTAGCCCCCAGCATGGGATGCGCGCTAGGTCGTGGGGTTTGCGGGGGTGAGACAGGGGGTGGCAGGAGTGGTGGTATCGAGAGCGCAGAAGGCGCCTTGGGTGGCGGCGGGAGTTGAAAGGGTGAGTGCGTTCTTGAGGATGGTTGAGGTAGGGAGGGTATTGCAGGTGGTATTATTGGGTTGGTGTAAGCAGAAAAAAGTCGCATTAATTGGTGAAGATGGTTTTGGAGGTACTGCTGGGCTGTGCGGACGCGATAACGACATCCCTGTCACTGGGGACAATGGTGGCGGCGGGAATAGAGAACGAGCCGAAGTATGCTGTGGAGAACCACGCGCAGGCTCCAGCGTAATGCCCAAGCCACTCAGACCGACAGAAGGAGGTCGGCTGGTGTTCACAGATGAAGGTTTTGGTGGTGGTGCGATTGGTGGTGGTGCGAGTGGGGGTGGAAGCTTTGTAGGCAATGGTGTTGGATTTGAATTGATCAAACTCGACAGCGCTTTCAGCTGGGCATCGTCAGTGCCATCATCGGGGTCGTGTGCACTAGGCACAATATCGGAAAGGAAATCAAGGTCATCTGTTGACAGAGCAATAGACTTGCGCTCAGATCCAGTGCCTTTGGCACGTGAGAAACGGTTCAGAAAGCGCGAAACGGCCGATGGCGCAGGTGTGACCACTGGAATCACGACATCAGGAGCTGCGGATGAGCTGACTACCGGGGATGAAGGCATGAAGACGGCTGGAGTGCGAGCGGGAGAAATATCACGTTTCTCTGACACCTGGGGCTTCGTGTTCTCAATGCTAGAACGCGCAGATATAGGCGAAGGTCTCGCATTTTCTACCTTTGCATCTGCAGAAGGTATTGATGATGATGCCTTGCGGTTCCAGAACGAGAGCAATCCTGCACCAGGTTTCTTTGGATGAGTTGCGTCAGAAAAAGCAGCGCGTTCGTCTTTCTCTAGGATTCGCCACCCCACAGGAGTGTCATCCACAGGAATATCTTTCCTAGCTTTGATTGATTTCTCCCAGTCCGTCGATCCTTTGGAACTAAGGAGAAGGGCCATTGGGCTCTTACGTGTCAAAGGCATATGCCTCGTGAGCTTGAGCGCGTTATTTACCGCTTTCGCAGTGGCTGTCTGTGAGAACGGCGTTGGAGGGGACAAAGCCATGTCCTCAGGGACCAAGTCGTTTAATAAAATCGTACTGAAGTAAGAGGTACGTAAATTGCACCGTAGAGAAATACCAGGTTATGTACATACATGTTCTCAAGTCCATCAAAACCAGTCCTCCAGTTGCTAGCATCCGAGTCGGACTCTGTCCCTGGCCAGAGCTCACCGGAGACTTCCTGGCACTTCTGAACGAGAGCTGCCATCATTTCGGGAGGCTGAAAACTGGTTATTTAGTTAAGTCGACACACATAAACACCATTCATACCACTGCGCGGTTCAGCTTCTCTTTTTCTTGTCGCGCCGATTCCCATTCATCTGGTGGCTCTTCAGCGCTGACAGACACCTCCGGTGCAGATGTATCCACCCAGGCGGTACCCCAGTCATCACCATCATCTGTTGAGAGGTTTATTGGGTCTGCCCATGCTTCGCCGTCATCCTCAGTTTCCTCCTCTTCATCCTTGACAGATGCGCCGGCTTCAAAACCACCATCTACGTCAGGACTGTCTGGAACAGGGAAAGTAGGATCGACTGCTAGTAGCACTGGGTGAGGCTCCACGGAATCTGGGAGAGCAAGCACTACAGCGTTGTCTTCTTCGCTGGCTGTGGTAGCTGCGGGTACGGGACATATGCCTTCATCTGTCTCTGAATGAATGACCGCTTCTGTTATTCTTTGACGAGAAAAGTTTATCTTTGCGTACGTCGAAGAGCCCCACGCGCCACTATCGTCGATGGAAGGGGTCCAGAGAGCGTCGCTAGTGTGAGATGATTCTAGCAATTGCGTATTGTTGCTTGCAGACCATGATGGAAGTCCTATATCTTCCTCTTGATCCTGAGTTTTACTGCCAACGGTATAGGTCCAGGACGGTGTCGAAATGGGTTTCTTTCGATTGTTTGACCCATCGTCTGGCTGCTCCCAGGTTGTGGCCCAAGGGTTGTCCATAGCAAGCAAGTAAGTCGAGCCGGTTCAGGCTACCACTGAATGAGAATGTTTCAGCCGTTCACTCACGACACTGGGCAGACTCCAGTTTGTCCAGGAGGCAGTTATACATACCCTGATGATATGTCAAGCTCAAAGTGAATTGCATGACATAAGTTGTGGGGGGTCGTGGGAATATTTGAGTTCAAGTTGTTCTAGAACTTTTGCCACTAGAGATCACGCAAATTGGCTGCAGCGTTCAGTACTCAGTACTCAGTAGAATTCAGTATCGACTTGCTCGATCCCAGCCTATGTCGTATAAGATGGCATGTTTATGCTGATGAACTGTCCTTTTGAAGGTCAAGCTAAGATCGATCTGAACAAGGACTTACATTTATCGGTACTACTATCAGTAACCAAGTACTACCATCGGTGGTGTCGTTGCGGCGAATTCAACTCAGTTCGAACTTCGTCAAGGCTGTACTCGAATATGTTCAAGGATTCATCGGAGCCCGATGGACGTGCAACTGCTGGTTGACTTTGGCTCAAGAACATCACCCATCACATGCATCACAGATGGCGGTCCCTTATCATATGCGCTGGATAACATGAGGCACAGCAGATTTACATGACTCAGGGCGTGATCAATGCGATTCGCTGCTGCGCAACAGGGGTTTTCATACGGAGCTTTCAGCCAATCGTGTACAGTGAGAACTACAACTAAACCCCACAGAGTGAAATCTCTATTTTAGCCTCGATCCAGCCCGCGTTTTAATTCAATCAACCCCGCGGCGATATACTTAGCTGTTACGGTTATCCCAGAATCTACGGAAAATTTGGTCCATTTTGGCACGACTATCGTATCAAAGGAAATTATGTTCGAGTAGGGCCTCACTTTTGACTGTAAGCTGGCCGCTGCCAATGGATTTTAGCAGCATGCGCCTATATGAATTATGAATATTTTATTTGGCAAATGGTAAATAATAAAATCATGTAATACGTACCAAAAATGGCATGTGGAAAGTGGCTTGATCCATTTTTGGCACGTGGTAAATAAGAATTGACTGGCGGTGTCAGGTCTCCTCGGACTTCTTCCAAGCTGCTCTTGTCTGATCCCCCTTAGCATTCAGTATTCAGCTGCGGCTGTCTTCGCCATGGCCATGGATACTGCCAACGGTGAACGTAATATATTGGATTGGGATGAAGACCACGTCCACCAATGGCTTTCAAGTCTTGGTTTTCCGCAGTATGAAGCTCAGATCAAAGGTGCTACTCGTATCATTTCCGAAGGTTCAAACGTTAAATACATTCCATATATCAGAGCACAATATATCCGGTGACGTCCTTTGCATGCTAGATGCGGAACATCTAAAGGCAGTCGGGATAAGCACAGTGGGTCAGAGATTGGCCATCCTTAAAGCCGTCTATCAGGCTAAGCTCGCCCACCATGTGCCCGTCGAGGCCGACCACTACATTCCTCCTTGTGCGCACTTCTGTGATGACCGCTACTTCAAAACATGACCTTTTATCTCTAGCCGAAGCGCAAGAACGCTGTGTAACGGTGGAGAAGCTACACGACCTCGTCAAGGAACAAGGTCTGTCATTAACTTTTCCATATCATGGAATTGTACTAAGATCATCCCATGTAACAGCACAAAAAGTTCATTCACTTGAGGAAGACAACAAACGTCTGAACGAAAGATTTCAACTGCTTGTTGAAGAGATCACCCAGGCTCCACTAAAGCGACAACCCTCCTTCAAGTGGGCTCAGTATGTCAACCCTACCAAGTCACCAACCAAACCCGACGTTGAATCTCCCCATCCTTCCCCCCAACAAGTGGAGCCTGATAGTTCTCATAGTCGCGGGATCCAACAAAATCAATCCCACAAGCATCCACCAGCACCTGTAGAGTCACCCGTGCAACCGTCACCTTCAACATCATCATCGCGACCAAGCCGACAAGACAGCACCGACAATCTCAAGAGTTTCAAAGTCAGTTTAGAGGACCCGACATGGAAAGTGCTTCCCGCCGCCCTTAAGAAATACAAGATCAACAACGATCACTGGCAAAATTATGCCATGTTTATATGTTACGGCTCCCCTGGTAAGCAGAACGTTTCTCACAAACAAAAATGACCTAATTTGTCTGCAGGAAGCCGCATCGAGCGATGTCTCAGTTACGATGAAAAGCCTCTTCTACTCTTTCAAAAACTCAAAGACGCAAAGAAGAACCCTGTTTTCATGCTCAAGCACATCAAAGACATCCGTTCTCCCATCGCTGTCGCACAGCAAAAACACGCGTTGCGCAAGGCATCCGTTGCATCTGAGTCATCATCTAGCCAATCAAACAATAAGCCTTCATCAGGGCAGGGCAGGGCAGCCACGCGACCACCAAGATTGGAAGTTAACGACATCGCACCTCCCGCACCCTTGTTAACAGGCATCACACCACAAGCTGGATGGCCAGAGGTCATGTCGCCGGTACTGGAGAAGCAAGAGCAGGAGGTTGTGAATAATCGAGACACATGTTCAACTTCGACGACACTCGTTGGCCATACGAGCACCATAGAAGTTTCAAAAACACGGACCACGAGCACCGCTGATGCGGAAACAGCAAGGAGGGAGATGCCTCCACCAATGTCTGGAGTATCATACGCGGTTGCAATATACCCGTATATGGCTGAGCAGGAAGACGAGTTTGACGTGGTTGTGTAGGTATTTTTTCTACTAACTAGCGTTGGCTATACTCATGTCTCATCTAGTGGTGATACATTCGTCATTTTATCGCGCGCACGAGGGTGGTGGGTGGTACAACGGGACCCGACAGGTTCGGGTGTGGTCGACACCGACACCTCAAAGCAGGGCTGGGTACCTGCAGGTTGCCTGCTCGAGACAAATGTCCCAGTTGCATCCGCTATTGCGGAGGCTACCGCACTTTCCAAGTCAGCAGGATCTCCTGAATTGCCATTAGCAGCTGATTCTAAGACGCCCATCCTCCCCTTGAGCATCATATCGACGAGTTTCCCAGGAATAGCCCTTATGGACTACAAGAAGAAAGGCGAAGAGGAGTTGGATCTAGTGAAAGATGATGCGCTAAGGGTCTTCAAGAAGTACAATCACTGGTCATATGTGAGTCATAGTTTGCCGTCTATGATATGCAGCTCACTTGCTATGCAGGCTGTCAAGGAAGATGGCGGTGATCGAGGATGGGTACCTGTGCGTTTTCGTTTTTCGTTTTTATGGAGCTTCACTAATCTCCTTGCCATTTACTAACTTACTAGTCATGGTTCATTGGCAAAGTGCCTACCCCCGGCGCGGCGCCACCGACGCCGAGTACGAGCTCCGCTCCCGCACTCAGCAGTGGACCCTCCGTCTCCCTCGACGCTGAGGGTGTGAACCAAAATCAGGTTTCACCGATGTCCTCCGCCTTCCCTGTGCAACATAGAAGCGGTGTTGTATAATGTTTCCCCCACAAACTGACAATGACTTCTTTCATGTACATTATTCCATCCTTCACTACTGACATTTTCTCATTCTTGGTTCCTTATTGGGTTGCTTGGTGGTCGATCTGATAGTGATGCTCTTCATCATTCCTAATACCTACACATACTTACATATAACGCATGGTCATACTCTGTCGCCCTCTTATCTGCCAATGACGCAATCATATCTAGCAATCATAATGTGAGTGGAACTTGCATCAACATGCAAGGAATGTGGTGTCACCGATGTACACACCCAGATCATGATTATAGGCCCACAACCTTGACTGCCATGTAGAACCAACATACGCTGTTGTCGCAGGTCGAGTTTTGTGTGCCTGCCGTTTTAGGTAACTCGCAAAACCCGGCCTCCATCACAAATACAGTATTGTGTTGGTCTCGACTTCTCTGTCATACACAATATTGTCCCCTTCGGGGTGACATACGAAAAATTGGAACGATACAGAGAAGATTAGCATGGCCCCTGCACAAGGATGACACGCTTTCCCGGAGTGGTAGACCTACGGGTCTCAATATTTATTTTACTTTTTCTTAGTGCATTTCATTAAGAATGTTTTGCTCTTCAACGTTGGCCAAGCATCCTCAGTGAAAATCAACAAGAATAAGGCAGACAGATAGACGTCTAAGTATAAATTGAGGTAGATGCAAATCTAAGAAATTCGAGACGGCAAAACTCTAATTTTGTGCAAAACGCAAAGATCTAATCTTAGCACGGGCGCATGTATTGGATTCCGAGGTGTAAGGATCTCCAGCAAATCGGGAGGCAGCGAGAAAGATATGGTATCTCTGGGGCCATTTGCGCTGATTTTGTTATATATATAGAGTCAGTTGATAAAATCAGAGCAAAAACAATGATAATATAAGGCAAACCAGCCCTGGGCCTGATGAGAGTCACCGACAGATGCTAATGCCATAGTACTACTTCGCGGATATAACCGAACTCCGAGTCAGTACTTAGACTGATTGGCTGCCAAAATAGTTTTACAACCGTACGATCATGGTGTCTGCAGATTTCGCTGAACGGCCAGTCAAGAAGCTCGTGCTGTTCGATGTCGATGGGACTTTATCGCCCGCACGTCAGGTAATCCAGCTTCCCGACAACTACCACGCTTGATGTCGAGATCTCCCGACAGAGGGCATCTCCAGAAATAATACAGCTCTTGCGCGAACTCAGAAAGCAGGTCGCTATAGGCTTTGTTGGCGGGTCTGATCTCGTCAAGATATCTGAGCAGCTCAGTGTTGGCGATATCAATGGTACAAAGCTTGTCCCTGTTGATTGCTAAGATACTCATACGCATTCGCAGTTCTGGAGGAGTTCGACTTTGGGTTCGCTGAGAACGGCCTTACCGCGTATCGACTCGGAAAGCCGTTGGAGTCGCAGTCCTTCATCAAAACTGTAGGCGAAAAGGACTATCAGGAGCTGGTCAACTTCATCTTGCACTACATTGCTGACATGAACATCCCGATCAAACGGTGAATTTCTATTATCCTTGACTGTCGATCAGTCCTATTCACTTACAATTTTCAGTGGAACGTTCGTCGAGTTCCGCAATGGCATGATCAACGTCAGCCCTATTGGCCGCAATGCAACGTGGGTTCACTTACGTGCTATTCCCTGAACTTGTGCCACTTAACACCGCTGGGCTCCGCAGTGTCCAGGAGCGCAATGATTTCGAGGCTTATGACAAGGTAGTAACATGAGACAATCATTCATCATCATACTCACTTATTCTCTGCAGGAACATCACGTTAGGGCCGACTTTGTGGAAATCCTCCGGGAGAAATTCGGACGACTGAATCTAACGTTCTCTATCGGTGGCCAAATTTCATTTGATGTCTTTCCACACGGGTGGGACAAGACTTACTGCCTTAGACACGTTGAAAAAGATAACTTCGAAGAAATTCACTTTTTCGGGGACTAAGACGAGCAAGGTAAGAGTCCGAGTCTCTTACTAGGTCGTCCCCCTTGACAATTTCTGTAAAGGGGGGTAACGACTACGAGATATTCAGTGATTCTCGCACTGTCGGGCATACTGTCAAGAGTCCTGCAGATACGATGAGAATCTGCACGGAGCTCTTCCTGTCATAATGTGCTTGATGTAAGTTCGAAAGTTTCATGAAGTTGTAAATTCAAAGCGTGGAATTGGGGATAACAGTTACGACTATACCGATGATTCTTCGTTACTGTACATGTACTAGTTTGTAGACGGTCATTGTATGTTGGGCTTGTGGACCATGACGGATTGTGTACATGAGTGAATTCGTACGAATGATATGTCCTTGGGACCTGTTGCCAACGAGGCAAACGTGAACATGATATCTAGTGTTGAGTCAAGGATACCTGTGAGACGATCGACAGCGTGATCATGGTTTGTCGGACGATGGGGACAGAGAGAACAGAGCGGACGGGACGGACATCCAACTTTCATTTGTATACTATCCCTTACGAACTACAGTGGCTAGTGTCTTCTGGTCTATACTGTCCTAGAGTGAGTGCTGACCGAGGAAAGACAGCGATCACACAACTTTAGTACATAACAAGATGGCAAGTAGCGTGATGACGACTCATCAGTCAAGAGTATCGAGAAAAACTTGCATGCCATGGAAAACATTGACGCCGGGGCTGTCATTGTCAAGTGAGATGAGGCAAGGTGATTACGTTAAATAATCAAAGTTGAAGCCGACCAACCGAATCACGTTCACCAGGATCAAGACAAGTTAAGTGAATTGCAAGATAAGTAGGGACTGTACCGGAGTGGAGAAAGTAGGACCGCCTAGTGCTAGTTCAGCCTACGCTGAGCAACAAGCCTTTTCGTGTGCGATCGCAGGTAGAATTGGAACACATCTCGAACGGTTAGATAGAATGTGTGTTGTGCTGTCATAAGTAGTAAGATCTGTCAGGGATGGCACAAAGAAAATGTCGAGGAAAGGACAGTCTTCAGGAACGCGGTGGCAGTAATCAAGCACCACTGCAAGGTTAGGAGGGGAGGCTGAGCAATAGGCAGGCTGTCGCAGAGCATTCAAGACGTTGCTTATAGATATCGGTAAACGAAATGTCTAAGATTAAGACAATTCTCAACCGATATCCTAGGAGACAGGAACCAGCTTTTACGTATCAACAAAATCAGTCCAACACCCCTTTCGGACCAATCTGAATATCTCGAGGTACTTATTCACCTTGCCAAAATGGCCCGCGTCATTACGCCACCCACCCGTCACTATTTTCTTCACCTTCGGAAACACTAGAGAGATGATAAAGGCAACAGCTCTCGGATTTTCGACAGTTGTATCCGCGAGCACGAGATACTGGAGGTCGTTTACACCAACCATCGATGCAGGACGCTCCTCTATTCCCTCCAACACATTTATGTTGAGCGCTAGGTGAGTGCTCCTCAAAGAGGACACTTATTCACCAGTAAGATAAGGCCACGCAGAGTGATCATGGAAGGGTCCGCCTGCGCATATCCGTTATTGAGGTTGATGACCTCGAGGCTAGGCCAAGAGGCACCCATAGTAGCGAACTCTTCGTCTGAGAAACGGATGGGGTTGCCCGTCAAGAGATGAAGCTCTCGCAACTTAGAAAAGCGAAGTAGAGGCTTGATGGTGTCTATATCAATGGATGCACCCGGGAGAAAGGACTCCAATCGAAGAATTTGCAGGGATTCATGTCTCCATTGATTTGACAAGATACTGAAAAACTCCTCCAAATCTTCAGGTGACGACGCATGGCTCGTCGTAATACGCAAATGAGAAGGTGAGGATTGGACCGCCTTAATAAATGCACCGATGGTAGTCAGCCGAACGGAATTCATCCCGAAGCTTTTGATGCGGGAAAAGGGTGGGATCCTAGGAAGAGTAGGATGCGGAAATTGTGAAAAATTGTACGCATGGCCACTCGGGATACTGATGTCCAGTTCGGTCAGCGATGGGTGCCATGCAACGAATGTGATCGCCGCTTGACTGAGTTGATCGCAATGAAGCGTCTGAAGATGAGGAAGGCTCATGATGACATTTGACACAGTGGCCACGATGGGTTCGTGGGACTCGTAACCGAAAAGACGGAAAGATGTTAATTGGGGGCATAAAGCGGGAAGAGGTGAGATAAATGAGATATCGGGAAAGCTGGCAGGATGAACCTCGATAGTGAGATCTCTTAGGGATGGCACAAAGAAAATGTCCAGGAGATGATAGTCTTCGGGTATGAGGTGGCGGCAATCAAGTCGCTGCAAGTTTGGGAGGGGCGGCTGAGCAACAGGTGATTGTCGAAGAGCCTTCAAGACGTTGCGACATACAGGTGCCGCTACATGGAATGTCAAAGACCGGACTCGCGGAACGTATTTCTGCAGAACCTCCCAATCCCTAGTGGTCAGAGCGTTCGTGCGATACTAGCAGTAGTCAGCTGTTAGTGCTCAGTAAAAAAAACTCTGCCGTTATAGACCCTACCTCCAAATGCCACGAGTCATTACTCGTTGAGTACGGCAAGCAATAAACCAAGGGGTGTGGAAAGTATAAGATCTCCCCACAACACATCCAAGGCGGGTTCATGGAATATTTGACATGTCCTCGCGAGAGCCGCAAGAGCCGCGTGCCCAACATTTCCTCCTGGTTTGAAATTAGAAGAGGGCTCATTTACGTGGCGGAAGATCACATAGATGATGTCGTTTAACTGCAGAGCGGGATGCATCGTGAAAACCTGAAAACTCGACAGAAAATATCAAAGAAAGGATGCGATTATCGATAGAAGCTGATTGCACTTGCACTGACTCGCTAGAGTCGGTCAGATTCGCCAATACTGCGATTTTCGACATGGTGGATTAGGTATTACCGTGACTATGACCGGTATACCCACGGATATTTTGACTGACCACAACGTTGAACGTGAGCATGAACCAAGTGCATGAGTTGAACGTATCTTTAGAGCATCATGCTTCTTGAAGTTCTAAATGCTCTTCCGACTATCTTACCCGACGACCTGGCTGCAGAATTGTCAGCCTTCATATCACCATCATCAAGCACTGTCATCCCGTACTACATTCTCCTCAAGATATCCCAATGGTCTCGCTCACCAGCAGGCCTCAAAGCCCTGCAAAGCTCTTCGCTAGATCCTCAGTCTTATTCCATGGTCTCTCTGCTTGCTGGCACGCGAACATCACCAGAAAAGAAGTTTCCTGCATACCTAGCAAAAGATCCAGAAACTGAGCGCCGGCAGGCAGCAAATGACAAGAAGGCGGTGTCTACGGTCGTTAATGGAGCCCTCAGCGTCGCTGGAACCGGGTTTGCAACATGGTGGGCAAGTGAACGTACGGGCCTGCGCCTTGAATGGGTATGAATCTTCCGCTTGGTGTTATTTGATGTTCATAAATGTCTATCCAGAGAGCTTTGTTCGCAACATCCGTTGCTCTCGTTGTTGCCCTTGCAGAAATCATTCTATACATGATATGGGACTCTCGTCGATCAACCAAGAAAACCAAACGTGCTCCGCGCATACTATCAAGGAACGAGATACTCGTAGAAGACTCGGATAAAGCTGACATAGTAGATGCCACCGCAGCTTCTTCCAGCACAGACCCTCATCACTCTGCATTACGCCAACGCCTAGTTCAATCTGCTTCCATTCCTCACGACAGTTTGCGGGAGTAACATGAGATACTCCGTCTCCCGCTATCTCGGCAGGCGAGTATAGTGCGATAGTATCTCACATGTCATCCTGTGAAGTTAACAGTGCCCCAGTATACGCTGTAGAACAGATGGGCGGCAACGAGTAAAGATCAGTGTGATAAAGATGTCTTCATATGTCGGCTGTGTCCCAAAAGATAATCATTTGGTCGAAATCAGAAAAGGTGTCATACGCTCGGTATGTGCCATGATATGAAAGCCACGATGCTGTGGAGTATGACTAGTCGGCTAAGAGTTGTACAGCACAAGCACCAGCTCAGCGAGCCATTAGCCCTTCTTTGTCTTCCTTTTTCTATTCCCCGTGCCACTACTCGCGTCGGAGGCAGGTGGCAATTCAACAGTGCCTCCAGCTGCTTCGGCACTCGCGCCGTCCTCCTGCTCGATCTTCGCCCGAGCTTCCAAGAAGAACATGACATCTCTGACCTGATCCTGGAGATCATCGATCTTAGCCTGATACTCTTGACGCTGCGCCTCCGATTGTGTGTTCGTCTCCTTCATTTTAGTTAGATTCCTCAAAAGTCCCTCACTAACGGCCTTCTCTTCCTTCAATTCTTTTTCAAACTTCCTTGCGAGCTCTGCGACGCGTTCCGCTTTCTTTTCTGCCTTGATCTTGTCCTTGTATACCTCGTTTAATTTTTCTTCCTCTTCTCGACGACATTGTGCTTCGCGTTCCTTCGCTTCTGTCTTGTCCTTTGCTAGGTCTAGACTCAGCTTTTCTACCAAGTTTCGTAGCTCTTCCACCTGTGTCTTCAGCTCAGTTGTCTGTTCCTCGTAAAACAACCGCTGCGAATCCAATTGCGACGTGAGCAGATAGGAATATTCAATTCCAATCGCCTCGATCTTCTCAGCGCTGAGAGAATCTGCATGGCTTGGACCTAATGTGCCGTCATCCCGAGAATTGACACCCATCGAGGACGCAGCGGAAGGAAGCTCGACGAGTTTACCATCCGCTTTGTTCTGAATGAGACGATGAACATAACCATCTCCCGCATAGTCCCACACGCGTTGCGTTTCAAGCTCGAGGGCATAGAGATGAGTTGTCTTTTCGTAGTGTGCGTGTGCATGAGCACGGCCATAACGCCCACAGCCAATATTGCCGCATATCAGGCAGATCCACAAGTTCGTGGTGGAGGAACAGTCGGCACACGTAGAAAGAGAAGTGGTGGCAGTATTTGCAAATGGGATGGGTCGTGAACGTGAGGTAGACGACGTAGGATGTGAGGATAGAAGTGTTTGCGAATATCGACAAACGGGACATCTGGTGATAATCATAAGTCGCTAATAAGGAACTGCCATAAACAGCAGCATACCGGCTGTCGCCCCATTTACTGAGACACATGCAATGGAATGTATGCGAGCAAGGGACTGTGATGAGACCAGTTACAGCCGAATCCATCCTTTCCAGACATACAGGGCAGGTCGGGAGTTCATATACTGATTGAGGCAGACGTGCAGCGGTAAAGGAGGAAATAGAGGCGTCTGAATCTATCTCGACAGATAGAACACGCACAATATGACACGTCTCGGGCTGTAATAGCACTCAGCATCGGGCTAAGAGAAGCGTTAAACCACCTACGTCCATAGAATTGAATGGTTTGCCGTTGTATGCTTCTGCAAATTCAAGGGCTTGATCGTCCTGCCGGAACTTGATGACAGCGATAGAGCGATTCGGAACGGAGTCTCTGAAAATATCCTATAAGCCTTAGAACGTGAATGATTGGATGTAAGTGCACACCGGATGAGGCGAAGGTGGGCCATACCCTCCGCGGCGGGTGCCACGAAAGCGAGGAAGTCCGAAGGTGTCATCCATGCAGGAACTGCTAATACACCAAGCATGAGACCATCTTCTGGAACGGTCTCGCTTGCACTTGCGGCAGAGGGTTCACTAGACTCATCCACATCATTCTGTCGCCGTTCGTTCCGTTGGCGGTACACATGAACTGTGCCCTCAGGCAAATTCGTTGAACCGGACTTCGATGTCGTATTAGGGATAAACTCTGCTGCTGAGGGGCCTGAAACATCAAACCGACGGCTTGAACTCTTGTCCGCGAAATATGTAATTACTCGCACCTCGCCCTGCTTGTTTCTCTTTACCAGCATACATAGCAGAATTTGCACTCTCAAAATCAATCCAGTCGAGCCTTATGGGACCGAATCTGTAATCCTTGTGAGCTGGGTTGAATAAAGCGTTCCTCCTGGCAGTTGGTTTGGGGCGGTTGTAGCGGTAAGCTTTGAAATAAGGCCTTCGGGGTGAAAGTGTAGACAGTGTCAGGATGTGAATCATCAACAATATTTCTGTGCAATGCAAGTCGGATATGATAGCCGTTTAACATACTGTGGGCTTTGGAAAGGAGCCCATTGATATCGCGTAATGTAAGATGGCACCGTGCACGAGCGCTCGCTCAGCGAGGCTAGTCAGCTGAGTGTCGCGGACTCACTATGATCATCGCCACTCCACCTTCAACAAAGTTTGTTCCTCATCCAGGAACGACTATCTTCCTTCGTCTTTAAAGGGCTGTCTAGAGGTGACTACATCCAGATGGACTCCTACCAATATTCGCTCAACGTCCGCTTTTGCGAGATCTGTGCTGGCTGTCTCAGCAAGAGCGGTAAGGACAGTGTCCCATCTCTGACCAGGGCACTTGATACGATCGCTAGTGATCTTGCAAAAGATGGGGACCTGAGGTGAGACCGTAATTCACCTTCCATGAGAGCTCGATATTAAAGAAATCAGGATTCGTATGGGGTCGGAAAATCCTTCGATATGGCCGTCCCTCCAACAGCTGTGGAATTTCCTTGCGGACTATCCCTCAGCGGATGCGGATGTCGCAGAATTGCGCGTCCTCGTGATAAGCGTCGCCAGATTTACTAGGAATATTGTTGCAGGCGTTGCAGCGAACCAGCAGAATGCATTGTGAGTCTAAAACATTTAAATGGTGCTGATATCCTAACGGCCTAGCGAGTTTCAAGTGCAGTCGAGCCAGCTCTTCGCCGTGTTCTGCATCTGTACAGCTCCTGGTCTGCGTTTCAAGTTACGGATTGTGAGTCACCCATTCTGCAATACACATATTAATTTAAATTGGATTCCACTCTCATCTACAGCTTTTCCGGCTACTAGGATGTCCGTTCAGGCACTCTCAAACATTGTTACCACCAACGAGGATCTCACGTCCCGCCTTTGGAATACTTATCTAACTCTGCCTGAGGAGCAGGCGATTCTGATGTAAGCCACCACAGCTACTTGCTGAGCTACAGGAATTGACTTGTTTCTTTGAAACAATCCAGTCGCTTGCTCGGCTCCCCTGACCATAAGACCATCCTATCACTCTTGATACTTTTGGTAAATTGTATTCACGATAGTTCTGAGCGTCGGTACGTAACGTCTCGCTTGCTCTGTTTACCCTTGACCGATTCCTTTTGTATCCTGTGTCCAGTTCTTTACTCACAAAGTCACGTGGAGGAGCCCGAATATGTATAACGCTTTTGGACCGTGTGGTCCTATTGTACGATGCGGAAGAATCCACCGATGGCGCAAAGGCGTTTGACTATGGGTAACTGTAACTGGCGGTTGTGAAACTTCATAACGACTATTTTTAATAGGTATCATCTGTTTGCACACTTATTTGACGGCGGCTTTACACCAGATCTGTACAACTCTTTGTCTGTGTACGTGTAATACTCTTATTCCACGCAGACAAAGTACTCATGCTTTGAGGCAGTGAAGGGGAGGTAATTGCGCAGCACCAGACCACTCTTCTGAAACTCCTCGACTCATACTTGCAATCGTCGCAAATATGTCCTATACATTGCGATATGTGCCCTATGCTATCGGAAATTTTCTTCTCGCTCTCGTCATATTCGCAGTCAGCAATTACACGAGCTATCAATCCCATCAATTCGGAGCCTTTGGATGGTTCCATCGAACACCTGCAAGAACTTGATTTATTACTGCCCAAAACGTGCGAGGCACTCGTACTGGCAACTCAGTGTATTGTCAAGATTTCATTACTATCCGAGGACCAGCGGACTGTGGATTCATCCGCTTTAGATTTACGAGCGATCTTCCGAGCTGCCAACTCAACTGACGGCCAGGGCATCGCTGAGAGTATTATAGGCATGTCTAGGCTGTCGAGCTAGATCAGAATATATCATCTGACCATGTTTATTCAGAGCTCCTGCGGCTTCTTGACGCGTTTCTTCCACGCATCTACTTTGGCAAGCCTGTCATTGATCCCACGACAGATCGAAGCATTCCATCGTCAGTCGCAGAACCCAGTGGATTCTCGTACTTAAAACGAGATCTCGTCCGTTTGGTCGGAGTGCTTTGCCATCGAGATAAGACATTCCAGAACCGCATTAGGATATGCGGTGGCATTCCCGTTATTATGAATATGTGTGTTGTGGACGAACGTAATCCGTGTATGTCAACTTTTTTCTGTGAGAACGCACGAGATTTCATGACCTTGAATCTCTAGACCTTCGAGAACATGCTATATTAACACTTCGGAACTTGTTGGAGGGTAACATAGAAAATCAGGACGAAGTGAACAGCATTCAACCATCAGGATATTGGGATGAAGCGGGCGTGCTGCACGAGAAGGTTGGAGCTACGCTGAGATAACCAGCTGTCAAAACGTCATACCATGAGTAATTCTACATAGAACAATGAATGAAGATGGGTGGTCACAGAATTATTCGTCGTCATCATCGAGCGCCATCGTTCTCTTTTTTCGTGCGCCAGACCCAGCTTTCCGAACCTTATGCTCCTCTTCCTCTTCCTCGCTTTCAATATCCATGTCTTGGTTATCTTCATCTCCCCCTGCTTCTGCGCCATCTTCAGCAGCTTCTGTGGTCCCCCCGTCGTTTTCGATGTCATGGTGTTTCCGTTTCCTGTCATCTTGCTGGCGCTGAATAATTTTAGCATCAAGCTGATCCAGAGGATCCTCTTCCTCCTCTTCTCGGTGTTTCCGTTTCTTCCTGGACCTAGCCTCACCATCAAACTCCGCATCGTCGTCTGACTCATCCGCGACCACGAAATCGTCCTCTTGATATTCGCCAGGGCCCCTTTTCTTTTGTTCATCTGCCTTCCGTTTGGAAGCACCCAAATCGTCATCATCCTCTGAGCCTTCATACTCTGGTTCTTCATCTTCCGACCAGATATCGTGTCCTTGCCTTTTCCTCGATTGACCATACCTCTTTTTACGTACACCAAATCCAGTGTCGTCGGTTTTCTTTTTGGATTTTCGAGCCGATTGTTTCATTAATTCCATCTTCTCGCGCTCGGGGTCCATGGTTGGATCAGGAGCCATACGTAATCGGGCCACCTTGTTATGTTTCTGACCCACAGCACGCACCAGCATACGATGTGTTTCGGACTGCATGCCCGTCGGTCGCAGTGTCATATACCCTGTGACTACAGCTTCCGCTTGCAGTACCTCTGACCGTTTGTGTTGTGCGACCAGGTATGTTAGACCTTGAGATCTTGAGCTAGAAAGCAGGTTTTGTGATGCTGCTGGCTGGCTCTGTGATGGCTGTGACGGCTGAGTACCTCCTAGTGATTGGCGTACGATACCACCGGACGTGTCGACAGTCTTGGTAATATCAAACAGCTCCTTTCCTAGTCTCAGGCTGAGAGAACCGTCAGACCAACGGATCACGCGACTATTTGATTGTCTTTTCTGTGATAAGGAGGCCAGGCGTGAGGGATTTGTGGGATTTGAGTTCACATAACTTACATCCTGGCCAAATTCATCTTTTGTCCATCGCCAACGTACAGTGTTTTCAACTTTGAGCTTGATAGACATGCTCTTTTCACGGATGCTCTCATTGTGGTGGCCATCATCCTCGTCGTGCTCTGGGCCAATGTACGTGTCCGGATGAAAAGGCTTTGAGTCCATTTTTACAAAGTTTGGCATTCTGATTACCCAGTGCTAGGGAAATACAGCTTTCAGCGTACAGACATAATAATGAGACGATATTACATACATCCCCATCTGAGCTCTTTGGAACCGGGATGTTGGGAATGCGCACGTCAGCCTCTCGGACTTCTTCCACAACGATACCTGGCTCTTCAGGTTCCAGATATTCTAGCGCTTGTCGGTGTTCCTTCTCCGTCTGTGAGAGATCGTCCGACTCAAACCCCGATTCAGCAGGGGGTAGCAACAGGGGCACTAGGATGATAGCAGTTGTATTCGTCAAAGAGTCCTCAAACATAGTGTATTTACCTGTCTGATTTCGTATCTGCAGCATCATGCTTTTCGTCTGCGTCGTTTCCAAAGAGGTCTTCCATTTCTTCCTCGTGTGCCCCGTCGTCAAGCACCCCCGAAATTGCCGCGGTGTCCTCTTCCTCCTTCGGAAGAACGTCAGTAGTCGGGGGTTTCATGTCCACATCTCGGTCGTTGAATCCTCCAGGCTTGGCAGGTAGTAGTTCGGCAGAAAAACCATGACTGTAGCTTGCGGACTGGTCCAGGGCACCAGCGAGAGATGACATATTAGCTCAGTCACTTGTCCCTTCGAGCGTGAGCACGGAGCTGAGCTTCAAGTGAGCAGCTTTGAGCGTTTTGAACTTGTTCTAAAAAGGGAAATCGCAATATATTTGTGCACTTGTGACAGAATTCTATCGAGTCAACGTTTGAACGAATTTACAACTTGAAAGTCACAGTACTAGTACTTGATTCAAGAATCGATATTCAACATATGCAAATGCCGTCAATATTTCAATGCTTCAATGGATATTCATCTTTCCTTCCTATCTCCCAAACAAGACGAATCATTCAATATACCTGGCGCGGACTTGTTATTTGAGGCATTGACATGCGGCGGGGCAGTCCAACTTGAAGTGCTGTGCTATCAAGCCTCGTGTGCATGATACTGGAGAGAATTAATATTGACGCCGCGGGGGCAGTTCCCTGCCATGGGTTGTGACAAAGAAACTTATTTTGGTGCCCTCCCCGCAGCGCTCAGCCATGGCGTGGTTGCTGTTCCTAGATGTTCCGTGACTTGGACCCATCTGGAATGCCACTTGTCAATTGGCCGTCTATAGGCTTGCCCATTTCTGTATGGACGTTTCGTTTAGAAACCACGCTCGCCAACGCGGTCGGGCCGCGGAACTTAATCTCACTTCCTCAGAGCACAATACCTGACTCGATGATCAGTATACTTGCGATTGTACTATTTAGCGGTATGTGTATAGGTCCCAATTCACTTACTACGTCTTACCAGGCATATGTCGTTATTCCGACAATCTCTTTCGAACGGGCGCTCCGGCCGCTTCAATCCGCCACCCTCCTTGGCTCTGCACAGCAACCATGGACTTGCTGTATTTCTATCTTCTATGTCATCTCCAGTATAAATTGGGCTCTCGACCAGTCAATCCGATCCTTCTTGACATCTCCCCATGAGTGACGCACCCTCATTCGACGGCTACTCCAACATATGCAGCCCAGAAGTTGATACTCGTTTCGACTTAGCACAGTGGGACAGTATTGATTTTGGGCAGCAACAACAACCAAGATCTCCTTACCCTATGAGTCATGTATGTGGTGTTTTAGAATGGTTTTCATCTCGCTTACCACCGAAACACACAGCAAATCAGTCAGTTGAATACGTATACCTTTGGAGGTCACGAATTTCCTGGTCAGCTACAGCTCGAGTACGGTGTACCGTTCCCCGGGCCACCTCAAGATGATATTAGGAATGAGCTTCTTCGGATTGATACCAAAGCTCTTGGTCCGCCACGGTTATCGATCGTATCTGACTCTTCTTCTTCAACGACTTCAGCAGGGTCAATGATGCCGCAGACTCCCTATAACCATTGGGGGGCAGATGGTCGTCTTCATGTCCATGCACCCCCAGGAACTCCACTATCTCCGTCAAACATTCCATATCATACATTCTCACCTTCAGTATGTCTCGATGAACCAATTACACTAATCATTGACAATCGATGTGTTAGAATCCAAAGGGCCTGTCCCCTATTCCCTCCCCAATGTCACCCAATTCGCCCGCTGTCATGGGTAGCTCTGACGAGGGGTCTTTTTTGCAGGCTTTCGACGATGACGAGGTTCGTAGCAATCGATTCAATTAATGTACACATTGTCAAAAGTGAATGGATACAGGACGACGCCCCTCAACCAGCGGAACATGTCATAAACTGGAAGGCCATTCGCGACCAAGCGATCGTCGTCACAGGCACCACTGTCTACATCCCTCAGACAATATACCAACCATACACAGAGGCGGATCGTGTCCGCTACATCGAGAAAGCAGATCTTAAACAGCCCATCATCTTTAAGACAGCGCATCCCGACCAATGGGGCATAGCACTCGAGGACGCCCTAAGAGCTAAGATGAAAGACCTTCTCGATAAAGATGACAATATGTTCGAGAACTGCGGACCCTCTGTGTCTATCCGACTTCAGGTATCCTAATTCCTCCCTGGCTCAATTGTTTCCTCACCTTCCCGCCTCTAGTGGCCTGGGTATCGTGCGTGGACAAAGCAGATCCCTACGATGGACTTCAAAAGTCCGAAGGGTCCTATCACCAGAGCTAAGTTGGCTAAAAACATCGCCAACTGCGTAAAACGATTCATCGACGTGCGTTTCAGTCTTTGTGTATCATTTGTAAATCATATCTCATATTCATTCCAGGAAAAGGAAAATGAACGTATGGAAATGGAAGCAGACCGTAGATGGAGGGTTGGAAAACGCCATATCAGAATGGAGGACCTTATTTTGGTGTCCCTGCACCACATCTCCAAGGGCAGTTGGCAGCCTCAGCTACGCCTACGCACTCTACTGAGCGAAATTCAACTCCGACGCCTTCATCCTCCAGCCGAGTCTATGCAACGGCCCGTTGCATAGACTCACATCTATTCACAGAGGTGAAGATAATTCTTCACCAATTTCAATGCACGGTATGCGTTGAGTATCCTGGATGCCATCTGGATGACATCATGTCCCTGCCTGTTCCGCTCGAGCCTTTGGCACTCGCTTCATTTCTCTACTATCTCATTGGAAACGTGCATTTCGCTCTTTGATATGTTTTCTCAAAATGTGCTAATGTTTATGGAGTGTCACGTTTTAGATACGTTTTGCGCGAGCCTCTCACTGCCGTTAGACTTATAACTTTTTAACGCCGGGCTTTCAGGCTTCCATTCTTTACTCTCTCATCGTACTGCTTGCTGTATAGTGTTACATTCCGCTCTAGGCTTTATTCGTCTTTTCTTGTTGCTTTCTAACTATTTCGATAGCTATGAACATTCGAATGATCTCAACAGGATATCGTTTATATATATATCACTTGAGGAACGGGATTGGAATCATTGGATATAAATTTATGTGCCTGGGTCATTCTCTTGTCGACTCGGATGGCTCAGCGCTCAGCAGAGTCAGTACTGAGTCAATGCTTGGGTACACGATAAGCTTTGAAGGGCCAAATGTTTGTTGTAAATCTTGTTGTCACGTGCGATGTTCACGAGGATATTTATGGTGCGTTTCATGTGCGTTTCATGATGATCAAGTGTCGTTTTTCAAGCGATCAAATGGAAGCAAAGTTGTCTGCACTGCCTCCGCCTCATATGCCTCCCGCCCATAACAAACTAACCGCTTTTTTGCTCTGTAGTCATGAATCTAACACAGGAGCTCCGATGCCAATCCGATGCTGACCATTTTGTCGTCTCGATAATTCTCGATGAGGCAATGGCATCGGCTCACATCCGAGTTGGCACTCTCACCCAGGTGCACTGGCAGCACTGCCAATGCACATCCCCAAATGCCTGATCTCCCTCCGACGTGCACCTTTCATTCTCCCCACTCTCTGGGTTGGTCTGAGTCGCACCGGGTGATAACATCATTAGTAAGGATTTTAAGCCTGAGTAAGGGTGACATACTACCAAGTTGCTAACTGCCAACTCCAGTGGCTGCCTGATACAAAACTTGCGCGCTACACTAAATCCATCATGCATCTGATCATTGATGGCTGAGCGCTGATCATTTGGTTTGCTGATCCGAATCTACCATCATGTGAATATCTATCTTCCTCAAATTCACACAACTGTGCCATTATATAGCCATATCTTCGCTGTCCTGCCTCTTGCTCATCCCATTTTGCTAGATCATTCCCCATGATGACTGACGCACCCCCATCCAACGCCTTTCCGGACCTTTGCAGTCCTGACGATCACAGTCAATCCGACATAGTACGGGGGAACATGAGCTTCGAGGAACAGCAACAACAACAAATGTCAAGGGCTTCCTACTCTCTTACTCCTGTATGTATGTTTTTTTGTATGCTTGTCGCCTCGCTCACCACCGAAACATACAGCAAATGAATCAAATGGATACGTATGACTATGCGGGTCCCGTTGAATTACCTGGTCAGCTACAGTTCGGGTTCAGTGTACCTCGCATCGATACGAAAGCTCTTGGTCTGCCAAGGTTATCGATAGTATCTGATTCTTCTTCAACGACTTCAGCAGGGTCAATGACACCGCCGACTCCCTCTTACTCTTTGGTACCAGATGGTCGTCTTCGCGTCCATGCACCCCCAGGAACTCCACTATCAAACATTCAATATCATACATTCTCACCTTCAGTATGTCTCGATGAACCAATTATACTGATCATTTACAATCGATGTGTTAGAATTCGAAGGGCCTGTCCCCTATTCCCTCCCCAATGTCACCCAATTCGCCCGCTGTCATGGGTAGCTCTGACGAGGGGTCTTTTTTGCAGGCTTTCGACGATGACGAGGTTCGTAGCAATCGATTCAATTAATGTACACGTTGTTAAAGGTGAATGGATACAGGACGATGCCCCTCAACCAATGGAACATGTTGTAAAATGGAAGGCCATTCGCGACCAAGCGATCGTCGCCACAGGCACCACTGTCTACATCCCTCAGTCAATATATCAACCATACACAGAGGCCGATCGTGTCCGCTACATCGAGAAAGCCGATCTTAAGGAACCCATCATCTTTAAGACAGCGCATCCCGGCCAATGGGGCATAGCACTCGAGGATGCCTGCAGAGCTAAGATGCAAGACCTTCTCGATAAAGATGACAATATGTTGGAGGACTGCGGACCCTCTGTGTCTATCCGGCTTCAGGTATCCTAATTCTTCCCTGGCTCGATTGTTTCCTCACCTTCACGCCTTTAGTGGCCTGGGTACCGTGCGTGGACAAAACAGATCCCTACGATGGACTTCAAAAGCCCGAAGGGTCCTATCACCAGAGCTAAATTGGCTAAAAACATCGCACACTGCGTAAAACGATTCATCGACGTGCGTTTCAGTCTTTGTGTATCATTTGTAAATCATATCTCATATTCATTCCAGGAAAAGGAAAATGAACGTATGAAAATGGAAGCAGACCGTAGATGGAGGGTTGGAGCACGTCACATCAGGGTGGAGGACCTTATTTTGGTGTCCCTGCACCACATCTCCAAGGACAGTTGGCAGCCTCAGCTACGCCTACGCACTCCACTGAGCGAAATTCAACTCCGGCGTCTTCAACCTCCAGCCCCGCATTCCGTTGCATAGACTCACATCTATTCACAGAGGTGAAGATAATTCTTCACCAATTTCAATGCACGATATGCGTTGAGTATCCTGGATGCCATCTGGATGACACCCTGCCTGTTCCGCTCGAGCCTTTGGCATTCGCTTGATTTCTCTAATGCCTCATTGGAAACGTGCATTTCGCTCTTTGATATGTTTTCTCAAAATGTGCTAATGTTTATGGAGTGTCACGTTTTAGATACGTTTTGCGCGAGCCTCTCACTGCCGCTAGACTCATAACTTTTTAACACCGGGCTTTCAGGTTTCCGTTCTTTACTCTCTCATCGTACTGCTTGCTGTATAGTGTTACATTCCGCTCTAGGCTTTTCTTACTGCATTATAACTATTTCGATAGCTATGAACATTCAAACGACCTCGTTGAATAGGATATCGTATACAGTGTACACCGTCTATATATATATCACTTGAGGAACGGTTAAATATGAATTTGTGTGCCTGGTCAATCTCTTGTCGACTCGGATGGCTCAGCGCTCAGCAGAGTCAGTACTGAGTCAATGCTTGGGTACTTGATGATCGATGGATCGATGAAGGGCCAAATATTAATCATGTTTGTTGTAAATCTTGTTGTCACGATGTTCACGAGGATATTTATGGTGCGTTTCATGATGATCAAGTGTCGTTTTTCAAGCGACGAGAAAAAATAGAATCAAAGTTATCTGCTCAGCCTCCGCCTCATAGGCCTCACGTCCATAACAAACCAACCGCTTTTTTGTTCTGTAGTCATGGATCTAACACAGGAGCTCCAGCCTCCGATGCTGACCATTTTGTCGTCTCAATGAGGCAATGGCATCGGTGATTCGGCTCACATCCGAGTCACTCTCACCTAGGGTGCGCCATGCCAATGCACATCCCAAAATGCTTGATCTCCCTCCGACGTGCGCCCTTCATCCTCCCCACTCTCTGCGTCGGTCTGAGTCGCACCGGGTGATAATTCATCATTAGGACTCAGGATTTGAAGTAAGGGTGACATACTATCAACTGCCAACTCCAGTGGCCACCTGATACAAAACTTGCGCGCTACACCTAAATCCTTGATGATCTGATGGTTGCAACGTTGAGTGCTGATCATTTGGTTTGCTGATCCGAATCTACCATCATGTGGGTATTTATCTTCCCCAAATTCACACAACTGTGCCACTATATAGCTATATCTTCACTGACCTGCCTCTTGCTCATCCCATTTTGCTAGACCATCCCCCATGATGAGTGACGCACCCCCATCCGACGCTTTTCCGGACCGTTGCAATCCTGATGATCACAGTCAATCTGACTACAGCATTGGGGAGCTCGGATTTTGGGCAGCAACAACAGCTGTCAATGCCTCCATACTCTGTTACTCTTGTGAGCGTTTCCCTGCATGGTGGTTGCCGCACTCACCACCGAATCATGCAGCAAACCGGTCACACGAATGAAAGTCGCGACTTTCATGGTCAGCTGCTGTTCGAGCATCACGATGTACCATTTCCTGTAACTCACAAAGATGGTCCTTTGAGGAATGCGCTTCCTCAAAATGACATGAAAGCTCCTGGTGCACCACTACCACAGATATCAGAAGATAGTTGTCTTCAGGATTTTGTACCTCCAAGAGCTCCATTATCTCTTCCCAGCACAATCTTATACCCTTCATTCTCACCCTCAGTATGTCTCGATGCACCAATTATACTAACGATTGACAATCGATGTGTTAGACCCCTATTCCCTCTCAAATGTTACCCAATTCGCCCGTTGCCATGGGCAGCTATGACGAGGGGTCTTGGTTGCAGGCTTTCGATGACGACGACGTTCGTACCAATTGATACAATTGATATACACGTTATTAAATGTGAATGGATACAGGACGATGCCCCTCAACCAATGGAACATATCGTAAAATGGAAGGCCATTCGCGATCAAGCGATCGTCGTCACAGGCACCACTGTCTACATCCCTCAGACAATATATCAACCATACACAGAGGCCGATCGTGTCCGCTACATTGAGAAAGCCGATCTTAAGGAGCCCATCATCTTTAGGACAGCTCATCCCGACCAATGGGGTATAGCACTCGAGGACGCCCTAAAAGCTAATATGAAAGACCTTCTCGATAAATATGACAATATGTTCGAGAACTGCGGACTCTCTGTGTCCATCCGGCTTCAGGTATCCTAATTCCACCATGGCTTGATTGTGTCCTCACCTTCACGCCTTTAGTGGCCTGGGTACCGTGCATGGACGAGGCAGATCCCTACGATGGACTTCAAAAGTCCGAAGGGTCCTATCACCAGGGCTAAGTTGGCTAAAAACATCGCCAACTGCGTGAAACGGTTCATCGAAGTGCGCCCTACAGTCTTTGATTCATTATCTGTAACTCATATCCCCCTTCATCACAGGAAAAGGAAAAGGAACGTATGGAGATGGAAGCGGACCGTAGGTGGAAGGTTGGAACACGCTACATCAGAATGGAGGATCTTATCTTGGTGTCCCTGCACCACATCGCCAAGGGCAGTTGGCAGCCTCAACTACGCCTACGCACTCCGCTGAGTGAAATTCAACTCCGGCGCCTTCAAGCTCCAGCTCCGCCTTCCATCGTATATTAAGCACGGAATACCCCACTAGGATGATACCGACGGTTTGGCTCAGGCGTTAAACCCACTTCATATCTTTCTTTGCTCTTCGATGTTTTATCAAGATGCTCTAGTCGTTCTATGGAGTGTACACTGCTATAGAAGTACGCGAGATGTGCTTTGCACGAGCCTCTCATGACTACTTGATTCGAGTTGATACTACATAATGGGCTTTCAAGGTTCTCGATAGGGCTTATCTTTCTTTTTTTGTGAGTTTTATGCGACATCCATTCTATGCTTACATAATGTTTAAATTATTTACCTGTCGTGTAGTGTGGTACGTTAAAGCGTATCTCTTCTGACTCGGAATCTGAGGATATCGCCCCAAGCATCAACGTCAACCGTGGACTCTCTTAGTCAGATCCTGATCGTACGAAATGCACCTTTTGAATTAGGCATATCGCCCCAGCGGACAATAAACCAAGATTCATGAAAAAAAAAGAAAAACATCTGAAGTCAAGCCTGGAATATTCTGCGACTGTGAAATGTGCACACGATCTTGAATTCCATCGTCACATCTTACCTTTTTGTGGTGTAGTAGTGGTGACGTTCCTCATCCTCTTAGACCCTTACTCACTGCTTGGCACCTGCTACCGTCCGACATCAGATTCCGATAGCCGTGGATATTCAAATGACAAATCGTAACCTTTTATCGTGTATCTCTCCCAAGGCTCAGAATTGCATGTAAATAGCGCGTTGCTAGATCGCAGTCTTGCTGTCAATGCGTACTAGCTACGCCCACATCCGCTGATGGGACCCTTCCGAGTCCACGCGGGCCAAATTCGTTTAGGTATGGATCCAGAAAGTGTACTGCCATCTGATACATTGATCATTCAAAGGACCTCGTTTCGAGGTATCACGGGGCCGCTTCCCCGACCAGTCCCTCGAGAAGTTGAACGGAGTGCGACCCGTTTCCTTGGTCGAACGAGAGTATCACGTATAAAATTATTTTCGCAGAGAGCAACATTGCTATCTGCTCGAGACTAGTCTGGAACTCAAAGAATGTCCAGTGGTATCCAATTTCAACGGTCCGCCTACTAGGGGGACTAACCCTGAGCAGTTTAATTATGCCATTAATGGATATCATATCCGTTGTGGAGTTGAACGAGAGGGGCCCTATTCGAACTATGAGCGCGCTAACTTGCCTTGCGAACCCTGTTCCGGAATCCGTAACGGCGGATCAGCCATGGGACATTGCTTTCCTGCCACGTCATGTATGCAGGGAATCTATTTTCTGATGTGACGTCTTGTGTCGGAGATCAGAGATGTCGTGCCAGAATGAGACTGGAGAACAGCGAAATTTTTATCCCGTCATGGGGGTTTTCGCGCCAGTAGAGGGGGCGAAGCAACCCTGCTAACATTAATTATCTCGTAAGTGAGAAAATTATACTTCATGTGTTAACGGTTTGAGCTGATTGATATATAGAATCATCTGCAAAGGCAGACCTGGAATAATTGAACCACCCCAGTTTCTGACTTCAATCTCAAGGGTGTCACTTCGGGTTGCCGGAATGTCCGACTTTCCACAAGCTGTGGGAGTTTACAGCAACTTGAAGCTGATGTCATTACGAGGAGAGTGACTATGCGATTTATCGGTGTTTGCTAGATCTGGCCAACTCAAGCCATCACTGAATCCTACATGTCGGCATGAAACTTGACCGATGAGATTCATAAAAGACAGCAGAAGTGATTGTCAGACGTACAGTATTCATCATCCATGACCTACAACAACGCCAACACCTTTTCTTCTGACAAGGTCGCCACCCCAGAAGTGCCCGGATTGTTGAACGGCGGGACATTTTTGGTGGCTTCACCGGGCGATCGTACATTGCCTGATAATGTCAGTTGCCTCTTTTTCTTGAAATCTTCGAATTACTCATCCTCGAAGTCATCATGTTCTGCAGGATTCTTGGGACTGCCCCAATGGCCTACTTCGGAGCTGGATTCGGATGCCTTTGGCACTACGGATGGTGTATACGAAGACTCTGGGAGCGATCTCAATGAGATCAGCCAGTCTCCTCTAGTACTAGAGAGCCGGGTAAGTTTTTTGTCTTGTGATGATTCAGTAAACCCTTACCGAAATTCCGCAAGGATACCGGGGTAAGTAGTCACTTGAATTTCAAGAAACCTGTCGACGACTTGGAACAGGATCTCCAGCTTGCCATAATTCAGGCTGAGACCGTGCCTCAAAAGTTGTATCAGCCGCGAGGAAAAACTGAGCTAGAGAAGTATGTGCACACGGCGAATCTGTCTTCGCCTATCCTGTTCTACGCGGAGAAGCCATCTGAGCTGGGTATAGCTTTGGAAGAGATTCTCAAAAGTAATTCGAGATGTCTCGGCGATAGGGATGACCTGGTATTTGAAGGGGGTGGCCGGACTATCTCAGTGAGAATAGAGGTTTGTCAGAAAAAATGCAATCTGAATCTTATGAACTGATTGTGAGCTTGAATAACAGTGGCCTGGTTATCGTCGCTGGAATTGTCAGCTCCCTACCAAAGACTATCGCAAGACACCAGGCCCCATCACCAAGGCAAAACTTGCAAAGAACCTTGCCACCTGCATTCGCAGATTTATTCAGGTGAGACTTCACGTTTCTCTCTGATTATTTCCTTCAATGATTTTTTAAGAAAATGGCGAATCAACCTATGGAGGCCGACTCTGATCCTATGTGGATGATTAGTCCCCATCACATAAAATTTGAAGATCTCGTACTCGTCAGTTTGGATCATGTGTCACAAGGAAGCTGGCAGCCTCAGTTACGACTTCGACAACAGGTGCGGGGTGGATCCAGCAGAACCTGATGATCATGAGGTCAGTTTTCATTTTATGGGTGAGAGGCGTCTAATTTCTCGGGTTCACTTAGAGTTGACTTTCGCTGCCGAGATTTCGATTCCTTATCGCTTTCGCCATTTCAAATTTCCATCACATGCTCTCCGTCACAGGACTAGGAGTTATTCGCAGCTTTGACGGCCACTTGTACACACGTGGCATAACGGGTCCATTTAAATTCTATTGCAAGTCGTTACACCTTAAATTTCTCGTTCTTTCATATTCAACATGGTGTGCATTATGCTTTCCGTCGTCTTGTTTTCGTAGCTATCCGATACCCGAATTTTAATCTGCAACTCTGAGCTTGACAAAGAGGATCTTCGCCGATTTTTCGGTTCCAATGAAAGTCAATAAAAATGGTAGGATGCCCTTATCTCCCATTTTTCGACTCCGAGCAACCTCCGCTATGTCGTTGTACTTTCTCCTCAAGAGTAACTTTGCATAAACAAAGGAGCAGTCCATTTTGGTCATTAGCTTATCGTCCGCCACGTTTTGGATGGCATGGATGACAAGGTTGGCCAGTTCTTATTCTGGACAGGGAATCGAATGTTGTATGTATGACAAGGGTCCCGGCCAGGCCACAGGAGTTTTGACAGACCCTTGTACATACATCATGCACATACTTAACCTGCCGCAAACAGAAACGCTCATATAGCTGGGGATATCTCAAGTCCATATCCCAAGCGTCCCCAAGTCTTCTTTGTGAAGGCTCTGTTTATTACTGAGAGAACCGTCTCTCCAAGTCTTTCTTTTCATATCTTTCGACTCTATTGCTGTATTATTTGCCTTTGTGTCAATTTCCATATACTTCACCGCTGCCCATCATGAATCGCGGAACAGTCGCCATCGCTGTCGTGCAACACCAAGTTATGATCATACAGATCGTACAGAGTAGTACGTAGTACCCACCAAAGTGACTGCTCAAGAACAAATTTCTTACAAGTTCCTTACACAGCTGCCTCTGGTCACTCTCACCATCGTCGTGATCGATGGTTAGATGTGTACACTTATACGCCTTTTGGCGACCACTTGTTCCTGGCTTCGTCCGTCCCTCAGGCGCGCATCGCCGCCTCAGACCTTCTTACCGTCTTCCCGTTTCGCACCACCACCACGGACATGATTGAATTGCCTGCACAGGCATATCAGGAATTCCTGCAGCTCCAAGCCAAACATCAGAAGAAACAGGAGAATTTATGGCGTGCCTGGAAAGCCAAGTTGCGCTAAATGTGGTTCGTTCTACGAAGGAAGTCGATTTATTTTGCATGCTGTGGGCTGAGGAAGACTTGACGGAATTACTTGTATTTTTAACACTTTACCATTTTCTCCCGGAGTGTAGCTGGAACTAGATACCACCCCACGTTGTGATACACACTGTAGCCTTAGTACTTGAATTCGAAGTTGTAGTTTGGTAGAATTTTAACACATCTCGTCCATTCGGCGGTATACAACAGATTATTAACCCGATATTTATAGTGGAATGAGAAAGCAAGAACAACACAGAAATGGTGTAGTAGCATACGGAAATAAAAATATCGTTAAGTCTGAGTCACTTGACCGCAGGCCAAGAACTACATTGGTCTGCAGCTAAGCAGCGGAGGTAGCATCTGGGTCCCTAAACACCTATGGGCGCAAAAGATCAGTGACGATCGATGAAAAAAGCAGCGGGCACACCTTTAAACTCCATATATCTCCTACTTTGTCTCTGTCTTCAGAGTCCATCGCTTCATTCTCCTCTTCGTATAGCTGGCCGCCAGGAGAAGTCTGTAGCTTCAGTCCCTGCTCATTAGCAAGGTGCAGTAGACATATGAAGCAGAAGCTCGTGCTGATCTCTTCCATCTTGTCCTTCGGATACGATTTCTGTAGTCCGGAAATTACAGAGCTGAAAACTCTATGTTCTTCGGGGCTAGTAAGAGACGTGTCATCGACATCCTATGGGCGGGTGAGCAGAAAAGGAGGGGCGATTCAAAAGAGACAAACCATATTGTCTTCTTCTTCGTCCTCCTCCTTCGGCTTCCCAACCTTAATGTCCAAGCCTTTCCAAATATTTTCTTTCAGCTTCCTCACATCCACTCGTTTGGCACGTTTGGCATAGTTGACAAATTCTGGTCGAACCCGCCGCGTCTGACCTTGCGTAGCAGCCAGGAGGTCCTGTTCTCCAGCATCCTCCATCGCTGCACCGTCGCCATCAAAACCATCGTCAAAGCCCGGGCCATCATCGTAGTCGTTGTCGAAGAACTGCGTATTGAAGGGTATATTTAGTCCATCACCGGCTTATGGGGCAATGAGTTCAAAATATATAAAGCCTGAATACGAAAATTTCTTACTTTCGTCATTTTCAGCTGCAGCACGTCCCGCAGCTTGGTTCGCCGCGGCCTGTGCCCAAAATTGCTCGTCAACCTCTCCGTCGCCCTCCTCATTAAATTTGACAGGTTGTCCACGCATCTTCAACTGGGGGTGTACAGATGTCAGTTCATGTCGTCGCGAAAACGATTACACGTACTGAAAATTTGGGCTTCAGGAAAAGGGTAACGAGTTGCCTGCTTGAGAAGTGCATGTCGTCAGGAAGAGTATGTTCATCGCGCTTCTCCTCCTTTGCTTTGCGGCTGCCCCGACCCTTCTTGCCAGTCTTTGAACCTCCGTAGCTGGGCAAAGTGATGCCAGCCCCCCGCGTGACTTTCGCAAACATCTCTTTTGCAATCGTCTTGGTGTCTTTCTCGGCGGGCGTCAGGAAGTCGATCTTAAATGCTTCCTTCTTCTCTCGCCGGGGTTTGGGAGCATCAGCCTCTGCTGTAGCACAACGTCATTAGTATAACATATCTGAATGAGATGAAGAACTCACGTTTCCGAACCACTTTTCTCAGCTTCCAGTGTTCGGGACCCGCCCAGTTTTTCATGAGGTTCTTATCGAAGTAACCCATCATCGCATTTTCTCCATCCCCGTCCGTAATGGCGATCACACGATCTCGCTCGTTTGGCGCACGTCGTGGGTCAAAAGGAACAAATGCGCCTCCTGGTCGTGCTGCATGCCGTTGATCACCTTCAGCGCCGACTGACTCATTCTCGCCACCCCCATAGTCACCTCCAAAAGCATCCCCACCATCATAATCATCATTGACAGCTTGGTCGCCTTGGAAGAAATCCTGACCACCACGATCACCATCCACATCCATGGGTGCACCATCTGCGTCGTAGTCTCCGAAGCCCGGATCATTATCATCTTCATCGCCACCTTCATTATCGACCGTATCATCACGGTAAAGAGAGTCGTCAAACACGCGGTTACTGTCTTTGGCAAACGAGAAGGTGGCCAGTGAATGGGAGATCGCTTTATCGTCGAGAACCTCTAAGTCGGGGAAAAATTGACCTAATATAATGGTGAGTATGTTATCATACAAGAGAACTTTCCAACATACTTCGTAGGTAACTGATGTCCACATCTTCTTGCTGTTCCTCCTCATCCTCCTCATCTTCCGCCACTCGGCCCATAGAATCACTCGCGTCAAAGACGACGCGCATGCCACCATCGCTTCCGACCCCCAAACTAAGGTGGTTCATGAGCAAGCCCTGTGCGCCGCCCTCGTCGAAATCTTCGCAAGTTTTGCGGAAAAGGGGGTCAACGCGAAACTCGAGATCCAGCTTCTTGCTGTGAAGTTGTGAGGCGTCTTTAGCAAGCGTTGAGTCGGGTCGGTGCGATTTCTTCTTTTTCTTCGCCTGCGTCGCGTCCTGACTATCAGGATTGTCCGACAGGGCTTCATCGTCTTCTTCGCCGGCCATGCCTTCGTTGGCAAGGTTGCTGAGCAACTTGCCTGTTTCAGTACCAACAGAGTCGACACGACTAGTCCAAATTTTAACGCAGCCGTCAAGGGTACATGAAGCGCGCTGGAAGTTGATGGAGTTGTCTACATTATTTCGGAGTAGCGACATATCGTGGAAGTAATCAATCAGCGCGAAGTTCCATGAGTTCGCAGCATTAATTTTCTGGCGATGATTATGATAAGTAGCAAGACCTAGATTACACCTGATATACGCACATTGTCTGTCGCCATTTTCATCCATTCCTCAAAGTTGGAGCTCATGACGTCTAGGGGTACGTTGATGACAGGAGGCGGGGCCACAGAGTTGAGCTGCTGTTGCTTCAGCTTCGCCTGCGCAGCCTTGGAAGATTCTGCCAGATCTTGACGCTCTGTCGAAGGCCCAGCTTCCGCGTTTTCTATGACGGCTAGCTTATTGCTTTTCCTCCGCCTGCGCTTCTCAGCCGCGTCGTCATTGATGTTGACCGCCCTTAGTGGAGGGCGTCCAGATTCAGAGTGTGCTTCATTCTCGCCATACACATCACTGATCCGTTTCTTGCTGCCTTGTCGAAGTGTTGGTCTTGTTGTCGGTCTTGGTGTGTCCGGTTCAGTGTCACCGCCTGAATCCAAGCCATAATTTTCTGTATCTGCAATCCTGGCACGTCTGGTATTCATTTTCCGTTGAATTTCGTGCCGACAGTCCTTGACGCTATCGCAAAAATGAGCCGTTTGGTTGCTGTCGTTGGTACTGTTCAACAAAAGATGATCAGTCCTTGCTCAAAGCACGTGACACACGCGTCTTGTCACAGAGTTACTAGTCACTCATCGCAGGACTCTGAAATAGTTCTGGCTGTACTAAGGCAGTGTTATCGATGAACATGTTACTGAACGTCATAGATAAGCCAAGTAAGCGCGCTGCAGCTTGTGGGAGATTCTGAAGGCAGACCAGAACTACATATACCAGCCGATTCGACCCACTGGCTCCGTTCTGACGGATGCAACTCTAACTGCACGTGATCCGATCACTTGAATTCAAATATAGACGGTCAATCAGTTGACTTGTCACTAGTCACTTGCCAATTACCTACTTCGCGTCTCTCAAAAGTCTTGAAATATTGCTCTACATTTGCCGTACATCATGATTTTTGGAGACTTGTCTGCTTATGTATTCGTTGACGACCAGGAGCTCCCGGAGTATGCTGTTGATGTTTCCAACACACCAACGGAGAACAGAATAACCTGCTGGATTGCATCGGAAGAGGGGAAGGTGTGTTATTCGTAATATATACTGGCGAAAGCTATAAATACCTCCACAAGAAATTTGGAGTCAGGTGGATGAACGCAGCTGAGCAGTCCTGGAGCATCAGAGCAACTGTCTCCGTTGATGGTGTTCGCTGCCGTGCACAAAGTGCGCCCCCGGGCTGGGTCGGCACAATGGAACTCACGCACTTGGCCAATGACTCAGTCACCAGGGATTTCATGTTTTCAAACATTGAGCTTACTGGTCAGTATGAAAAAATAGTCTAGTTTCTCCTTGTAACACCAATCTTCAGACGATGACTCAATGCTCGGTGATCAAAGTTCGAATGACATAGGTCAGATTGTGTTGAAGGTAAAAACGGGGAAGCGCACAAAGACGCAGGTAGTTAAACATGGTACATCGAAAAATCACACCCTCCGTGTGCGAGAAGGCAAGGTGCATGAACGGTCTAAGAAGGCATGTGTTCATCGTGTCATGTGCGTAGAATTTCACCCCGTGTCCCACTTTTTGATAATCATCATCTGTTAAGCTTCGGAGATGAAGTTCCCCGACAAGTAAATCATCGGCCTGGTCGTTCCACATCCCGCAGCATGTTCAAACTGGACAAACGACCTGTGACTGTCTTCGTGTTCAAATACACGCGCTTGGGTACTAAACCACATTATTTTCTACCCATATGTGCCGCTCACACCGTTGTTAATCCTAGACATCTTGCAGGCAATGGGCATAGCGCCATTGATACCCAAGAATTCAAGCAAGGAAGAGGCAAACGACCATGACGATCAAATCGAAATTATTGACGGACCTCATGAGCCTTCAAGTTCAAAGGATGTGAAGCCCCTAATTCAATATTTTGAGGTAAACTCTCGCCTCGGCGACATTTTGGGCCCCCCATCTCATTCTTATCTCGCAGATGGAGCTCCAGCGTTTACGTGCCCAGTTGGCCTCATCTGAGGACCGGAAACCCTCACGTGTTAAGTTGGAATGCGGGGTTTCACGACAGCAGCAAACCGCTGAGCCTTCAAGTTCAAAGGATGTGAAGCCCCTAATTCAATATTTCGAGGTAAACTCTCGCCTCGGCGACATTTTAGGCCCCCCATCTCATTCTTATCTCATAGATGGAGCTCCAGCGTTTACGTGCCCAGTTGGCCTCGTCTGAGGACCGGAAGCCCTCACGTGTTAAGTTGGAATGCGGGGTTTCACGGCGGCAGCAAACCGCTACAGAAGTCCTCGATTTAACCGAGGATTAGTTTCCGTCTGTCCTCGCTTGGGTTCTGACTTGTATGTCACTTCTCTGAGGTAAGCATCACAGAGATCATCTCTAATGCACACATCCATGCAATTCAACTCCCAGGAACTCGATGTTTTGCAAGACAGAACACGCTGCACATATTCTTTCTGTACAGTTCAAATTCATTCACACCATCATTATAGATACACGTAACGGTACTTTGCATTGGAAGAAGGCTTCTTTCTTAATTTTCTGGTTGTGGCTTTACGCTCGTCGCTCATTATAATACTTTATTGCATACTCACTGTTAATATGAACTTTTTACTAGGACCCCCTTCATTTGAAACTACTGAGTGCTCTCACATTTTACGCTTGATGATTACTAGCTAAGTATATCGAGTCAACTACAAGTGCTTCGATGATGGGGAAACACTCTTCAAATTGAATACTGCACTGTATTGAGGACGAAGAATGCAATTTCAAAGCGGTTCATAGCCGCGTCTGCATCATGGTCGTTCAGCACAGCTATTAGTATTGACTATGGGTGATAATAGGGGAAACACCGGGCACAACCATAATGCAACTCTAATTGCACGTGATCCGACCACTTAAATTCATGAATTTCAAATATAGACGGTCAACCCGTTGACTTTACCTACTTCGCGTCTCTCAAAAGTCTTGAAATATCTACATTTGCTGTACATCATGATTTTTGGAGACTTGTCTGCTTATGTATTCGTTGACGACCAGGAGCTCCCGGAGTATGCTGCTGTTGTTTCCAGCACACCGATGGAGAACAGAATAACCTGCTGGATTGCATCGGAAGAGGGGAAGGTGTGTTATTCATAATATATACTGGCGAAAGCCTTAAATGCCTCTACAAGAAATTTGGAGTCAGGTGGATGAACGCCGCTGAGCAGTCCTGGAGCATTCAAGCAGCTATCTTCGTTGACGGTGTTCGCTGTGCTAGACAAACTGTACACCCGACCTGGGTCGGTATGAAGGAATGCACGTACTGGGGCAGTGACTCAGTCACCAGGGATTTCATGTTTTCAAAACTTGAGCTTACTGGTCAGTATGCTAAAAGAGTCTAGTTCCTCCTTGTAACACTAATCTTCAGACGATGACTCAATGCTCGGTGATCAAAGTTCGAATGACATAGGTCAGATTGTGTTGAGGGTAGAAACGGGGGAGTACACGAAGGTGCAGGTAGTTAAACATGGTAAATCGAAAAGTCACACCCTCCGTGTGCGAGAAGGCAAGGTGCATGAACGGTCTAAGAAGGCTTGTGCTCATCGTGTCATGTGCGTAGAATTTCACCCTTTGTTTCACTTTTTGATCATCATCATCTGTTAAGCTTCGGAGACGAAGTTCCCCGACCAGTGAATCATGGGCCAGGTCGTTCCACATATCGCACCGTGTTCAAACCGGATAACCGACCTGCGACTGTCTTCGTGTTCAAATACACGCGCTTGGGTAGGCCACATTATTTTCTACACATATCTGCCACTCACACCCGTTTTCAATCTCAGACATCTTGCAGGCAATGGGCATAGCGCCGCCGACGTCAAATAACTCAAGCAAGGAAGATGCAAATGATCATGACGATGAAATCGAAATCTTTGACGGACCTTATGAGCCTTCACATTTGCCATTGCGCTTAAAGAATGTGAAGCCCCGAATTCAACGTCTTGAGGTAAACTCTCTCCTCGACATTTTTCGGGCCTTTCACCTCATTCTTATCTCGCAGATGGAGCTCCAGCATTTACGAACCCAGTTGGCCTCATCTGAGGACCGGAAGTCCTCGTGTGTTAGTTTGGAAGGCGGGGTCTCACGACGGCAGCAAACCACTATGGAGGTCCTCGATTTGACCGAGGATTAGCTTTCGTCTGTCCTCGCTTGGGTTCCGGCTTGCATGCCACCGCTCTGAGGTAAGCATCACAGAGATCATCTCTAATGCACACATCCATGCAATTCAACTCGATGTTTTGCAAGACAGGGCACGCTGCATATATTTTTTTCTGTACAGTTCAAACTCATCACACCATCATTATGGATACATGTAACGGTACATTGCATTGGAAGAAGGCTTCTTTCTTAATTTTCAGGCTGTGACTTTACGCTCATGGCTCGATATAATACTTTGTTGTATACTCACTGTTAATACACTTTCTGGGACACCCCTGTTTGAAACTACTGAGTGCTCACATTTTACGCTTGACGATTACTAGCTAAGTATATCGAGTCATCTACAAGTGTTTTGATGCTGGGGAAATACTCTTCAAGTTGCACTGAGGACGACGAATGCAATTTCAAAGCGGTTCATAGTCGCGTCTGCATCTCAAATTGCGTGACATGGTCGTCCAGCACAGCTATTGACTATGCTACATTCCCAACCAAGGATTAAGTTTGCGGTAATGTCCGGCAGTGAACATGGGCCAGGATCTCAACACGTTGTCTGGGGATTCACCAATGGGTAATGCTTGCACAGGTGACCGTGATCCGATCCATCCTTTGGCCGAAACTGTCGGACACTTGGATGCAGAGGACGTTGTGGCAGAAACGGAGCACGAATTTCCGCTTCCACTAAATGAGCAATGCCCGGAGGATTGAGGGCAGAACAAGCAGGAGTAGGATATGGCAATCGACTCACTTGAGGAACGATTGAGCACTACGGTCCACTAACCAGAGGTCTGTGTAAATCCAACGCGCACTGCCAAGGCTGGTGCACATTATGCGTACAGTGGGTTGGTCTTGGTAAAAGCAAGCTGTCCCCGTCCCAATTCCACAGACACTATGCTTCAGATGTTTACAAACAGGTAGCCGAGAGGAAAAAGTGGGGTGGTGAGGAAGGAGGATGCTCGTGCTCGCGCACAGCTGTTCCAATCAAGACCCTCACCCCGTTGACCGTCCGTGTCAGTTGCATTAAGCTTCCAGCGGTCAAGGTTCAGACGTTTAACGCAGTACCTGCAACCACTTTAGAAATCAGGCTAGACCACACTTGAAGGAAATATTGCTAGGATGATTAATGATACAACAGTGCAGAAAAACCAAGCGAAACGAAAATAACGATACGTCGAGATCAACTACCACAGATCTGCATCAAACCGCTCGAGGACAGAGTTCGCATCTTCCACGTCCTTTTGTGCCTTCTTCCGCATGTAGAATATCGGGCAGTCCTTGCTCGAACATAGCACATCCTATCAACCGCAGTGTCAATGACAGTCGAAGCAAAACAAACATAGCCTCACTTGATGCAAAGAGCCCTGACAACGTTGGCATTGCGTCCACAGTCGCGAGAACCGTACTTGCAGCTGCGACGCGCTTGTGATTTGCTTTTGATATAACTCCCCGATCTTTGGTCGGCAGTTATTGCACACGGCACCATCTGCAGCAAAGGCGGCAGTGAGATAGGATCAGACGCTTGCTTGTTTGGGCTTACTTTTTACGCTGTTATTCGACCGCAATGGAGTTTTGCACCCAAGGCATGTTACCGTCTTCACTGCGAACTTCATCAGACCGCCAACTGTTGGAGTTGCGATCTGGATTGTCCTGGTGTGCGCGCCAGATACTTTGGAACATATCAAAAGACGACATTCATGCAGCGAATGAAGCGACATACACAACGATGCTGCCTTCTCACCCAGGATGGGTTCAAAAATTCTCATAAGAGGATTTGAGAGCTGGTTTTCGAGGTAATATTTGGTATCGATGGGAATGTTATTCTCCAATACATAAAGGGGATCCTCAGATTTTTCGTATGCAGCAGCACCTATTCCCCAAGTCAGCATAGAGCTATGATACTTGACGCGGAATTCGACCTTTAATGCCCTTAACAATAACGTAGGCGACACGGTCACCCAAGGCCGGTGCAGAACCTGACCATGGATATCAGGACATATACCAGATAACCACATCAGTCACAAACCTGCGTCACGTTGCCGCATGCGCTCTGCCAACTCCACATGCGCTTGCTTCGCAGCATAATCTGCAGACATTAGAGCACCAGCCCATTCTCGTTCAAAATCCACATACCAGCTTTGGCCAGAGCCTTTGTAATCACCAGTTGGGACATATCAACCTTGTTCTGCAGAAGATCTGATATCACGCGCTTTGTGTACCTGGGATAGTTGAGTTAGCAACCAAAAGACAAAGAGCGTGTACTTACTCCTCAGCTGCTCTGACGTCTCGATCGATCAACATCTTATGTAGGCAAGTCTCGATGACCGTTGATACCAGCCGACAGTTGTCTCTCCGGACCGTCTAGATTCCTTAATTCAGTATATCCACAGTAAACTATTGAAAATGAAGACAAACTTCGATCCCCTTTGAGTCCATCTTGTCCCATTTGTCTGGCTTTGTCCAGTAAAGTCCAGCGTACCGCTTCTTGCTGATGAGAAGATACGGGTAATAAACTTTCTCGAATTCGAGCTTGATAGGTCTGACAAATTTCACCGTCACAAAATCCGCCGCCTCCGCTCCTGTAGAATAGTTTAAATTGCATGCGAGTTAGGTTGCTGGTTGGTACGAACCGAGAGCCATGACCTTTTCCAGCTCCGCAGGCCCAAACTTGACCATGACAGAGTCAGTGTCACCATAAATTACTTCGGCATTATAAGCGTGTCCATTATTGATGGAGAATTCTGCTTCAACTTCCTACAAAGGGTTATTGGTCGGGTGTTCACTGGCGGACAGACTACGACTTACCTGCTTAGTTTTCTCGATCATCTGACGCCCATATGCTGTCACACTGGAGGAGATAGGAAGGCAGGGCAATTTTCCAATCGTCGCACCAGTGAACCCATAAACAGAGTTGGCACTGATCTGCAATTCAATGAGATCAGATAGGGTCGCTGTACTAGCTGAATCCACAGCACCTTCAGAGCAAGCTGACGACCGTCCAAGACTGCACGCTTGGATGGATCGGTCTCCTTCTTGAGATCTGCCTTCGCACGCTTACGAGCAGAGATCAAATCTTCCAAGACAGTAGGTAGTAGACCCTTTCGTTTTGCCGTAGTAGCGAAGAAATCTAAATAGAAACATTAGCCGACTGATCTGCAAACTACATATCCAACAGCTCTAACATACCGTTATTGGGGGTTTGGATATAGTCTACGTCCTTGACAAGCTGCAAGCGATCAATGGTACTCTTTTCGAGGAGCGTTGTATAACACAAATTATGTGCCATCATGATGGACGGATACAAGGAGCTAAAATCAAGAGTTGCAATCGGTGTGTCGTAGTAGCCTTTCTTCGGCTCGATGACAGTGGCACCTTCGTATTGCTCATCCGAACCCTCGCCCTTCATAACAGGGATGACATATCCCTCTTCATTGGCCTTGCGAAATAGCTGGGAAAGCACCTTAATGGACTGGCCACGGGAAAGGAGGTAGTTGAAGGGAACGCCCGTGACACGTGCCATTTCAGTGTAGTTGATGAAGCACATGAGTTTGTCCACCAGTCGCTGGGGGAGATATGCATCCTGTAGCAACTATAAGAACGACAAAGACGACGCAAAAAAGACTCGATCACCTTTAAACAGTAGACGGCCAGCCGACGTCTGGACTCTGGGGTACCATTCTGCAATTCTGTGATAACGGAGTGGTGCACATCCTCCTTTTGCTCACCAAGGAACTGTGCACAGACGGAGTTGAGGGTATAACTACGTAGCTTGTGTTCACGTTGCATGAATTGCAGAACGTCGAGTTGTAGTCGACCTTCTAGCTCTGTATCTTTGGAATCGCGCTGCCCGTATGCCTTTGAAGAGAAATGCGTTTCCTTCGTCTGAGTTTTGGAACCTTTAAAACAAAATAAGTATGATCTTATCACAGCAAACAGAGATGCGTACCCTTTATGCGACCAAGAAAAGGGAACTTATTTGCCTTGAGATGCTTGGCTCGATCCATGAGATATGGAAAATCGAAGTTTGCAATGTTGTACCCGATGACAAGATCCGGGTCAACCTCTTCAATAAAGTCTCGCCAGGCCTGCAACATCTCAGCCTCATCGTCAAACGACATCACTTGTGAGCCGACAATGTGTGAACATGTATTCAAAGTGAAAATATTGCGAATGAACGGCTTGGTCTCGCCTTGGAATCCAGCGATGAGTGAATATACAGAAAAAACTTCAGATCCCATACCTTGCCTCGTCACCATGTTAGCGATCTGGATGACTGGATCAACCTGTGCCTCGGGGAAAATGCCCTTCCGTCCAGCACACTCGATATCGAAGCTCAATATACGAAGAGGTGCAAACTTCTGCCAGTTTTCTTCCGGTGGGTGCGAGATGAAGGCATTCCCACCTGGCGCAAAATATCATCAGACATTTATATACACGACAAAACGAAGTGAAAATTACCTGACTTTAAGCTCGATTTGACATGTGGATTTCTTGTCTTTCTCGGACACAAGTTTGTATTGACCGGCAGGAATCTCAATCCAGTTCATGCCTACAACCTACAGAATTGTCATTTCAGAGGTTTTGCGACACATGTATCCATACCTTGGTATCGATCATGAAACGAAGGGTGTACGCAATATTACTCTCGAACGTTGAACAAGGTTGTCCGGTGGGGAAAAAGTCTCGAAACCCACACTCGCCCCTCTCAAACAAGCGTATTGGTCAAAAAAATAATTAGTACATGCAGAAAGCATTGGTGCAGAACGAAAAACTCATCTCGAATTTTCGGGAGATTTCTCGGTTCGGATATTGTAAGTTTCATGAAAGGGATCCAGTCGTCTCCACGATAGCCCCAAAGGCTGCGCCGCTTGACGATCTCTATTTGTCTCACGAAGTTGCCTTGAGCCTGTTTCTGTAGGCAAGTTCAGCCACGGTATACCTTATGCGTCACCACAATGCATACGTTTAACTGATCTGCAAATGCGTCCATGTCTGACTCATCAAAGCCGCGAGGGACAGCGACATAGAAGTAAGGAAGGAACCCAGTGACATATGCGAGTACGCTGTTTCCGTCCTGCAAGGTGATTTGAGAGCTACGTAAAGGCACAAGTATAAAGGAGGTACCTCGGTCACCCCAAACAACCTCAATACGATAGACCCATTGCTGTAGTCCGTTGCTTCGTCGATATCAATTTGCTGAAAAACTGAAAGGAGTAGCACCGTAAGTTGATGAGTGAGGCAACATGTGTACACACCGATACTATTCCGCTTCTCATTAATGGATGGAAGATTCGGACGGGCCCAGCTATCAGCCCCACCCTCTGCAGCTGTTCGAACTATCAATAATCAAAGTGCTGGAGAATTCTCCATGCTACATACCAACACCGTCATGTGCTCTGTCCTGACTCAGCTGTTCCAATACGTCTGCAAAGGATGAATCATGCGTTTTCTGGGAGTTGGATAGAGCTAATTTGCGCCTTTTCGCGGCAGGTTCTGAGTTTACATCCGGCTTGGTACTGTCAAAACATATATCTGAGAGTAAGGACGTTTGTGACGCGCTCTCATCCTTACCGCGTGCGCGCCATTGGCTGATTTTGCCGTGTGGAATTCGTCGGGCCAACCATCGTCACGTTTCAGTAGATGAGAGGAAGAGTACAGACAACGGCGTGCCACAAGCGTGCCGAGTAAATATAGTCGATGTAGATCTGGTCACTAATAAGACTTGAAGGCACGCGTTTTGAGTAGAAACACGTATGGTCGTATTTGTTCGCTTATGTACACAATTCGTCATGGTCCACAAGTTCGACATACAATGGCTATCTACTATAGACTAGTCCATGTACAATAACAAAGAATCATTGGTATAGTTGTAACTGTTATCCCCAATTCTACGCGAGTCCATGGGCCTTGAACTTACATCGAGCACATTATGACAGGAAGAGCTCTGTGCAGATTCTCATCGTATCTGCAGGACTCTTAACAGTATGCCCGACAGTGCGAGAATCGCTGAAGATCTCGTAATCGTTACCCCCCCTTCACAGAAATTGTCAAGGGGACAAAATTTCGCCTAGTAAGAAATTCGACTCTTACCTTGCTCGTCTTGTCCCCGAAAAAGTGGATTTCTTCGAAGTTATCTTTCTCGACATGTCTAAGGCAGTAAGTCTTGTCCCACCCGTGTGGAAAGACATCAAATGATATCTGGCCACCGATAGAGAACGTTAGATTCAGTCGTTTGAATTTCTCCCGGAGGATTTCCACAAAGTCGGCCCTAACGTGGTGTTCCTGCAGAGAATCAGTGAGTATGATAATGAATGATTTTCTAATGTTGCTACCTTGTCATAAGCCTCGAAATCATTGCGTTCCTGGACACTGCGGAGTCCAGGGGTGTTCATACAAGTTCAGGGAATAGCACGTAAGTGAACCCACGTTGCATTGCGGCCAATAGGGCTGACGTTGATCATGCCCTTGCGGAATTCGACGAACGTTCCACTGAAATTTGCAAGTGAATGGGCTGATCGACAGCCAAGGATCATAGAAATTCACCGTTTGATCGGGATGTTCATGTCAGCAATGTAGTGCAAGATGAAGTTGACCAGCTCCTGATAGTCCTTTTCGCCTACCGTTTTGATGAAGGACTGCGACTCCAGCGGCTTTCCGAGTCGATACGCGGTAAGGCCGTTCTCAGCGAACCCAAAGTCGAACTCCTCCAGAACTACGAATGCGTGTGAGTATCTTAGCAGTCAATGGGACGAGTCTCGCACCATTGAAATCGCCAATACTGAGCTGTTCAGATATCTTGACGAGATCAGACCCGCCAACAAAGCCTATAGCGACCTGCTTTCTGAGGTCGCGCAGGAGTTGAATTATTTCTGGAGATGCCCCCTGTCGCGAGATCTCGACATCAAGTGTGGTAGTCGTCGGGAAGCTGAATTACCTTACGTGGGGGCGATAACGTGTCATCGACATCGAACAGCACGAGCTTCTCGACTGGCCGTTCTGCGAAATCTGCAGACACCATGATGATACGGTTGTAAAACTATTTTGGTAGCCAATCAGTCTAGGTACTAAATTCGGTTATCTCCGAAATAGTATGGCATTAGTGACTCTTACAGTGACAGTCATCTTAACGGGTCCGTGGTTTGCCCTATATTACCATTATTTTTGCTCAGATTTTGTCAACAGACTCATAACAAAACCAGCGCAAATGGCCCAGAGATACCATGTCTTTTCGTTGCCTCCCGAATTGCTGGAGACCCTTACACCTCGGAATCTAATCAGTCGACCACCCCCGGAAGTCTCGACTCTCGTACAAACAGCTCCTCCAGTATCAGACAACGCGAGAGCGTGTAACATTTGTCTTGGAGCGACATTTGCAGACGTAACTGAGCAACGATCTCATTTTCGATCCGATTGGCATCGATACAATGTAAAGATTCGCCTGAGGGGCGGCAGCCCTGTGACGGAGCCAGCCTTCGCGCAGCTTGTTGACGGTAGGCACTTCCAACTGCTCGTCATTCACTTTGACTAAGCCTGTCCTGTATAAGCTAGGGCTTGAAGATTCCCTTTCAGGGTCTGCATCATCTGACGAGAGTTCTGATGATTCCGATGCAGTCAAGGCCCTCGTCAGCAAAATCAAGCCAACGTCGAGATCGCCTTCGCCCAGCGAGGAGCGACAAACACCACTTACAGCGGTTTCTTGGTTTCATTCGCCTCCATCCACTCAAATCGGGGTGTACAGAATGCTATTTCCAACGGATACCCCTGCTCCGTCGTACTTGACGGAGCTGAAGAAAATTCAAGAACGTGTGAAAGGTGGACGCAAGTGGGCTATGTTTATGGTTGCCGGAGGTCACTTTGCAGGCGCAATAGTGGAAGTCAGTAGGCCTGCAGAAGACCAGGATTCCACTGTCTCTGCAAAGGCGAAGAAGAAACCGCCAAAACCCAAGCCGCAGATGTCAATCTTGAAACAGAAGACATTTCACCGTTACACTAGTAGGTATACTTATGATCGTCTTATTCGTTATACTGAAAATTCGCGTCTAGCTCGCCGCAAACAAGGGTGGTTCGCAATCGGTAAATGACAATTCCAAGGGTGCTGCCATCAGTGCAGGTGCCATGCTTCGTCGTTATGGCGAGCAAGCTCTCCGAGATGTGAGTGGGCCTTACTTTTCTCGCTATAGCTAAATATGCACTCCTAGGACATTCGCAACCTTCTTCTTGACTGGGCTGATGACATTCAGGACTGCGAAAGAATTTGGTTACGTGCTAGTGTCTCTAATAGGCGGATCTTCCTCGACTACGAAAATTGCGTCATCAACAAAGGAGACGATCGTCTGAGGACCTTCCCCTTTCCAACGCGCCGACCCGTACGTTTTCTTTGGCGCGTCGCTTGCACGATTCTTATTTTTCTACTTTACAGACTCAATCTGAGCTTGTGCGATGTCTCCTGGAGCTCACCCAAGTGAAGACATCACACCTTACAGAGGAAGCGCTTCGAGCGCAGGACGAAGCGTTGCTTGCCTCCTTGCCCAAGCCCAAAGTTACACCTTCCACCGCGCCCGCTGCGGCGCCCGAAAAGGCAAAACCACAACGATTGACTAAAGAGGAGGAAGCCTACCGCGAGAAGTGGTCTCGATTACTAGATATGATTAGCAAAGGTCGTTCAGAGCCTCTCAGATCCTTCTGGGAGCGCGAAGGCGCTTCCCTCGGTGGCGTCGATGCCCTAATACCGGAATGGACAGGGGATAGGCGCGCATCGTTGCTCCAGGTCGCTGTGCAATCAGGCCAGGAAGATGTTACACGCTGGCTACTGTACGAACTGCACGCCAATCCAACTATCATCATTCCGTCTTCAGACGTGTATCAGGCAGACAAAGCCGCGAATGAATCTGACGCATCGGACGCGCCTCCTCTACAAGGGGCAGGTTCGCGTCGTACTGCCTATGACTTGGCCCGTACAAGAGCAGTCCGTGACGTCTTTCGCCAGTGCGCGGGAGATCACCCTGACTGGTGGGACTGGTTTGGGGCGGCACGTGTCCCGAGCACCTTCAACAAGGAAAAGGAAGAAGCGAGGGACGAGAAGAAAAAACAAAGGAAGAAAGGCCTGAAAGAGAAAATGCGGGAACGGGAGGCCAGAGAGAGAGAACGGGAGGGTAAACAGTCTGACGTCGATGACGAACAGGTGGAGACAAAGCCGGAGCCTCGCTCTCAAGACCCTACCGCTTCCCGAAAACTCGGAGGTTCGTCCGGCGCAGCTGATGGCGTTCTCGGTTTAACTGTTGAGTTGAGGGCAAAGGTGGAGCGGGAACGAAGAGCCCGTGCGGCTGAAGCACGGTTGAAAGTTCTTACTGGAGCGCGATAGTAGATGCAGTCAATAATTTTACAAGTCTGATGGAACAAAATTATATAACCGAAATGAATGAGAATGGATAGTATTGGGCCACATATGCCAGTGGGATCCCTGCCCTGGCCAACAGACTCTGGTGAGTGCACTGCTGAGGTATGGGTGTCAAAGCAAGCTTTTTTGTTGACTGACTGCCATGGGGCACAGTGCTTCATATAGTGTGGATACAGATGTGACTTCCAACACTTCAGAATTTGCTAAGCCTAGAGATGTCCTGTGAAGAACAACCATTACTCAAAATTGTGTTCAGCCAAGGATGATGCCACGAGCGTCAATGACCCGGGTAACGAGTCTGCCAGCCTAACTGTGATGGGAGTGTTGGAGTCAGACACAGTCAGTCATACTACAAGCGCAAGCGCCAACGCTGACTAGTGACTAATGGCTGGAACGGAGGTTATTTGTCAGCAACAGCGCTGAGCAAGAACAAAGTCAAACCTTAGAGCTTATGGACCAGTAACTTCATATTGGCGGATCAGAGTATATACTATACATGTACCTTACAAATGAGTCAGTTCAATTAATACCAAAGTCTTCCCTAGTCTTCTCTAGCTACTAGAACTCATAACCACAGGGAGTTGGTCTTGAATGATTATGTAACACTTCACAGACAATGTGGTATGTTTTGGCAGAGGCGAGAATCAACAACACCCTGCCATGGTTTTAGTCATTAGATATTTGAGGGAATTCGGTCAGCAATACATGGCGAAGACATTAGTCATCCTCGGAACTGCAGTGACAAGGTGGTCATGAATGTTTACCTATGTTTATTTCTGTCATGAAAAACACTGTTCAACTTTTTCAATCACCAAACTTCTGTTAGATGTCTGAGGTTGCTGGGCCCTCATATCTTCTCCTTTCCCCCCATGAAATCCCTAATATTGCTCACCAAGTAATCAAACCTATGCCATGCGAGTGGGAAGGGTGTACAGTTATTCTCAACAGTTGGTCTAATCTGACAAAGGTGAATTTAGATCAGCTCTTGATCTACTGTAGATGTAGATACTAGTCATAGATGTTCTGATGGTGGTGTACTGAGCTGTACTCCTCTCCAGGGGTACTTTAGCAAATCTTCAGCTGTCATACTTTGCTCTCAAGTCAACAGTGCTGAGTGGCCATGCTGAAGGTTTTCTAAAGTGCTCTTGGAGTGAGTATTCACTCACTTTACCCATTTCATCTGCATCATCCTCCATTACTGGTCAGTGCTAATATATGCCTCCCTATTAAACAGCATACCTTAAGACATTGTGATCGCACATCTAACATAGTGAGTTTTCTTCACTCACAACTTACCTTATTTTGCTTATCTGCTGTACTTGCAGGAGGGACAGTACCAATGTCAATATCTGAGATGTGCAGGTCGTGTGCATGCCACAAAAGAGGCACTCAAAGCACATGTGGACCTCAGCCATCTGTCTCGTTTCACAATTAGTTGTCCAGTTCGAGGTATGTCTCACTCTAAAAATGGCAATCTACTTCGTTTTCAGCTTCGTCTTTTTCAGATTGTGAGCGAGTTTTTCCGCGAGCATCTCAACTCAAGTCTCACTTCGAGACTGATCATGAAGATCTCGTCAATATGCCCATGGCTCGGGCCTTTGACAAGCTCGTTGCTACTGCACCACCATCACGACGAATTTTGACTCATCCCCCACCATTGCCGTCGCAACATAAACTACACAATTGGCAGTTCACTATTCCTCTCGTCTCACTGCCACCTCACAAACCATTCGGTTCACTCGCGTCGGCAGAACCAATTACCCGAAAATGGAGACGATTAGATGCGCCAGACGAGGATGACTCAGATTCGAACCACATCATTCCACTCGATGATCTGGTCCGCCCAGTACCGAGTCCGTCCCAGCAATCGAAGGAAATTGTCCTCAACCTACGAAGGAAGCTACCGTTATTAAACGAGAACCAAAGGCTCTCGTATCCTCAATCCATGCCTCGCCCACCTCCGCGTGATGATTTCGTTCCTACGACCATCGGCATCTCCATCTTCGAGCGGAAATTTGGAGAGCTTGCGAAAGATGGAGTGGTCAATGGAGAAGTCTTGCGAATGTAGCGGTGAGAGACAGAGAACCATGGTTGTTGATTGGCTATTATCGTTGTCGCATCATGTACTGTTCGTCGTCGTGTACTGTCATCATTGTCCCATACAGCTACCGTGACTGGTGCTATACTCTACGCTGCAAATAATCGTAGTATTGTACTACCCTTGCTGCGGCGGATGTCTCAATATGACCTTTCTTTCTCGCTGTTTTTCCCGATCAGTCAGTCACAGCACGGGTTCTCGAGGTTTATGCATAATGCAACTGATTGAATACATTTTTCGTTCGGTGGACCCTGAGACTTGTGGGTTGCCCGTGGGCCTTCGCACTACTGTTCACGGCCCTTCCAATGGATCGGGCATAGCTGCCAATGTACAATTCTTGCTCGCTCGCGGATAGAGGACACAGACCAGAGGATAGAATATATCCTCTGAAAATTTTGCAGTTTCCTTACATCGCATGAATCATACCGACATGTAGTAAACATAAGAGCTATCATGCCGATGCGCGAAATATGGCTATAATAGAGCGCATAAACCTATACTCCCGGCATCTCATCGCAATTTTGGGTCTATGCAGCGTTTCCCTCTGCAAAGGTGAGGAGATCAGAATCTCCAGGATCGCTGACAGTCATGACCCTGAGATAATCCGTTTAGCTCGAGTGACGGATCGAAATATACGGAACCACTCACCCGACACGGAAAAGCTTTCCGGCAGCAGTGCCAAGTGCGACGTTCGTGCCAGAGAAGTGGTGCACGGTCGTCTTCGACAACATGGCATAGTATTCGAGCTCAGACTTGCGTAGTGGCGGGCAGTTACCAGCAATGAGAACGAGCTTGGCTAAATCATCGCGGATGCGAGGAGGACAAACACAAAGCAAATTTATTGTCAGCACAAGGGACCTTCTCAGCCTCACGCTCCAGTCCCCGTGAGTGCGAAAGAGTGCTCACCTTTGCCGCTGCGCATCTGCTTGAGGGCGGACTTGTAACCGAGGGTGTACTTCCCCGACTTGACGACAAGCGCAAGACGAGATGAGATAGACTCGGACGACTTGGTTGCCTTGGACTTCTTGGAGGGGGCCATTTGTAAATTTGTGTGTCGGGGAGTCTTGAGGAGCTTGATGACGACGAGCGGCTTTTGGATATGACAAAATCTAACTTTCAGAATTGTGGTTGAACTGTACAGTTCTGGCCAAAACGGGTTCAACTCCGACAGAGCCACCCCCATTCGAGGGGTCAACTTTCCTCAGAACTGCAGAAAACATAACAAAAGTCGTTAACGGTTACAACGAAGCTAGAGACATTTCTAGAATAGCGTGTGGCCCCTTCTCATTATAATCAGTCTTCGATACAAAGTTTTTCCCATGCGACTCATTGAACGCGATCTAAGGGGGCTCATCAACAGAAAATCCTTCAATGCGACCGAACAATACACATACCTTCGCAACAATGCTAGTGCCAAGGAAAGCCGCGAAGCTATCTCCTTTTTCTCGGTATTCAGCAAAGTATTCGGGCACGGTCAGCACTCGGATCGACCGCGGCTGCACTTCAGTTGCCTGGTCTGGTGTGCTAAGGATGAAAGGCGCTAACCGCGACTGCAATGCAGCTCCGATACCTTTGCACAATTAATTCCAATTTTACTAGTGGTATATGGTCACGCACCTTTGACATGATTTGTGAGGTCGCCATTAACAAACAAACCTTGCCAAATGTATTGCCTTTGGGCGACATCCGTTTGGCGAACGGAAAATGCAACAGCCTCCTGCAAGGGCAATATTCTCCCTTCGTAAGGATCTGCACGCTCAACAGGCAGCCCGTTCAGCAGCGTAGGATCAAAGAGCGGCTCGCAAAATCGATGCCGCTCTTTGCCCAGAGTGATAGAGTGTTCGCGGAATTCCACAGTAACAAGATCAAGTGCCTCAATCTCCCGCGCGCGAGCTTGCTCTGCAGCAGAAGCTTTCGCGGTCAACTTTTTTTTCATCCCTGTCTCGATGACGGCCTTTTCCTTTCCAGCAACGAGGACTGCTGCTATATCCGTGACTCCTTCATCTTCTGGTATTTCTACCGTTTGCCCATCTGATGGAACGCGAACAAGGCCTTCCATCCAAACGTACTTAACCAGATCGTCCAAGAATCCCTGAGTAACTTCTGGGTCACTCGGTTTGTCCGGAGGTGATGCCACTGCCATGACTGACTGGTTGGAGCGAAGGAGGTTGGCGAGGTAAACTTGACAGTCTCTGATGCCCAGAGGTGTAGACGAACGAGCGTTCTGCATGATGAATCCATCGTAAATTGGGGTGATGTCGGTTATTTCGTGACCGATATCGACCACGACTCCGCTGAGCTGTCCAGCGGCATAGAGCTGGGCCATAGGGCGGTCAAGGAGACCGAAACCTGCGACATTGAAGCGCTCAAAGAAGATCTGACATATGCGTTCTGAAGAATCTCTGAAGAGGCCTGCTGGCATGGACAGCATAACGGGAGACTCATTCTGAGTTCGCTTGAGTTGAAGTGTACGGAACAGAACATATTTCCTTGGTCACACTATGTGAGGTGAGGGCACAACAATAGAATTGCAGACGTACCAGAGTGCCTCCGCTTGAGTCCAATCACGCACATCGCCATCTGCAAATGGCCATGAGACAATAACATCTTGACCAGCTCCAAGAGCTTCGTCTAGTTGTGAACCAACGAGATAGTCGTGAACCTTCGCCGAAGGACTAGACTGAAAAGGTAAAGACGATGCACGACTGCTGGATGCAGAGGGACGCAAATTATCGCTGCTCTCGCCTGGCTTTAGTGAGGATGCGCCATTTGCATTATCGCCTGGGTTGCGTCGCAGACCGACGCGAGCTTGTATTTCCTGTAGCATGGATCATGTATGGAGTCTCAGACACGAAAATGAATGATACGAACAACAGACGGCGCCTTGAGCAGATCTTGCAAGCCAAGGCCTGCTCTGATGAGTGTTCTGCCGGACTCGATGATGACGACGGACGAGTCTCGGAAACTGACCATCGTGGAACACTAGAAATATGTGATTTCTTGTTGTGGACGCGTTGTTTACATTCGTACGGTAATGACACTTTACTATCCGGATTCCGAAATACTGGTTATTCGGCTGTATACATCATTCAGAAGACTTTTTCAGATCTCAGCCAAGTTGTCTTTCATTCTTCGGCCATGATGTATATGCCAACAGAAGCCCAACTTTCTGCGCTGTGGCCCCAGCTTGACATTTCAGAGTCTGGAAACAAGCCATTCACTGACTACAGCCGTTGGAGGTTGCTCGTAAATGACGGCGGAAGGCACACATGGCACTACCTCCAAACCGACGAGGAATGCGAGAAGTGGCCTCAGAATGATGTAGACAGGTACTGGATTGGTATTCCACTCGTAAGTGTTCAAACTTTGGCTTGCAACGCGCTTAGGCCTCAGCCAAATAGAATTTGCCCGACCTCGCTAAGCCCAAGGATGCGCTGGATGCTGCTCGCAATGGGTATACATTCTACAAGCACCTTCAATCTCATGATGGACATTGGGCAGGCGAGTACGGTGGCCCCATGTTCCTTCTCCCCGGCCTTGTCATTGGGTCATACGTATCTGGTATGGGCTTCAAGGAGGAGGAGCGTCTGGAGATGATTCGCTACCTTCTGAATCATGTTAACCCAGAAGATGGAGGTTGGGGAATGTAAGTCGTAACGTGATATTTACTATTCGCCCCGTTTCATAATATATAGACACATCGAAGGACACTCAACCGTTTTTGGGACAGCGTTAAACTATACCGCTCTCCGGATTCTTGGTGTGCAGGCTAACCACCCAGCTGCTGTAAGAGCTCGTGATACGTTACACAAACTTGGTGCGCTCATCCTTCATCTTTGTCGGTGCATGTGGCCTTATTCTTCGAGTACAGGAGGAGCCACTGGTGCTCCTGCTTGGGGCAAGTTCTGGCTCGCGGTATTAAATGTTTATGACTGGGCTGGTGTGAATCCAGTCCCTGCGGAGCTTTGGTCCGTTTCCAAGCTTTCATTTGGCACCTGAACTAACGCTTCAACTCTCTGAAAGGCTCCTTCCTGACTGGCTGCCTTTCCATCCTCATCGCTGGTGGATACATACCCGGACTGTCTATGTGCCAATGAGCTATCTCTATGGCATCCGATTTAAAATGCAGGAAAATGACTTGGTTCGAGCGCTCCGAGAGGCGAGAATTCTATTGCTGAATCTTCCATTTTTGTCCGCTGACAATTCGACTTGCAGGAACTATACCCAACTAACTATTACCGGATCCACTGGCCCTCGCAACGTAATAACGTGTGTGCAGCAGACCTGTATTCCCCCCATACCACTGTCCTGGATGTCATGAACTCCGTTCTTTCAATGTACGAGGGCTGCGCTATTCCTCCCCTCCGCAGGGCAGCTCTCGCACGTGCATACCACCTCATCATTCTCGAGGACGAGAACACCCAATACCAGACCCTTGGGCCCGTCTCCAAAATGATGAACCTCATCTGCCGTGCTCACGCCGAAGGCCCCGACAGTGAAGCGTACAAGCAGCACGCTATTAAACGCGCAGACTTTATGTGGCTTGGTCAGGAAGGTATGATGATGTGCGGAACGAATGGGAGCCAGCTATGGGATATTGGCTTCATCACGCAGGCGCTCGTTGAGACCGGCCTCGCGAAGGAGGAGGCGAATAAGGAGAGTTTGTCGAAGGCGCTTGGGTGGTTGGATATTTGCCAGATCAGGGAGAATCCAAAGCACTACAAAACATCTTACCGTCACACCACGAAGGGGGCTTGGCCATTTAGCACCAAAGAGCAGGGGTACACGGTCAGTGATTGTACCGGCGAGGGGTTGAAGGCAGTCTTATATTTGCAAAACCAAGTCGAGTTAGTCTCACTGTGATCTGTTTGAACTGCCGACTGAACCTTCTGACAGAGGTTCGGAGAAAATCATCTCAGATCAACGACTTTTTGATGCCGTGGATGTCATGCTAACTATGCAGAACCCAAATGGTGGTTTTGCCAGTTATGAGTTGGTCAGGGGTCCCAAGTGGCTCGAATGGCTGAACCCTGCAGAGGTTTTCGGTAATTCATTCATTCTCATAACTTTCACTATTCAAATGACAACCTGTAGGTGACATCATGATCGAGTTCTGTTATCCAGAGTGCACAACCTCCGTGATTACGTCACTGTCCATCTTCAGGAAACATTATCCTGACTACCGGTCCGCTGATATTGAGTGAGCGATGAGGCACTACTCCACTTACCGTTCTGACATTATTTCAGAAAGACCATCAAAGGTGCGATCGAGTACTTACACAAGGCACAAAAACCCGAAGGTGGCTGGGTTGGCTCCTGGGGAATCTGCTTCACATATGCAACACAGTTTGCTCTTGAGAGTCTTTCGCTAGTTGGAGAAAACTACTCGAACAGCTCTCACGCACAACGGGCGTGTAGGTTTCTTCTCACGTGGCAAAGAGAAGATGGTGGTTGGGGCGAAAGTTATAAAGTGGGTGCACCTAAATTTACATCCGGGACTAAGTTTCCAATTTGTTCCGTAGTCCTGCGAACAAGGTGCCTGGATACAGCACGAAAACTCACAGGTCGTACAGACCTGTTGGGCGGCCATGGCCCTCATGTATGCGAAATATCCCGATCCTGAGCCTATTCGAAAGGCCGTCAAGTTGGTCATGGACAGGCAATTACCCGTGAGTTTAGTATGAAATAACGGTGGTCTTCAGAAGCTTATCCATGGCGCAGGACGGATCGTGGCCGCAAGAAGCGATCGAAGGAGTGTTTAACAAAAACTGCACTATATCATACCCGAACTTCAAATTTTCATTCCCCATATGGATGCTTGGAAGAGCGCATCACTACTTGAATGAGCTGGAGGAGCACGCCGGACAGAACCTTAAGATGTGAATTTGAAAAGATGGCTGCTCGTTGCTCGGGTTGTGCCCATGGGTGACTCCAGCGGGGAGTGTGCCGCGCTGTTCCACTCTCGTGAGATTGCGAAGCGTTCCGATGCTGTATCTTACATAGTTTGAATGTTATTTTTGTTATTTTACCGTGGCACTA